CCCCCTGGCTCTGACGCGCCGCAGCTCACTGAACATCGCTCGGCGCCGATTCGAAGCACGCCCGCTTCCGCGTCCGCGTCGCGCCCGTCAACCCAGCAGCCCAGGCCGTCTCCCCGCGCGTTGAGCTCTCTGCTGTGCGGCACCCTCGGCCCACCTGCACCGCCTGTTTCCCGGTCCCGTGTCGCGCAACCACCGCACGCCCGCGACTTGGATGTCTTCCCGATAGAGCGGTCGCGCAAAGGACATGCGGGATGACCGCTCCCAAGCGCCCGCGAGAGGCATCCTCGACCGACGGCGCCTCGCCTGAAGACGCCAGCAGCAAGATCGAGTCGCCGACCGCCAGCGCCAGCGGCAGCCAGCAAGCGTCGTCCTTCCGAAACGTCTCGGCGTGCAACCGCTGCCGCCTGCGCAAGAACCGCTGCGACCAGCGCCTGCCCGCCTGCGCCAGCTGCGAGAAGGCCCACGTCAAGTGTGTCGGCTACGACCCCATCACCAAGAGGGAGATACCGCGAAGGTGCGTTGGCCACCGTCCCGCAACGCGCCGGGCTGCGCTGCGCCTGGTGGGGGCGGGCGGCAGGAGGAAAACTCGCATGCGCCCTGCGTGCTTCCTTTGCTGCACGCCTGCTGCTGCATGCGGCGCGGCCCGTGGCTGCTTGCCCCGGCGCAATGCCTGGAAAAGTGGGCTGTGATGTGCTGATGCTTGTGTGTTGTCTCCAACAGTTATGTGTATTACCTCGAGAGCAGGGTCGCGTACCTGCAATCGCTGCTGCGCGACAATCAAATTCCCTTTGCCCCGCCCGAGCACTTCGCTCTGAGCTACAAGCCGCCCAATGGCGAGGCAACCTTCCCCCTCGACAAGCAGGCGCGCGCTGCCCAGCGGGAAGGCCAGCTCAGCGCGCAGCATGACTCCACGGCCGCCGACGGCGCAGATACGAAGCAGCAGGAGCAGTACGACCGCGACAAGATCAACAGTATGGTATCGAATATTGGCATGGTCTCAGTGCAAGGCGCGTCCGACCCACGCTTCCTAGGCTCGACGTCTGGCATTTCCTTTGCCCGCGTCGTCTTTGCTGCCGTCAAGAGCTCCGTGTCCGGCGCGTCGTCAGAGAAGGGCAGCGTGCGTGCCAGCAAGCCCCTGCCCGGCGCCGCCGTCGCCAATGGCACCTCCATGAGGGATTCCTTCTTCGGTCTCCACACCAAGCCCGCCATTCGCCAAGCCCCATTTCCCGAGCGTGACCTGGCGCTGAAGCTCGTTGAGCTGTACTTTGAGCATGCTAATCCGCAGATCCCAATCCTCCACCGCGGCGAGTTCATGACCATGTTTGAGCGCGCCCTGGCCACCGAGCCCAAGGATCGCACGAGTCGCGAGCTGTACATGCTGAACATCGTCTTTGCCATCGGTGCTGGCATCATCATGGGCAGCTCCGACGCCACGTCCGAGTCGCCTGATCCCGAGGCAAACAACGCATCACAGAAACCCTCGCAAACCCCACCCCCGGGCAAGCGACGCAGGCTTGCGAGCGTGCAACATCAGCCCGAGGAGTACCACGCCTCCGCTATTGTCCACCTCGAGAGCTTCCTGTCCTCATCCCCGTCTGTCGATCGCCCGGACGGCTTTGGTGGCGGTCTGGAGGAGCTGCAGGCCGTATTGCTCCTTGCCGGGTTTGCTCTGCTGAGACCCGTTGCACCAGGTTTGTGGTACATCACAGGTGTAGCCGTGAGATTGGGCGTCGATCTCGGCCTCCACTACGAAGACGGCGCGGGCATTGACGGCCCCGGCGGTGACGACGCCAGCTTGTCAAATCCTGGACATCCGTCTGATGACGTGCCTGGAGCAAACAATGCCGTGAGACTCGACCCGAAAGAGCGAGGAAGGCGGCAGTGGGTTCGTGACCTCCGCCGCCGCCTCTGGTGGTGCGTGTATTCGTTCGATCGCCTCGTGAGCACCTGCGTGGGCAGGCCCTTTGGCATCACTGACCAAGTCATCACCACCGAGTTCCCCTCTTCGCTTGACGACCGGTACATCACCCGGGAGGGCTTCCTACAGCCACCAGGAGGCAGTGAGAAGCCGACATACAAGTGTGTGTCATATCATTATCTTCGGCTGCGTCTCCTCCAATCGGAAATCCTCCAAGTGTTGCAGCACCGCCAGACACAGCAGGCGCGCGCCATTGGAGCGAATCAAGGCAACGATTTCATGCACACAAACTTGCCTTCTCCATTCCTCTCTAAGTTCGACTCCTTCCTGTCGTGGCGCCGGGATATCGACCGCCGGCTCTGGGAATGGAAGGAGTCATCACCCACGCAGATGGACACGGGCGTCCAGTTCTCACCGCTCTTCTTGGAGCTCAATTACTGGCAAGCCGTCATCATGCTGTATAGACAGAGCTTGAGTGTGCCACCTGTGCTGGCAGATGAGCTGAGATCTACTGAAGATGATGTGTCAAGTCCGTCAATGGTGAACCTAGAGGAGCGCGAAGACGAAGAGCATGTCTTCTTGAAGGTAGCAGAGGCTGGACAAAAGGTGCTGAAGCTGTATCGTCAGCTGCATAGGGTGCACCTGGTGAACTACACCTTTCTGGCGACTCATCACTTGTTCATGGCAGGTAGGTTCCCCTCTCCAGCATTCAGAAGCGAGCTCGGCGACTCTCCACGCCGGACGCACTTGTTGGACACGTTTGACTGCGCTGTCATGAAGACGAGACAAAGCGACGAGCACAGCGTCTTCGTGGATGCGTGCTAGTTTCCCCTTTGCTACGGAGCGTCCTTCGCCACAGTCTTTCCAAACTGGAAACTCGCCGGCCGGCGTTCGTGCTTCATGCTAACATTGTGCTCAGGCATTTCATTTCTGTATGCAATTTGGCATTCGCCGGTGGTCCGAAGTCACTTGGTAAGTTTGATTACCCAATATCGAGGCGCCTTTCTAATATGTGCTAGTCCCTTGACGATGTCGATTTCACTGTACTTGCGGCAACGTCCGTCCTCGGCGATCTCATTGAGAAATGCCCACCCGCCGAAGCATGTCGGGATGCTTTTGATCGCATGAGCAAAGCCACGATTCAAATGTGCATGTCCACAACCGGCTTCGGACCGCAAGCGCTTGCCCACAGCCGTGCAAAGCAAGCGAATACTTACCACTCATCGCCGAACTTTTCTGCTGGAGAGCAACAACAGCCCACAGCCTCGCCAACCACAGAACACGCTCGTGGCGTCAACCGGTCAGGCTATTTCCCTGGCCCAACTGCCAACCCACAGTATAGCTCGCGGAAGCAACACCCGCGCTTCGACATGAATTTACGAGATCTTTTCAGCGACGATGAAAGCGAGTCTCGGCTCAGACGGCCAAGCCTTGGGCTGGTAGGGATGCGGCCCTCTAAATCCATGCAGAGTCAGCAAATCAAGCAGGAACCGCCGCGGCCGGTAACGTCTTCGGCCAGTTTCGTATCACCGGAAACGCGCCAGTTCAGCACGGTGCAGGCAGATACGCAGCTGCAGACGTCGGCGGCGACGTCGCCAGTACAGCTTCAGCAGCGTCCCACTCACCAGCGCCACCACTCGCATCAGCAGCAAATGCGCCAGCAGCAGCCACACATCTCGCCGTACACACAGCAACAGACGTCGCCGTACACGCCCACTTACGGCCCGAATGTGGCGGTGCAGCACCAGCAACAGACGGCATCGGCGTACCCCGACCTTGGTCAGCCATCGTTTTCCGACCTTGACTTCCTCGACGCGTTCCAGCCTGGCGGCGCCAGTGCCGAAGTCGGGGGCGGCGGAAACATGGATCTAGGCTTTGGCATGCAACTGGACGATGTTGCAGGAGCGAACAATCATGACTGGAGTGACGGCAACGCTTTCGACCTGTTTGACGGGTTCTTCTTCGGGCAGGGACCCGGCGCACCGGGAGGGCTGTAAAGGGACATGAAGGTTGCACAAGCAAAAAAGGGAAAAGTTGGGTATGGTTGGTAGCTGTGCTGCTATCTGGAGGTTCTTTGTACCTCTTTCATTGTTGATGTGATATGGGCTCGGGGTATGAATTGCATGACTCTAGGATAGGAACATGGGAATGTGTATAGATGGTTGAGTGGATATCGGGACGTTGTTGGGGGGTTTTGCTTCTCTGCTTCGTTGAACATTTTGAACGGCAAAAACGCACAAAGGGTCTGAATGATTATCGGTCCTTTCTCCATTGGGGTCTTATCTCGGGGTGGCACAGTAGATGTCTTGGTTTCGGCCCCGGTACCCACCGCCATTGTTTGTTTCTCACGGGAGTTATTTGGGCATCTTTTTACTCGTTCCAGTACCCTCTCTTGTTAATGGGCTGTTTGATGCCGATGTACAGGGCGTTATATACCTGGTGCTGCCTGCTACTCCCCCTCTCTTTCCCTCTCTGTGTAGCTGTGAATGAGCTTCACACGTTCACGTCGATTGATGAATGAAGGAATGTCCCAATCAACACGCTTTGAAGCGATGGTATTAAATCTAACTTGTCCATACGACTTGGTATAGTCGCGAGAGACAAACGGCTCGCTCTGCTATCTTCAAACACAAACCTTCACCCTCGCCCATTTGGAGCTTGGAAAGATATAACCACAACAGTTGAAATTAGCACAGGCGGCGGACGCAATGTCGTTGCTTGTCAGCACCGATAAGAGTTTCACAGGTCCACAACAGCGCGTGCTGCAGCCACAAGGGTCAAAGACAAAGCGGGGTGCGTTCACTTGGCATGAGTCAGACGTCATGGCGGACGTCGTTCAACGGTGTCGGTTTCTGGCGTGCGGGCTTGAACAGCCATTCCGTGCCGCAGCTGCCTTCTCGGTGTTCTAACGGAAAGAGGAAGGTCACCGGGAGAAGTTGAGGATCGGTGTCTCATCGTGGCCGGAGCACAAAGCAGGTGCAGCTCGCATCGTACAAAACTGGGACGGTTTGATCGGCAGCTTAAAGCCACCATTGAGCTGCATCTTGCACCTGTCCGCTTCAACCTCGACTCGGCCTTTACAATGGCTTCGCCCCAGGAACGCCGCTGCCGCATTCGCGAGCTGCTGCCCAACCTGCAGCTCGGCCGCTACCCCACCGGTCCCAAGAACTCGCTCACAGACGTGCCGGGCGTGCTCTGCCACACGCAGTCCATCATCAAGCCGGCGACGTCGACACATGGAGCCATCAACACCGGCGTCACCACCATCGTGCCGCGCCGGGATTTCTTCAACCAGGCGTGCTACGCGGGCGTCTTCCGGCTGAACGGGTCGGGCGAACTGACGGGCTCGCACTGGATCGAGGAGACGGGCCTGCTGCACTCGCCCGTGGTGCTGACCAACAGCTTCGCCGTGGGCGCCGCCTACCAGGGCATCTACGAGTACTGCATCCCGCGCCACCGCGACCCGGAGAGCGGCGCCGCCGACTGGTTCCTGCTGCCCGTCGTGGGCGAGACGTTCGACGGCATCCTCAACGACATCGCCGCCCTGCCCGTCACGCCCGCCCACATCGTCGCCGGCCTCGAGGCTGCGTCCGACGAGCCCGTGCCCGAGGGCAACACGGGCGGCGGCACCGGCATGCTCTGCCACTGGTTCAAGGGCGGCACCGGCAGCGCCTCGCGCGTCGTGGCCGCCGACACCAGCGCCCGACAGCCCTCGTACACGGTCGCAGCCCTCGTGCAGGCCAACTACGGCCGCATGCGCGACCTGCGCATCGGGGGCGCGCCCATCGGCCGGCTGCTGGACGACGACCTGGTGGCCGCGACGCAGGACCTGCCCGCCGACGCGTCCGTCACGGACCGGCTGGCCGCGCTGGGCCGCGTGGCGGCGGCCAAGGACAAGAAGGACGGCAGCATCATCATCGTGCTGGCCACCGACGCCCCGCTGCACCCGCTGCAGTGCCAGCGCCTGGCCAAGCGCGCGACAATGGGGCTCGCCCGCGTCGGCGGCAACGCCCACAACCAGTCCGGCGACGTCTTCCTCGCCTTCAGCACCGCCAACGAGGTGCCGGTGCAGACGCTGACGGCGGGAGAGTCAAAGGTGGATCCGTGGAAGCCGCGGCCGTTGAGCGTCGACGTCGTCGACGACCAGACGATTAACGCCCTGTTCGAGGCCACGGCCGACGCGGTCGAGGAGGCCATTTTGAATGCCCTGTGCATGGCTGAGACCATGACGGGGCTGGGCGGGTTGAGGGTGGAGGCGCTGCCGCTGGCGAAGGTCAAGCAGATGATGGAGAAGTACCTGTGAAATGTGCTGGGAACAAGGGACGGGGCAGTGCAGCACTCACGCCGTAACTACCATGGTCAGCTGGCTGCTGCGAAGGGCGGTGTTGCCTTTTTTCGCCGGACAAGTCTCGTCACCGGCCTACCACGGCTCTGCCAAGGAGGGGCGTTCATACGCTTGAGCCGCCCCCACTAGGCGGGCCGACCGAAGATGGAAATCACTCTTATTCATATGACCGCCTCGAATGCCCTCGTGAGCGACTTATCTTCCGTCTCTTCTCTGTCTACCCAACTCATGCGGATTTTGCACCCTCCGTCAGCCTCGAGCTCTTTCCTTTCCCCCATCGCCTAGCCCGAGCAACTGCTCCCAGCCCCTCGGGCAGGTACAGGTGAACAAGCGTTGAATCCCCATGGATGAAGAAAGTCGCCCGCCCTCCCAAGAGACCATCGGGCCCAACGCATCCTTGGACTTTGAGCCAATTACTCCGTCCCCAATCGTCAGGCCGTCCCAAGTGTTCAACCAACTCACATTTCCGAAGAAGCTTGCCCGACCTACACTACTGGTCGTCCGCCAGAGGTGTCCCGTCACGCGCGCCGATGAGCACGAGGACGATGAGCGACAGCCTCTGCTCCCCCATCGAAATGATGAGCAGAGAGACTTACGCTCTCAAAGTTGCCATGACTCCGCGATAGAAGTCTATGGGTTTGAAGCAAAGAATGTCGGAGGCTTGGATCGTCTTCTGACGGTGATCCGACGTGTGGCTGCCTCCATGGCTCTAGCCGCTTATCATACTATCTCCTTTACGACCAAGCTTTTCTACTGTGCCGCCCGCACGAACCTCTCTTGCACCAGTTGCTTTCTCATTTTCGTTCCACTGGGTTTACTCAGCAGCTGGATGGGATGGGGGCCAGTGGTCGTCATGCTGCTCAATGCACTAGCCGTTAGTTCCGCTGCGTTTATGACTTCCGCTCTCTTCGAGGACATGGGCAGCATCATGCCAGGCCCAAGCATCCACGCATTCATCGCGGATATGTTGTTCTCGAATGTTGCCTGGCTTTGTGTGAGCATATCAAATACCCGGGAACGTGCATGAGCTAAGAAGCTGACCATTCCAACAGGTTGGTATCTTCGCCCTCAGCAATGAACAATACCCAATAATTGCTTTTATCATCCCAGGAAGTATCCTGACCCGTAGCCTCCTTGGCCTCGGCCTAGGCCTCATTTCCGGCGGCTTATCTTCACGCATCCATCATGACGACGCTCCAACCATGGCACTGTATTCTTCACTCAAGATGGCGGGTCTGGTGCCCTTCTTTATCTGCAGCCTTCTCACCCTTGCGTTCCGCAACGATAACGACAACGACAATGACGATCACATCCCTCAATCCCCAGATAGCAGAGACCACATGCTCTTCTTCTCCCGCGGCAGCGCTATCGTCTCGCTCATCGGCTACCTCCTCGCCCACCTCTTCCTCAACATCACACACGCGGCTCCTGTCCCCCCGACACCACCCACCGTCCCGAGATCCGCAGCCGAACGCACAGCACATCCTCGCTCCCCCATCCATCATCCCACACCGACCCTCGCCTTCCTCGCCTCCCTGCTCTTCACCATCCTCGCCTCCAACAACCTCGTCCACGCCCTCGCCACGCTCTCCGCCGACTCCCACAACCGCCTCGCCCTCGCCCCCCTCCCCTCCCCTTGTCCCAACCCCCTCGCGATGACGACGCCCTTCTTCCACTCGGTCCTCCTCCCCCTCCTCCTCAACCACGCCGAACTCGTCGCCGCCATCAAAGTCCCCCACCGCCACCTCCACGAGGATGACGACGACGACCACCACCGCCGCCGCAACCGCAACCCCCACCACGTCCTCGCGGTGCTGACGGAAGCGCCGACGGCGCACGCCGCGCTCGCCCTCGTCCCTTCGCTCGTGCTGCTCGCCTGGATCTTTGGCGGCCGCGACGTAGGTCTAGAGATTGGCCGATTCGGAGGCGGAGGCGGAGGCGGGGGCGGGGGCGGTACCGGCAAAGGCGAGTACGGCCATCATGGCCCCTCGTCGTCGTTGTCGTCGTCGTCGTCGTCGGCCACGCTTTCAAAACTGCTGATGCTGCTGCTGTGCGGACTGGGGGCTTGGGTGGGCAGCATAGTCGTGGCCGGGCGCCGGGGAGGGCGGTTGATGGTGCTGAAGGGCTCGGTGCTGGTTTCCTTGTAAGTGGCGTAAGGGGTGTGGTGTATTCCCGCCCCTTCCCCCCCCCGGTCATTTCTTCTTTTGACTATTGTGCTTTTTGCTCCCGAGTGTATGTATGTACATTTTACTAACTCTTTTGGCAGATATATCATCATGGCCACCGCGGTCTTTCTCCTTCCCTGAGTTGTACATATGTGAAGAAGGGGAGGGTTTCGATGCGAGTCCGTTTCGCTGACCTCGTTTGATGCTGCTGTGCTTGGATCACGTCAAGAGGTTTTTTTTTTTTTTTGGAAGTCTGGCTGGATCCGTCAGTTGCAGCAGCCACGGTGAGTGACGAAAGAAATTGACTCTCCTACATGGGGCGGCAGAGTACCTACGTCTGGATGTATTTGTATAGCTTTCATGCTCACATCATCTGCATCCAGATCTCTACTTCGGCCACTCATGAAGGTCGGTTGAACTTACATCCACATCGGCACACTTGTTTCGACTGCCAACACCAAGGAACCTCTCCGTGGGTCAATTTCTTTCATCACCCACCGTGCAGTTTGGCGAAAGTGCTGTATGTTACCCTGCATTGTAGGCCAGAAAAGTCGTAGCCCTTGTTATATTAATAGATCACCGCGCCTACTCGAAAGAATTGGCGATCTTTTCGCATTAGTCCCTACCAGAGTGGAGTAGAAGCGTCAAGTCCATTAGACATAAGCACGCCTGACAAGAAATGTGTGAAAGGGAAAACCAGTAAAGGCACAGAGCGAAGGGGGAATCATTCGTGAAAGTCCCGCTGCAAAATGATGACAAATAAGCCTCCACGCGCGCTCGCCCGTGTCCCCGGAAATGCCGCCGTTAAAATTCTCTATCCCCGTTCTCTTTCTCCTGCTCGCTCGTCAAACTTTGCCATCGTGAACGATCATATTGGGAATCCGCCAGGACCAGCAGCTCAACCAGTTATCCTGGAGTTCTTTTGTGCACGCATAGAGATGATAACAAAGTAAAAGAGGTTGGTGGAGCCCAGCATCACCGCCAATCATCCCATTTTCCGCAACCTCATTCCTGCCCTTGGCACCGTCAATGCCCTCATTTGTCATTTCTTTGTCATATCACGGCTTAGAAGTCCAGAAACTAGTCGTCCGCCAGCAGCGGCGCCCTTTCCCGGTCCTCGCTGACAATTTCTCCACGTTTGAACGGGTCTTGGCCGAGGAAGCCGGGAACACCGACAGCCAGTGAAAGAACGAAAAGGACGGCCATGATCACGAAGGCGAAGATCCACTGAAAGGCGATGATCTTGGTAAAGAACTGCGAAACACCGATAGCTGTTCCAAACGCCTTGTGTCAGGCCCTTTGCAATGCAGTGTCATTCGATGAACGGTAGTCTTACCAGCTGCGAGCACCGACAGCTCGAAACCCATGGTGTAATCCTTGTACACCACCAAGAAGAAGCCACCGTAGACCAGAATGCCCCAGATGAAGATGTTCGCGACGATCCTAGCCGGAAGATTGTGTGCGTGTACGGCTGCGGCGCCGCACCAGTAGAGCGCGACAAAGTTCCATGCCAGCGGTCCACTCACGACTGCGATATGGATGGCGCGCGGAGTGGTGCTATGGCGGAAGTAGGCGGCCGAGAGGTTAAAGAAATTGATGACCAGTAGGAGCTCGCCGAGCCAGAAGAACGAACGCACCCAGAGCTGGATGAAGCCGAACAGGAACAGGTTGTGGACAATGAAGTGGCCACCAACGTTCGTCGCGGCCTTCACCGTTTCGCGTTCTGCCGAGTACAGGTGCCACGAGTAGCCAATCTGTAGGATGAAGAGAACGAGCCAGTAGATGGACGTGATGATGGGGTTCATGGAGAAGGGAGTGTGGTGCGCGCTGTTCTGTCCCCATATGGTGTGCCTTGGTCCCTGGCCTTCATGCGGCTTGGCGAAGGTGTAGTAGAACGCATGGACGACGACAACGATGTAGGAGATTGCGGTAAGGATTTTGAGGGTAACAACGCGCTCGACGGTGGGGTCGGAGTGGGTTTTGAACGGGTTGACTGAGTGCGATCTGTCAGTGTTCTGGGCACTTCTGTTCGCAAAGAATTGATGAGAGATAAATGTCGTTGTGAGCGAGTCAGAGCCCAGTTGATCTCCAAGCCCAGCCTAATGTAGTAAGAAAGTGGCATGACAAAGGCATGACCAGTGCATGATGAGCTGAGAAGACGCGCAAAGTGATCATGGGATCCTTCTTCTCCAGAGTGGAAGCAGTCACCACCTACCGGAATGAACGCCGTCATGAACGCGACGAAAGACACCGTTCCGGGTGTCGCCATTGGATTCGGACATGGTGGCTGGCGGGGCGTTGGCCGGAGATTGGGGGTTCAATGGGTGTGGTGTGGTGTCCTCTGTGTTGCCGTGCGTGGGCGTTGCGGGGAGAGGAGCACGACGGCGGGACAAAGGAGGGAGTAGGGTGTCTGGTGCGTGAGGCAGGAAGGCCTGGGGGCCTTTTAAAGGGCAATGGCGCGAGTTGGCAGGCGGGCTCTCGCGTGGTTCCACAGGCGGCAGCTTCCCAACGTCATTGGCTTGGCGTGTTGCGAGCCCGGGCAGGCAGGATTGCCAAAACGCGGGGTCTGCGGACGTTGTCGCAGCTTTGGGCAGGGATCGCGCCGAACGGCCGGGAGCCAGCGAGCGCTAGGCCGCACGCGTGGGCAACACGCCCACCCTGCCCAGGCCTCCAAGCCAACTGGTCGACTCTGTGACTGTCCTCACGCGTCCGCCCCGTCGCTTACGCGCTTGCATTGCATCAGAGCGGCGTAATGCCTCCTAGCCACCGCCCCCTCCGCTGTTGCAACGGCTGCCGTCGACCGCGGCCACTGGTAAATTGCGCAACGGCCATGGCACCGGCCGACCGCTCACATCGCAGCTTGCCGCGCTTTCCCACCCAGCCCCGCTCCATCCACCCATCCACCCATCCACCTCTCGTCACACTAGCGCGCTTACTGCATCAGGACCTGTGCGAAGAGCCAAAGAAAGCACGCCGTTGTCTATTTGTGGGAAATCCGTGGGTATCTCTGAACACTGCCCTAACCAATTCCTCCTGTACTAGCAAAAATGCAACCCGAGACCCCATTGACGACTGTATCAACTGCGCCGAGAAACAAGCAAAGGGAAAAGCCAGCAGCTGAAGTGGCGAGAGAGCAACGGCAGGAAACCAGAGCTGCCCTTCGGTCCAAAGAAATGAAGCGGTAACGGGGTACAACAACGGGGCAAGTAGCTAGGTGTTGGGGCATGAACAATCACCCCTGTGCAACGGTTGCACACGCACAAAAAAGAACGCCTTGCGCATGGCATAAGCACCCACTCCCCGGGCAAAATGCGAGAACTGTAATGGGGTCTCAGAGAAGAAGAAGAAGGAGAAAAACGTGGCCAAGGAACCGGGCGCGCAAGTGGAGACGATTGGTATCCTGCACCAAGGCTCGATGCGTCAAAGCTGGCAAGCTCGGGAGCTGCGCCCTCGTGTGACGGGCCGGGACCGCATCACGGCGTCGGACAGATCATGCCCCGGAGCGGCGCGGTCGAGAACGCTCGGGCTCCACTCCCCGATGTCCCATTCACCAGCGATCGACGATGATGCGAATCGCCCGTGATCCCCGGCGCAGGGTAGCCTCGCCCTCAATCCTTGGCTTCAGGAACATCCGGCATGTTCCTCACATCCTCCGCCGTTTCCTCGCGCTCAGTGACGACACTGTCAGCCCCGGTCTTCGAGCTCGTAGGCGGCCCGAACGGAATGAAGCTGTTGGAGCTAAACACAGGCAGTGCTTGCTTTTGCTTGTGGTCCGGCGATGATGGAGGTGGCCCCTGCGATCGACCGCCAGCTTCAGGGTCCGAGTTCGGCGGCAGCCACTGCAGGGCCACTGTCTGCTGCGCTTCACCTGCGTCAGCTTCAGTCGTGGCTGTACCACCATGTCCACTCTCTGCCGGCTCGTATTGGATGAACTGCGGCATGGTCGCCGGGGGAGGCGGAGGAGGCGAGTCGGGCCGCGGCGTCACCTCTGGAACATGCACAGGTCCAGCCGTCTCAAGGAGGCCCTGCGGTGTCGATCCTTCCGAGAGCTCAGAAGGTGAGGCTAGCGACGGCGGGAACGAGTTCTTGATCCGCTCTGCCATGTTTTCGATGGACGCGCGAGAGAGAGCCCGTCCGTGCTGTGGCTCCAGTCCCCCTGGGACAGCCAGCGTTGACTCTGAAACCGCAACTGCAGGGTCAGACTGGTTGGACGTAGACGTGTAGGACACAATGGACATTGCATCCTCCGTGTGTTCCGACGGAGGCGGCGTGGGCTTTAGCCCAATCACATCTTTCGCCTCATTCGCATCCTTTGCCTTCTTTGCATCTTTCGTCTCCTTCGTCTCCTTCGTCTCCTTCATCTCCTTCGTCTCTTTTGCGCCAGCTCTCCTTGACGCTCCCACCGTCTTGGTGCTGCGAGCAGCTGGTGCCTTTTTAGTGGTCTTGGGTGCGGCTGGCTTCTTGGTGTCATTCTCAGACGCAGCAGCAGCTGCCTGGCGGGCATCATGCTCTTCCTTGGTGGGCATCTTCAACGTAATTCTCTTAATGCCCGAAGTAAGCTGATCCACGTCATCGCCAGAACTCTCTGCCTTTCCCTTGGCTGTCTTTGTTGCAGCAGAAGCCTTGTTCGGTTGCGCATAGTTTGAGGCTCTAGAGGCAATGGGCCTCGGTGGTTGCTTCGCGGTGGCGTCTGGCTTGGTCGTCTTTGGGGCTCTAGTCTTCTTCACTTGTACCCCATTCGCAGGCGGTTGCCTTGATGCGACCGTCGATGCTTTGCCAGTTGGACATTCTCCAGCGACGGAGCCCATTTCAGAAACAAGACTTTGTCTCCGTTGGAGTTGAGGAACGTCGGGTAGGTCATTGTCTCTTCCAGCAGGGTAATCGCCCATCGTTCGCCGGCGATCAGCATCTAATGTGGACAATGGTTGGGATCTTTCGTCGTCCGATGGGGCCTCAGAGTAGTCGGTAACCTTTGGCTTCCTCTCGCGCAACTGCCTCCCACCAGTAGGATTGACAGGAACCTCAGGTGGAAGTAACTTGTCCTTTTTGCTGCGCGGCTCGGCAAGTTCTTCAGGTCTGAAGCTCTTCGTCTGACGGTCACTGGGCACAAGCAGCTTGCAGAGCTCATGAGCCGCAACGATCCAGTTGACATCCGGTGGCGGGGGTGTGGGAGGTCTCGGAAGCTCTCTAATCGGGACTAGGTGTCCAGAAGCGTTACGGATGAACTTTTCCGGGTCAACAACCTTCGCAGTGAATGACTGAGTAGGCGTTGCAAAGTTGCCCTGCTGCCCTCTCTGTTGCTTCTTGGGAGCAGCCGGAGGAGGGGGGTAAACCATCGTTTCAAGCGCCGTCAGGTTGGCCTCGTGCCACCATTCGACGTTGTAGCGAAGCGTTTGCTCCCCGTTCTCGTATGCTTGCTGTAGAGCTGTGCGATCGATCATCATTCCGTTGAGCGCAGCAGTTTCCTTCCTCGTAGCGGGGACCTTCTGGCCCTCGCAGAGACCGCTCAGATGGCTTAGAACACCACTGGCCAAAGCGCGGTCGCTGTAGCCACCCTCGAGCACACTAATCACCCTACCGTCAACCCCAAGATTCTCTTCTTGAGACAACTTGACGATGTCGTGCGTAAAGCGGGCGTAGAAATCAGTAGGCACATTGACTTTGTGCCTCTGCATTCCCTGGCCTTCCCACTCGCTCGCATCGAATCCGGCAGAGATGAATATTGCAGCCTTAGGTTGCGGCTGGTTTGGTGAAGCGCGAAGGTGCTGTGAGTGTGCTCGTAGGAAATCTCGAGCCTTCTCGAGCAGGGTCAGGTATCGAGTCTCGTACAACTTCCAGAATTCCTCTTCGGTTTTCCAAGGCTGGAGGTGCACGTTCCAGACAGTCTGGCCGTGAGCGTTCTCGATGCACAGACTGGCCGCCTGGACCTTATCGATCTCGCCATACTCGCAAGGATATGAGTTGATATCGTGAAGACTAAAGTAGCCAATCTGAGTCTTCTTCTGAGGCGGTGCGTTCTTAGGCTGTTTGGCAGGCATGTTTGCCACTTTGGTGTTACGCTCCCAGGCGATTGCCTGAGAGCCATCGCCATGATGAAGGTCGAAGTCAATGATCGCAGCATGCGTGAGCCCGTGGGTCTGGGCTGCATACTCGATGCCAACATGCACGTTGTTCAGCCAGCAGAAACCTGACGGAAAGTCCGCTGAGCAATGGTGTCCGGGAGGGCGCACACATACGAAGGCATTGCGTGGCTTGTCCTTGGTGCCTGCGAAAACGGCATCGATGCCGTCGCAAACGCCACCAAGAGCACCCTGGAAGGCATTCAAGGACTCTGGGGAGAGATATAGGTCTCCCTCGTGGAACTTCTCCTTCTCAGGCTGGCCAGGTTCGTCTGTCCTGACAAGCTCCTTTCCGTTCAACGCCAACTTCTCTGTGGTGGTGTTGCACATGGTCTGCAATTCCGCCATCCACTTGGTTCCATGTACATTTGTCACGATAGGGGATGTAATATCGAGCGTGCGGGACGTGCGCCGGATCGTAAACGGGAGCTCCTTGGGCGGGTCGCGCTTCGGGTGCGGTGCATGCGGACCGCCTGCATGTCTCTCGGCGAACCTCACGTAGGCCGTTGATATTCCCAGAATGCCGGCGTGAATGCGCTCCGGGCGCTCAACGATCATGCTAAGCGCCGACTTGGTGGCCTTCGGGCGCGAGAAACGGTGACCGTAGCAAGCATCGTGCAGAATAACGACCGTTTGTGTAGAGAGTTCCTCGCCCTTGTGGTATTCAAGCTCTTTCGCGAAGTAGTCGCAGGCGACCTTCTGTGCCGTGAGCGGCACGGGCTCCTCGGCGGGGACGGAACGCGGGGACGCCAGCGCCGCGGACGAGGTGGATCTGAGGTTGCCGGATGTGCGTCGCGTCACGGACTTTCTAGGGGTATGGGTGCTTTCGGCGGCGGCTCCCTGGAGCGAGACTATGGAGCTGCGGCGCGAAAGCGCGGGCGACGCTGGGCGCACACCGAGGCTGCTTGCGCTGCGGTTGAGCGGGCTAGGGAGAGGGGCGCCGGGCGACTTGGGAATGCGATTATAGTAGGAGCTGGAGCGGCGGTGCGGCGAGTCCATGGCGGGCGACGGAGGCAACGAGGGCCGCGCAGCGGTGTTTATGGTCAGGCGACTGGAGGGCTTCGCAGGCTGCGGGTCGGGGTCGGGTTTTGGAGGGACTTGTAGCGAGCGAGGGGTTGGTTCGGCTGTCGCAGTGGGCGGGTCGGCAGCCGTGTCGGAGGAGGAGTCGTTCTCCATGGCGGAGGGCAGTGTTTGTTGTTTGGGTGGTGCAAAAGAGCGACAGAAGTGGGCAAGCAAAACAATAACGAGCGGAGGGGTAGGGATCAGGGCGGCATGTTTTGAGATGACGCCGGATGATGGCAGACCCTGGCAGCTGGAGGAGCGGACAGGGCGCGGGAGCCCAAGGCGCCGGGGCCAAGGGGCGCCTAAGGCTGAGACCCACTGCCTGTGATCTGGGCCTAGGTACCCGCGCCTCGGGGCGGCCAGGAACCGCCGGAAGCCAGTGCGTCTAGGTAGGTATTCTGCTCTACGGGTTCTACGAAAGCTGGACGCCCACGCCGGCGAGCGCGTCGACGGCCCACGGGGGGTAGTCGCTGCGCGGGTAGCGTTTATTAAAGAAGTCGCGCACGAAATCAGGGAAGCGATCTTCGATGATTGCCGAGCGCACCGACCGCATCAGCGCGAGCTGGTAGTGCACATTATGCATCGTAAGGAGGTGCGCGCCCGCCGTCTCCTTTGCCGCGAGATGATGGACATACGCCTTCGTGATGCCCAGCCCGCCGTCGCCCACCGGCCGGCAGCACGTGCACCTGCAGCCCTCCTCGATCGGCGTGAAGTCGTTTGCGTACGACGCGTGCCGCAGCGCCAGCATCCCCGCCGCCGTGATGGCGTTTCCGAAGCGCTGTCACGTCCGTCAGCCTGGGTATCAAACATGGATGATCGCACCCACCGCGGTCCTAGTGGGCCACACGCAATCGAACATGTCTGTGCCGAGAGCGACCGAGACCACGAGATCTTCAGGATACCCCTACGGAGATCAGCATGCGCAGCGGGCTATTTCGAGCGGCTGCTACACAGTACTCACCACGCCCATGACGTATCGTGGCTTCTTCTCCGGAAGCAGCTCTGCGCATGTCTTGACCCTGGGCTCCGAGTCAGATTGGCCTCGGATGCAGCAGCGGAAGCCTTACACCTGGCAATACGACTCCTTCGCTTCGCCGCCCGAAAGGCCGCCAATGGCAATGCCAGGGGTATCTCTCGCCACCATCTCCTCACAGCACTTTCTGCGGAGGTCGAGGTCGAGCCCGCCCTGGATAATGCAGAACAAGTTCTGCGTCTCGGGTTTCTTGTGCGCTTTAATGCAGCGATCCAACCACCTCACCGAGCGCTCCATGGCTTCCTTGATGCGCGCGTGGTCAGGAGAAGTCGTGGCGATGACATCGTCGAGCTGCATCATAATGTCGGAGCCGATGCTGTTCTGCAGGGACATTGAGTGCTCGGGGGTGAGCAGCCTGTCAACCTCTTCTCAGGGAGCTGGTAAAGCGGGACAAAAGGGAAGGGTCCATACATTGGTGCGCCGTCATGGGGGCTGAGGAACCTCACACCCTCCTCGGTAACCTTAGCGAGCTTGAGCAGCGAGACCATCTGGAACCTGGTCCGGAGTCAGCGCATAGTAACGGCAAGACAGGCGTGTACTGACCCGCCACTGTCTGCCGCAGAAGTCAGCCCTCTGTCATTGCAGACATATCTTCAGAGACGGGGAATGAACCTGTCAGAATGTTGTAGGGCCATGACTGCAGTTTGTGCGCGCCTCCAATGGTGTCCAGGGTCGACTGTCCGGGCTTGAGGCCACTGACGATTCGATTAGCCGGAACCTTCGCCAAAACTTCGCTGGTCACCCACAGGTGGTACGTATTGTTCAGGCATAAGCGACAGCCGGTGTCCTCCAGCTGTTCAGGAGTCAATCCCTTCAGGCTGGCCTGCGTGCCGACAGGCATAAACTTGGGCGCGGTTGTCAACGATATTGTTCAAGGTGGTCGGCGGTGTAGGCGGTACCAGAGGTAGCTGGACGGGTCCATGAGGAAGTGACAGCGTGGCGGCGCGGGCTCTGGTGGTCTAGTCAAGCAATTAGCACCGTCCGGCCTGGGGTACCAGAGCAGATACCGAGCATTTTGCGACAAGCTCGAACGTGAGCGCCGAGGGTGTAGGTTTGCGAGCCATGATGGCGACGGTGACAAGAGGATCGGCGCGGGGCGAGTGTCGTCGGCAAGATTAATTCACAGGGTAAGCCGAGCCGGCCCGCTCTTCACCCCGCCATGACTTGCACAAAGACTTTGTCTCTCAAGAGTATGCATATGGAGCACTACAGTATCGAGAGCTACAGCTGCCGTTCAGCGAAAACCAAAACTAAGATATATTCCAGTTCGGTGGCGAACACGAGGATTCACATTAAGGCATTACCACTCATTTCTATCCCAACGATCAAATCGGGCATTTCTGCGACTACTCGGGGTATCCTGCGGTACACGGCACACATCATTTCGAAACACCCGCACGCCGATATTTAGGTTGCAGGGGGGAAAAGGAACGAGACAAAACTTCAAAGACTGGTATCCCCTCCACAGCTCCAACCGATCGCAGTACTCCGTTCCGTGTGATGCAATTCATGTAGGCCCACAAAGATCAAAGAAATATGTACGACAAATTAGCTTCCGGCCTTGCCGGTGTGTTGATGTTCGTGCTTTCTCTCCATCTCCAAATGCCGTCCAGACGGACATCTGAAAAAGGGGGCAGCGCCGCTCCTTTGTAGTTAGACACACAAAGCTCTTATCCAGACACTTTTATTAACACTCCGATGTTTCATGAGCGTCTCTTCCGGTGCATCAACGACACGCTTTGCGGTTGCTCTGCTGCAGCAAGTCGTACTCTCATACACACTCGAGAACGGGAGAAGCTAAGGCTCGGTCGTCCGAATAATCCTGAATGGATGGCCCTCGGTGCTGAAGACCCAGGCATCCAGAGTGCCAACGTTTACATCGGCGAAGGTCAGATACAAGTATTTCAGCGTCTCCGCCGCCCAGAAACTCTCCGACTCGTCCATGTGCGTGACCTTGCGGCCATTCTTCACGTTCACGCCGACGTCCCGGATCGCCGCGAAGCCGTACTCGGTCTTGCAATACTTTTCGAATGCAACGAACGCGTCCCACGCCCAGTCTCGATACCTCTGCTCACCCGTTATCCGCCAGGCGTAGAACAGCGATTCCACGTACTCCGGTCGGAGGCGGTACTTCGCGTCCGCAAGCCAGAAGCCGTGCTGCGCGAGTTCAGCGCGCTGGCGGGGCGTGCGCGGCTCGAAGGTGCCGTTGGGCAGGCCGGCATACGGAACCCAGGAGAATTTTTCCGGACCAATGCCGGTGGGCATGGCGGCGTAGCTGTGGCGGCAGCCATCGAGCAGGGCCTTTCCGAGCACAATGAGGTCAGGCTTCTCAAGGTAGGCGCCGCCGAGCATGAGGTTGCCGGGGGCGAAGCAAGCAAGGTGTGACATTTCGTTGAGGTACCAGTCATCGTCAAGCTTGCCCATGAAGAGGTGTGAGGGCTTGTAGTTGTCGGCGTAGCTGGAGCGGGTGGCGAGCTTGTGGCGCAGCGCATGGGCGGCCTGCGTCCAACGGTCGATGTAGGTGGAGGTATAGCGATCGTGGGGCGCCAGGATGGCAGCCTTGATCAAGTACTCGTAATAGCTGTCGTGGCCAGCGTCCCAGTGCTTCTGCCGACCAACAGGCTCGCCGGTGAATATGTCAATGGGCGCAGATACCAGGCCGACTGGGTCTTCTACCCACTTGTCCCACACAAGCGGGGCCCAGGCATTTGTTGCATTGACGAAGTAGATAGGGTCTTTGGTCTGTCTCGTGAGCGTCCGATATTCCAGGATGTTGGATCCGGCGCGTGCGGGGCCGATGGATGGATGTTCATAACGGATCTTGTCCGGATACTTTTCATACAGCTCCGGTGGATCCCCCGTGCCGATATTTTTCTTGAAGTCGACGCGCGGATAGACCATGCCGGTTGGGCTGTCGAAGCCGGGGCCGAGTTTGTTAGCTAAGGTAATGGTTTGCGCCAGAATTCCAGCTCTCTTCTTGCTGTCAATGACCGTCTTCGGGATGACACCGCCGTCTATCAAGTCCACCAATGACGCAAGGCCTCCGACATAGCGGATGGTCGTCTCAAACGGATCGACCAGTCCCTGTGCATCGTAGAAGGGAATCTGCACGATGCGATCCACCGACATTTTCAGTTCGTCCCAGAGGCCCATAAGCGCAAGTGTGCCCGCGGAGTCCACAATGAAAGCGCCCCAGCCATTTCTAGAGTTTTTCTTGCCCCCGGTGACTGGTAAGATGTCGTCATATCCCCATGCATATTTCTTGTATTTCGCAAAGGTATACTTCATGGCGTCGGCGACGCGGGCGGCCTTGTCCTCGTCGGCGCGGCCGCTCGCTCCGGTCCATGGTTGATGTTGGATTTGGGGGCCTCTGGGCTCGCGCAACTCGGCTTTAGGGGCGCTGGCGAAAGGAATGCCGTGGGTTAGGAGGTATATTCCGTAGAAGGAGATGATGATGGCGGCGCTGAGCAGCTTGAATGCGGGGGTCGGGTTCCGCTGACACCGCTGTAAAGACGGCATGGTGGGAGAGTAGGATGAGTCGCTCGGGAAAGGCACGTCTGTGAGCAGGTTGACAGCTGCATCGGACCGTCGGAGGCGTCGAAGAGTCGGCGAGGTGCGGCGGAAGTTTGCAAATTAGGCGTGTCGAGCGACGTCAAGCTTCCATGTCGGAGCGGGCTTGCAATGGAAACAGCAGGGCCGTGCGGAGCGGTGCGGGCGCTTCGCGGGGCGAGCCGGACGCGCGACTAAGGTATGTTCCAGAGGCGGAAAGGGGAGGCTCGGAGATGTGGGCGTGGGTGAAGCGACATAGCTGGCAAGACGGCTGGAGGAGCAACATTGAAGGACCTGGGGCGGATCCCGGCGAAGCAAGCGAGACGGAGCTCAGAGCTTCTCCGAACCTCACCGCAATCCCTTCCCCACCCAACGCCGCCAAACATCGCCAATCCGCGTTACAGCAATGTCGCTCTGGCAGTGAGTGACGTCTCCTCCGCCGCATTGGCCAATGCTCATCTTCGCGCGCCAGGCAATACCGTTCGAGCGCACCCAAAACCCGCCTTCTTCTCGGCGTGGGCTTGCTCGCATGGGGGACCATTGGCCTCTACAGCACCGACACGGCCGAGAAGGCCTTCAACATGGTTCCCACTGACGAGGACAAGACGAAGTTGGACCAGGCTATCCCGAAGATCAGCGTGGTCGATAGAGAGTAGACTGGCGAGGGGGATGCAGAAAAGGCAAATGGAGAAGCGATCCAGCCTCAGCAGTCGGCGAAACGGTGGAAATTGCTAGTATTAGCTGTCGCTCATGCCGATGAAAGATAAGTCAACCAGTGCCATTGGTGTATGAACTCTTTTGGGCAATCGTGGAATAGAGCAGAGGCTGACCCTACGTGTAGGCGGCGCGGCTTGGCTAAGACATCGCTTGCGCCCCAACGGTGACACATGACTGCGACCATGCGGGATACTTCGATTCATCTCCGAGACTGCGTTGCTCATTATTTATTATCATGGCCTCCGTTTCTGTGCTTAGCAAGGCGCAATTAGTTACTTTTATTGGAGATGCGCATGGAGCGGAGGAGTGAGGAGACAAACAGGCGCTAAAAGCCCCAAGGGCAGGCCGAAGAGCATGTTATTTTTTGCGTGCACTAAATCTACGGACCAAGCTAAAGAGGGCTTATAAAACCATCGATGTCGTTGCGTTGTGTCGCTTCCCTTAGGAAAGTGAGCATTCAGTAACAGTTCACGGGTTCGGTTCCGGCTTGGTGTCATAGTGCGGGTCCTATGCTAAGCTTGGAGTCTGCTCGTACAAAGGGCTGTGGCTAGGTGTATATACGACTAGACTTGCTGTTTTGCCTTTTTTTCACTGCTACTGTGCTCCTTGGTCTTGATGGACTACTTACAGGCCGCCTCCGAACACCTGCTCCCCGCTCTCCCGATCAAGCGATTCGGGTATCCGGCCGGGGTCTCACTCCGAGGCGATCACCATCTCCTTTCCCAGGAGTACTGTTGGGTCGTCAGTTCCGCGGCCAAGTGGAGCCACATTTCTCCTCCTTCTGTGGGCTTTCTGAGCTATTCAACTATGCTCTTAAAGGCAAACATTGTCGCTATGCTTCAATAGCGCACTTAACCCGTTTCTCATCCACCAGCTTGCTACCCTAAAGAGCAAGACTGTGCAAACACATGGGCCTCAATTGGAACATCCGCCTCGAGGCTCTATGCTTTGGACTGCCATGATATACATAATAAAAGCTGAATGTCTTACAAGCCATTGAAAGGACAAGTCCTGCCGTTACATGTGACGTCTAAGCACTCGATTTGTTCGATAGTCCTACGCCGTTATGGATATCGAAGTCTTACTCGGACTTGTTCATTCTGGCTTCGTCCCACGCTCACGCCTAGCAACACTTTCAAAGCCCGACCGCATTTGCACGCCGTTTCTACCCTTTTCGTACAGGATTTTGATCGGTCCCAAGTCTAATGGATTTTGTAGTGACCCAACCATCACCAAAGAAAAAAAAAAGAAACCGGGTAGTTAGCCCTAAATGACGAGCAGCCGCCATGCACCACAATGGATCAATCCAAACCTGAACCTATGCCATGCCCAGTGTTACTTATAACCGCACTCCATTCCCAGTACCCTGTATGTCCTTCTACCAGGAAGTTGAATTCCACCACGCATTCAGTTTCATTTCCCATCGTAACTACTTGCTCTCAGCTTCCTTGCTACCCTGCCTGCCTTTAGACCACTTCTCACTCATATATCTCAACGATTTTGCTGGACCGGCGGTGAGCAAGCCTTTCAAGCTCTGAACTGTACTCGGCCACTTGACGGTATCTCTAACAGCTTGAGAAGCCTTGTCCTTCAGATCTTTTTCCGCGGCGATGCGGCGATCGAAATCACCGCCCTGACGACGCATGTAGCTAGTCGCATCTTCGTTCGCACGCTGCTGAAGCATCTTCTTAAACTCCGCGCCCGAGATACCATATTGACGCTGGTACGCAAAATAGATCCTCTCGCGGAAAGCTTTCGGCAGACGCCGTACCATATTCCCACGTTTGATCGGATCCATGTCTTGCTCCATAGCAATGTCGACGCCTGGCGGAACATCAAGCTCCCACCCCGGCGTCTTGACATGAGGGTCGGTGTGGGTAGCATTTGGAAGTGTATCAAGAAGAGGGTTGTAAAGGCGACGGAAGTGTCGTAGCTGGTGACGAACGATGTTGGAGACTTTATGTGGATCCTCCGAGTTGAAAGACATACGCGGATCTCCCATGTAGCTGAGCCCGGCGACGGCATTGAACAGCTGGGTCTCGGTGAATTTCTCGGGAAGCATGAGAAGTGCGGCGCGCACTGCTGATATCAGATTCACCTGGTTGGCAAGTCGGATGCGCGCGTCATCGCGAAGGATCTTGACTGGCTTCTGCAGCCTGCCGGCAAGGTAAAGCGTGTTCCACTCGCTAAGGTCGCGCTGCAGAGTGTCAAGGTTGACTACGCCATATTTGATGAGCGTGCCGTTCACGGTGATATACGGCGCAAAGTACACGCCTGCCCCAAACCTGTCCTGGACTTGGGACACCGCCCAAGACCCAGCCGAGCCGAGAAAGGAGTAATGGTCCCTGTGCTGAGCCAGATTCAGAGAATGCCAGTGCTGAGAGTAGGTGACGCCGAAGATGAAGTCGATAACCTTCTCGCCGCCGCTCTGCCATTTCTTGATTGCTTCGGGAGGATTCGGGTGGGGGGAGAGCGAGGTGGAGCTGGTCGCGCTGCTTTGCGGAAACACACCCGAGCCGTAGGCGAAGGCATATCGGATGGGCGCCCGAAATTGCCATATTATCTGCCTCAGCGCTTCTGAGAAGTCGCGATTCATGTCAACCATGTGCTGGTTCAAACCGAAATCGCGCCCCGTTGGAAGCTCGGCAAAGGTCTTGATGTTGAAATTTGGTTCGTCCTCCCAGCCGTCGGGTAGCGAAGAATTCACGGAGGACGAGGAGGTCGGCGACCGGGGGCTTGAGTGGTCCGACTGAGGCGCCGATGGCGGGTTTGATGGATTGGAAGCTGTGGACGCTTTCGACGAGTTCGCAGGTGAGCTACTTTCTGCGGGCGACGGTTGCGAGGCATGGAAGGCGCGGGTGCGAGCATGTTGGGGACGGCAGTGCAGTAGGGACCGTTGGGAAAGTGAGGCCCGGCTTGCAATGGCAGGCTGCAAGCCTCTGAACTGCACTGCGAATTAGATGTCGGATGGTCTGGCTGCGAGCGAGGGAGCTTGGACGGGCTTACGGAAAGATGTTGGAGAAGAGCCATGATTACGGAGCCTTTTCGGGGCGTCAAAGTGGGAGCAGCGGGGTTATCGGCGTACGGCGAGAGCAGAGCAGTGAAGCAGCAGCGCAGCCATAGCCGGGAGGTGAAGATGCGGCATTGAGGGAAGGGCGCAGCGGCCGAAATATGGAGCAGATGCGGGCCGCCAGCGTCGGCGGCGCGGGCGGCCGCGGGACAGCGCTGCTGATTAAGATGATTTCATCCGGAAGTCCGCCCGGAAGGAGCTTGGCCTCCCGCTCCGCTTCTGTTTATGCGACCGGGCCAGCGTAATAATAACAACAACACTGCCGCCTCCACCACCACGCGCCTGCCTTGCATTGCTACCCCACCCGACGCGCCCGGACGCGTCGCATATCCATCGCAGCCATGCCCCCCCCGGAGAACGCCAATAGCTTTGTCGGCCGCCTCGCAACCTTCGAATCCCCTCGCCAGCTCACCAAGAGGCGCGCCTCCAGCACCAAGAAGAAAGCCGCAACCACCGTGTCTTGGCCCCATGACACCCCGAGCCCCGAGGACGTACGTGCTGAAGGTCTCGACCCCCCTTGACGTCTCGCTGCTGACAATTGCGTAGCTGGCACGCGCTGGCTTCTATTATTCACCCGACTCCGGCCATCCTGACAATGTTGCCTGCTTCATGTGCGATCGCAAGCTGGATGGTTGGGAGCCGGAAGACATTCCGGCACTAGAACACCTGAGCCATGCGCCCGAATGCGCTTGGGCGATCAATGCATGCCTGCCTCTGCGCGAACCGGAGGAGCACGAGGATCCTATGAACGGGCGAATGGTCGCTGCTCGCACCGCAACGTTTGCCGGATCGTGGCCACATGAGAAGAAAAAGGGCTGGAAGTGCAAGACAAAGAAGGTAACTTGGGCTCTCTTCCAAGTTCATCTCTGATGCTAATGGATATGTCTAGATGGTTGAGGCGGGATGGTGCTATGATCCCAGCCCGGAATATGAAGATGGGGTCGCCTGTTTTTATTGCATGCTCTCGCTCGATGGTTGGGAGCCCAAGGATGACCCAAAGTACGTAATAGCGACCCGTTCACCAAGGCATTTGCTGATCGATCGTAGGGAGGAACACTACAAGAGATCGCCCGACTGCCCCTTCTTCATGCTCAACGATGCGTACGCGGATGCTAGAAAAGCCACGAAAGGAAAGAAAGGCCGTGCATCAACTGCTTCCATGGCTTCTCGACTCTCCATCCAATCTACTAGGGACTTCGACACGTTCTCCGAGGCTCCATCTCTTATGTCCCTGGGCGACGACGCCCCTCACGAAGACGACAGTGTGCTGACTACGGCCAGTAACGCGACCACTACTTCCGTGGCTCGCGGCAAGAAGGGAACCGGCAAAGCTAAGGCTACCTCTAAGAATACTCGCAAGACAAACAGAGGCAAGAAGCCTGTGGATGAGCCTTCAGTTGTGGAGATCGAGCCTCCATTAAGCCTTGCTGATGACGACCTGTCACTCGGAGGCCTCAATGCAACCGACGGAGATAGTGCTATGACTACAGCAACCACGGCGTCGAAACCTGGCAAAGGCCGCAAGACGGCATCCAAAGCCAAGCCCGCCAAGGAAGGCAAGAACACTTCCAGGACCACCAAGAAGACCGCGGTCGTGAATTCGATTGTACCGGATAAGCCCACAGCTGAGGTGGCAGAGACTGAGATGGAAATTGAGCCTGTCATCCCCCCTATCCGGGCTACTCGGGGAGCGTCAAAACCCGAAGCGCCATCTTTCGTCGATCAGGCCTCGCAATTCGAATCTCATGCAGAAATAGAGCCCTCCAAACATAGAGCGACAAGGGCCAAAGGAGGACGGAAAGCCAAAGCTGTCGAAGAGTCAAGACTGAGTAGCGATGCAAGTCAGCTTCAGTCTGAACTGGAGGATGCTGTCACTAAGGTGGCACAAGAACCAGCCAAACCTAAGAGAGGCGGGAAAAGGACAAGCGATGGTGCTATGAAAACCGACGACTCTGTTGTGGCTTTGGATGAGCCTCCTAGGCCCCCTAAGGCCAAGAGGGGAAGGAAGGCGAAGGTCGAGGAGCCTGCGGCCAGGTCCGAGCATGAAGACGAGGACAGCGAGAGCATTCCACCGCCCAAGCCTGCTCCGAAGTCTAAGAGAGGTCGCAAAGCGAAGCAAGTCGTCGAGGAGAGCACTGTGGAGGCTACCGTAGAGGAAGCTCCGCGTGAGCCCACTCCGCCGCGCGAACCTACTCCAGTACATGAGTCTCCAGAACCAGCTGAGCCGTCTCCCGAAGTATCTCCCAAGGCAGCTTCTGAAGCAGCGAAGGAGCCTACGCCTCCTCCAAAGGAGATTACGCCCTCACCTTCGCCTCAATCTTCAGATGCGGAAAACAGGCCACCGTCATCACGAGTGCCATCTTCACATGCCCCTCCTTCAGCGCAAGCTCCCATTTCAACGCGTGGCATACGTGTTCCTCTTGCGGATGCTAGCACGCCGCAGGTATCTCCCTCTAAACGTAGTAATAACGTCATTGGTGGCCTTAGCTCTACGCAGCCTTGGGAAGCGGTGGATCTTGAGAACGTATTTCTGCAGTCACCCGCCACGAAGCGCATTTTGCACGATAACGGTGAGGAATCCTGCAAGATGAACGGAGGTAACTGGGAGGAAATGTCGTTAGACGAGGCGGTGCGCAAGGTGCGCCGTGAGATAACGGGCGCGGAGAAGAAGATGACGGTCGAACAGTGGGTACAACACCAGGCTGAGAAGGGTGAGCAAGAGCTCCGAGAGCAGTGCGAGCGCATGGTCAACATATTTGAGACGCAGGGGACCAAGGCGATGAGGGCTCTGGAGGGGATTCGCTGCTCCAACTAGGCATCACGGGATCGACGATTGGTATCAGGTTTCGGCGCATTCGGGTTATTTTGGCATGGTTGACCGGTGAAAGGATGGTTGGATTACTGGCGGCGGGCGTTATTACCGGGGGATTTGTATCGACTACGACGGCTAGTATGGCTGTAGCGCTGGATGAAACTCCATGTTCTCCATGTTCTCCCGGCCCCCGTGATGTTCGTCGGGTGGGGCGATGACGAAGCGTGAAGTGCACTGTGGAGCAATTGAGTCATAGCGACATCGGTGCGGCCAAGAAACGCATGATGGTTTCAAAAGCCATCCCCCGCCAAACCTTGCAGCTACACCACCCAACCGCCAAAATGACGACGAACGGCACCCGTGTGAACGCCTTCAACCTCGAGACCTGCGCCAGGCCGAATATCCTCGCGCTTGAGCCCTACCGCTGCGCCCGCGAGTAAGTTGCAGTATCATTGGTACTCGATTCCCTGACGCGACGCGATAGCTGATGAGGCAGTGACTACAAAGATGATGGCACCAACATCCTGCTCGACGCGAATGAGAACGCCTACGGCCCCGGTCTAGCTCTTGAGGGAAACGGAAAGCTCAGGAATGGCGTCTATGGCATGGAAGACAACATCGAAGTCGACTTCCTCGGTCTGAACAGATATCCCGACCCGTGAGCTCAGTCGAACCACCGCGCGATAACGCAGGGCTAACGAGCGGGGCAGGCACCAGATTCCGTTGAAGCAGCGCCTTTGCGACCTGCGCAACACGAACCATCACACGCAAACCCAACTGCGCCCTGACAACCTGTTCGTTGGTGTTGGGTCAGATGAAGCTATCGACGCTTTGCTGCGCGCATTTTGCGTGCCTGGAAAGGACAAGATCCTGACATGTCCTCCGACTTACGGCATGTACAGTGTGTCTGCGCAGACCAATGACGTGGGAATTGTCAAAGTGCCCCTTATCGCCTCGCAAAACTTCGCTCTCGACGCACCGGCCATAAACGAGGTTCTCAGCGGGCCTGAGGGTGCCAACATCAAGCTGGTCTATATCTGCTCGCCCGGAAACCCGACCGGCGCGCTGGTTTCCAAGTCCGCCATTGAGCAGATCCTGACGCACCCGACCTGGAATGGCATTGTCGTGGTCGACGAAGCCTACGTCGATTTCGCCGCCGAAGGCTCCAGCCTGGCTCAATGGACGACTGAGTGGCCTAATCTCGTCGTGATGCAGACGCTCTCCAAGGCTTTCGGTCTGGCGGGCATTCGCCTCGGCACTGCCTTCACGTCGGCCCCAATTGCTCGCATCCTCAACAGCCTGAAGGCGCCATACAACATCTCGAATCCCACGTCCCAGGTTGCGATTCAGGCGCTGAAGTCCCGCCATTTAGGCGTGATGCACAAGCACAGGGATGCTCTCCTCCACCAACGTGAAAGGCTGCTGCAAGAGATACCCAAGGTGCCGGGCGTCGGACGCTTCTTGGGCGGTCAGGATGCCAACTTCCTACTGGTAGAGTTCCTAAGCGCACCAAAGGAGGAGGGCGGCAAGCCGGACAACGAGGTTGCGCTCAAGGTTTACGAGGCGCTCGCCGAGGAGAAGGGCGTCGTCGTGCGATTCAGAGGCAAAGAGCTGGGCTGCACCGGCTGCCTGCGGATCACCGTCGGCACTGAGAACGAGTGCTCTCGCTTCCTTGACAGCTTGCACCAGGTGCTGAGCAGTGTCTACAGTGGCAAGAAGACTGTCAGCGGTGTGAACGAAGCAGAGAGGGAGCAGGCAGCGAGCAACGTGATTGGATGAGCTCGCTTCCTTCACTCTTATTTGGTTAAAGGATATCCTCAAAATGTTGAGTGCGTTTAACGTTGGCTCGGCGTCTCAGGTTCTTGATTGATATAGATAGAGGATTTTATTGGGCGGAGGTGTAAAACCGTGCAGGTCATCTGTAAATCTTAGCAGCAGAGTTCTCGCTGTCGCAAAATAGAGATGCTAAATCTACTTGATAAACCGCATTAAATGACTCGGAGAAAGATGTTACTGTGACACGCCAAAACAACACGTCTCAGGTCAAATCGCCAGGAGAATGATGGCAGGGTAGGCGACGGTGAATTGCAGCCTTCCACGTCTCGCGAATAGGAGGACGGCACTCACCTTGTATACATGATTGAAGGACACATCCAGAGGTATATGTAAATTGTTGGCTGTTACAACGATCACTAGACGATAACTCCAAAAGTAAGACACTCTTGCTGTTGAGACAAGCCTGGAAAACCTAAGCTCGTTAGTAAATCACTGAGACGGGCGGTCACACTTCGTCAACCAATAGCAAAGAACCGAGGATCATCGACGAGAAGCAGAATCGCGAAGATACCTAGTCGCCGGCCAAAGGCATTTTGTAACATGTACGATACGAGCACAAGGTCCATTTCCGGAGATAGTACGCAGTCATGATCATCGGGACTGCACTTGCCGACGGATATTCACTGTTTCATTCCTCATCGCGCTCGTCACGCGGCTTGCCCGCGTTCCTGCATGATAACTACGCCGATCGATGGTCGTGATGTGCGGTTTGGATGGCATGTTGGAGCGACAAAAATAGAAGCAATAGCTCGTTCGGGTTATTATCTGGCTGGCATTATGAACGACTTTGCGACATGCGACCATCACAAAGAAGGAAGGATTAGAGGCCAGTCGCCCCCACGCTGATCGTGTCTCCGGACTTTCCAACCGGTCAATTTGATTTCCGCTTTCTGATCATCCATGGGCTCGGAGGCAAGTCTTCCCTTTTGTGAGGCTGATGGACGATAAACATGCGACTGAGCTAACCCGAGCGGGCGGGCTCCAAGCGAAAGCTCTGCGACTGCTGCTGATTGCGTGACACCAATGGGCCCATTTTGCAAGCAAAGGCGCGCGAATTGAGGGAAATCCCGGGGCGAGGCCCAAAGCTCAAAACGTTGCTACACTTATCTGGCGCCTCGGCAGGGACGGCCTGAGCAGCAACGGCTTTCAGTTGCCGGGCAGCGTTATCTATGTTGGGCTGGCACGTGGGTTCACAGGTACGGTGCAGAACCGAACCCGAGCCAAGTACGATAGGGAGCGACAAACGCTTGGGACCGAGGATCTCAGTCCACGTGATCTAAAGGACCTCGTGGGTTTGCATTTCGAACCGTCTGATTGGGTCCATGGACGTCTATTGGCAGCGTGGGATGTTGTTGGGGAGTGGCAGGGGAGGAGTAAGGTATCGTCGGGCGTGGGCCTCAGAGATTGGCTGGAAGGGAGCTCGAGGGGAATCGAGGCCGAAGAGCCAAGAGCTGGCGGGGCCTAGGCATGCGCGGGCAGATGACAGGAATAAGTGACGTGAGGGGGTTGAGAAGTTCTACGTGCGTCCATGGCAAGTGACCGATTCGTTCAACCCGAGCCCGCGGCGCCGCGCTGTATCGTGGCGGCGGAGCTGGGTTCCGCAGGCGTATTGGCGCGCTCGTCACTCGTCCCAAACCTGTGCCTGCCCGTCTGCATTTATCGGCTGACACGGTCGCGGCCCCCGCCGCCGCAGCCTTCGTTTTGCTCTGTGCATCCGCCACTATCTCCGCACTCTCGCTGGCGGCAGTTGGCGGTGTTGATGGAGGTGAGATGGGGATGGAACGGCAGTTGATGCGCAGCCAGGATCGGTGGGGGTGGAGGTGGAGGTGGAGGTGGGCTGCAGCGGCGCCGAACGGCGAAAAGAAGGGTCCACCAGATCGTAGCCGTTGTGTCTCTGGCCTCCCACCCGCTCATCACCCCTCTGCTGGACAGCAACACGACCAGGCCCCCACCCGCGCAGATCACGAAGGAAGCACACCCGCTCGCGTCCGCCCAAGAGCTGGGCGGGCTAGCGCCGCGCACATTTTGCAGCTGGGCGCCATGGCGGGAAACGCCGCCCGCTGCCAGGACCGCCAGGCCGCCGAGCGCGGATGCGCGAGGCCACGGCTGCTGCTGTGGCTGCTGCGCGCAGCCTGGCCGTTGTTCGCGGCAGAGGAATGCACGCCAGAGCCATGGAGTGGGCGCCCGCGGTCGCCACCAACATGGGCAGCATCCAAGCGAGCTGGCCGTTAATTCGGCGCAGCGCCTTATCTGCCCCAAGCCACAAACCGAGCCTCGAGGACCCCAGCCTGCCCACGTCCGCACGTCCCGCACGTCCGCACCCCAGCTCGCCCGAGATCGCGCTCGTCGGACGGGCGCGCCTCTTCAGGTCTGATAGTGGCTTTGTCTATCTACTTACTGCCTGTCCCGCCCGGCGCCGCCCTCACCTCTTGCTCCTCTGCCCTTGTTGTACTGCTCGCGATCCACCCTCACAGCTGCGTCACAGCTGCTGCTCCGCCCGGCCAATTCGCCAGCCAGTCTTGACGCGCCTCCAGCCGAGCGGCAGGCAGGCCCATGCTTGCACCGCATCGCCCTCGACACCATATCGCCCCGTGGAGACGAGCTGCACCGCGTACGCGACACGACACCGCTCGCCCTCAACATAGACCGCACTCCACCCCGATCCACCCCTCTTCGGGGGAGGGGATGAGCTCTGCGCCGCCATGCCGCAGTCCCTCATCGCCCGCTCATTCTATGACAGCCCGCCTCCCGCGCCGCGCACCCGCGCCGAAAACCATCCAACGCTGCTATTTAGCTGGTGGTGCACATGTTTCTCCTTCGTCATCATTCTGTTTCGCTTGTGCGGCCGCTTCGTACGCACTGAGCGCTTCTTCCGTGAGGACAAGGTCATGGCCCTGAGCATCATTCCATTGTTTGTGCGCATGGGCCTTGTGCATGTCATCCTGATCTACGGCACCAATAATGTCGACACATCAAACCTTACTGATCCCCACCATATCTGGATGCGTGAGGTCGGCTCGAGGCTCGTGCTGTGTTCGCGCATCTGCTATGCTGCATTGTAAGCTACATCCCTGCCACTACTGCCGGCAATTGGCGCTGCAGCTGCTAATCAAGCTCCTCGCATGTGCAGCATCTGGACCGCAAAGCTCGGAGTCTGCGAGTTCCTCGCGAGAATGGTCGAGACTTTCTGGAGGCGTGAATATGAGCTCACTCTGCGATGGATCCGCTACTTCCTTGTGGCCACTTTCATTGCCATAGTCATCGCAACACTGGGCGAATGTCGGCCCTTCAGTCATTACTGGCAGGTCGTCCCGGATCCAGGGCCTCAGTGTAGGACCGGCTACGCTCAGCTCATCACCATGGGAGTCTGCGACATCACCACCGATATCCTACTGGTTTGCTTTCCCATCCCTATGGTTCTCAAGTCAGCAATACCTTTCAAGCGCAAATTCCGGCTTGTCCTCCTGTTCTCCATGTCTATTATCCTTATCTGCATCACCGGAGTACGCATCCCGGAGGTCATCAAACACCACGGACGACAACAGTACCGCACTGTGTTTGCTTCAAGTGAAATCCTCGGAGCAGCGTCCGTCTCCAACGCCATTGTTCTGGGGTCTTTTCTGCGGGATCGTGGCGTAAAGAAGACGAAGAAGTACAAATTGGGTTCGGTATCGGACAGCATCGACCGAGCTTCGCAGCGGAGACCGACCATCACCTCTCAACACATGGGCAGTGTTGAGGATCTCATCCGTGAAATGGGCTGGCGCATGCCAAAGGATCTCGAAGCGCAGAACCACGAACCGCGTCCTGCCCCTGTCGCGCCTCCTGCCTCGCCTCCATCTCATGTCAGAAAACCGTCATTTGTTGGGAACGGAAAAGGATGGCAGTTCCCCAAGCACGACAGTATCAGAGACAGCGAGGAGTCAGACCCACAATACGACGTACTGGACGACCCTGCGCCAAGTCCCAAAGAAACACAAACTGCTTCGAGACAAAGGCTTTCATTCTTTGATGTGGGTGGACTGTTGGACCCCAGCAATTCATCAACGCCAAGCTCTATAGTGCCTTCCCCCACCAGTACGACGGTTGCGCAAGACTTTGCCACTACGCCTAGACGCGGCTCTCGAGCGCTCCTTCAGGATCTAGGTGGTCTCAGGGTTCCAGGCCGACGTTCGTCGCAGCATCCTTCCGTGGCAGAGGGAGAGTGCTACGAACTTACCCCGCGCAATGCCGAGATCCGCTCCAGCGGATCGACCTTGCATCTTCCGGGCAGCATTGCTGGACCACAGCTGGGTCGACACGAAACCCGTCAGTCACTCCAGGATGTCGGTGGACTCCTGGGCAACAGTGGCAACGAAGCGTCTGAGCAAATACAGCCAGACTCAGATGACACATCAGGGATTTCGCCAACGTCCTCGCCCGTACTACGCATCCGCGATCCCTCTCCTACTAGTCCGCTTTCAATCAATGCTCCGCCAACAGCAGCCCAGGGCCATTTGCCTTGTCGTCCGCAGGCCCGCGCGTCACTACAAGACATGGGGAACGTTGTGGCCGAAGAGAGGGAAGATGACTCGATACATTGATTTTCTCTGCCCCGTGGCATCTCTTATGATATACCCCTTGCTTCCCTTATTATTATGAACTTCTTTCTTGCACGATATCCCTGACTCTGAGGTCGAATTTTGCTTGTACAATATTTCTTGGCGCGGACTTTTAACGACTTTTATGTGGCCATGAGAGGACAATGCGGACTTGCGGAAGGTCCGCCAGTGGTAGGAGTTCACGGTTTGCTTTTACTTGTTCCTGGCCGGATTGCAGGGGTGTTCTGCTGAAGCGTCGGAGGGGGCCGATGAAACCACAAGGTTGAAAGCAGACGGGCCGTGGAGGGGGTGCCCTCCAACCTAGTGGCGCGTTGCCAGTGGCGAGACGCAAGAACTTGGAGCACGAGTATCTACGAAGCCCTTGCGCTATAACAAAAACAGTGTGTTGAAAGTATAGATATGCTTCCCTAAGTGTCTAGATAGCCGTTAGGGCGTTGGGGCATGCAGCTGTTCGAGACTGCCTTGTACTGCTGGGCATTGATCCCAAGCGCGTGGTTCAGGCACGTCTCGGTGCATAGAAGCACCTTCTAGCTCTGCATAGGCGCAGGGGGGCACGTGGCACGTGCGTGGGAGGCGGGGAGAAAGACGGTGAATGTGACTTGTCTGGCCATTGCAGCTCGTAAGGCGACGGTCCGCCAGTGAGCGGGCTGCAGCACGCCGTGCAGACGGCTCGGAAAGGGCCTAGCATGGCAATACACATATCGAGTAGCTTCCTGTTTGGGTTTGACATGGCTGTCCCTGCCCCAGATCCCCGCTTCCATGCATGGCCTCGGCTGGCGGCACTGCTGTGTTCGCTTTCTCTCGGGCTTGACCCGCCAGACCACCCCCGGCTACCACTGCCTAGCGTCGGCTGTTGACTGTCAGGTTGACGTCGGTCGTCGAACTCAGGTTCCCGGCGCACTGGCGCAGGAACCGCCCGATGGCCATAGCTTCATGCATGCATGACATGACTTGCCCTTTCGCTTCGTCGACCTATCACCGTCTTCCTTGAATCCTGCGGTATCCATACCAACCCTAGCTTCGAACATCTTCAGCTTACTCTCTCCGGACTTCAACAACCTATTCTAGAAGCTCAGCTGGTGCACCAACCCAAGGCGAGACAAGGCTCCTATTGCCCGACACAAGCGAGCCAATGGCGTTGGGCTCGCCGTCAACAGCAGCGGATGAGACAGCACCGTCGCGCAGGGCGCCATTGAGACTGCCGCCGCCCACGACAGCGGGTGAGGAAGAGGGAGACGCTTGGCTGGACAAAGGCCCTGAGGGTGATTCCGCTGCCGCCAACGCCACGTCTGCCGGTGTGGCAGCTGCCCTTTCCGCCATGCACGCCGCCGCGGCTGCCGCCGCCTCGTCGTCTGCCCGCTCCCCTGCGTTGGCGAAAGGCGCGAAGGAGACGACGGCATGCGCTGAGATGACGCCGTCTGATGAGCCCGGCGTGGCCCCGGAACCTTCTCCGGACCAACGCCCCCCCCCGCCCGTCCACGTCCTTCCCGCGCCTCTCACCCGGTCCGGTGTCGCGGCGCTCCTCCGCGACCATCTGAACGCGCCGCTTGCCGTGTCTGACGTGGTGCGGGAGTGCGATCCACCTGTACTAAACGATCTCCCGCAGAATCCTACAAAGGTGATGCGGGTGGCGCATGAGAAGATTCATGTCTTCCCCTTTAAGGACGTGCGGAAGTGTTGGTTGCGGGCATGGGTGGAGGGGAGCTTGGCCAGGGTAGGGGAGGTCTTGGAAAATGATGAAGAGGAGGCCGGTGACTGGGTGACGGAGGTGGTGAGGCTGGTGGACATGGCGTTGATTCTCGCGGGAGGCGTGGGCAGGGAGGCCACTTGTGAATGGATTTTTGCGATGCTGGAAAGGATGTTGGAGCAAGATGAAGAAGCGCGCGAACGCCCAGCAAAGCGGCGAAAGGGGTCTGGGGGAAATGATGGCGATTACAGTCACCGAAAGTGCAGCTCAGGGTGGAATATGCCAGATAATTTCCCGAGCTCTACTGTCCGCGCCCCTCCTCTTCGGAATCCCATCCCCAGGCATGAGAATCTCAGCCTCGAGGCGTTCCAAGCCCATCTCAACACTGCAGCTGGGTCTCCGAACTCCACAAACGAGAATTCGCTCGGAGACCTTCCCGAGCCTATTATCATCACAGGCGCTTTGGATCACTGGCCTGCGATATCAGACCCGTCCAGAAGATGGAGCAATCCGCAATACCTCATGCGCAAGACACTTGGAGGACGACGCCTTGTACCGATCGAGATTGGTAGAAGTTACACCGACGAGGGCTGGGGCCAGGGGATCATCAACTTTGGCGAATTCATGCGGAAGTACATGTTCCGGCACGAAGGCCAAGATGGCAACAACGACGAAGCGTCTGACAACGACGGCGGCGGCGGCGACGACGACGACGGCGACGACGACGAAAGCAGCCGAACCGGCTACCTCGCCCAACACGACCTTTTCGCCCAGATCCCTTCCCTTCGCGCCGACATTGCCATCCCCGACTACTGCTACTACGCCACGCCCGTCCCCACGCGACCCCCCACCACCAAGAACGCCACGCCGCCCCTGCCGCCGGGCCACCCGTCCTTCCCGCTGCTCAACGCGTGGTTCGGCCCGGCGGGCACCGTCTCCCCTCTGCACACGGACCCGTACCACAACATCCTCGCGCAGGCCGTCGGCCGCAAGTACGTCCGCCTCTACCCGCCGGGCCAGCGCGCGCGCCTCTACCCGCGCGGCGTCGGCCCCGACGGCGTCGACATGGGCAACACGAGCGAGGTCGACGTCGGCGAGGCCATGGCCGTGCTCGAGGGCTGGGACCGCTGGTCGCCATCGCCGCCCGACGAGGGCGCGGAGGAGGGAGCTGGGGGGCGGCCGTCGGAGGCGGAGGCGGAGGCGGAGGCGGAGGCGGAGGCGGAGGCGGAGGCGGAGGCGTGGGCGAAGGGGGAGGACCTGAAGATGCGCCGCTTCGACTTCGAGGAGAGGTGGCCGGACTTCGCCGGCGTGACGGGTTGCTTCGAGGCGGTGCTGGGGCCCGGCGACGCGCTGTACGTGCCCAAGGGTTGGTGGCATTATGTGAGGAGTCTGGCGCCGAGCTTCTCGGTGAGCTTTTGGTGGGATTGAACACGGCTGGTGGGGGAGGCGGGAAGAGGAAGAGGGTTCTTTCACGATCATGGCCTGTTTGTGCGGAGCAAAGATTACCTACTTCAGAACGAGTACATGAACTACTACCCCTAACAACATTCGAAAGCGCCCGTAGTCCCTTCAAGAAAGTGAAACCGACATCGAAAACTGAAGGGAATGATTAATGATGAAACCTATCATGGGTATATCCGCGATTCGAAACAACGCCCTATGCCCAACCCATTTTCCGTCAACGCGAATGTGTTTGTACCGCCCAAACTAGTTCACAATATCCTCTCAGGGCTTTTGCAAGCCTAATGCCCCCCACATCATCTAGTAAGCCCTGAAGGCAAACAGAAACACCCAGACAGCCTCTATCCAGAAAAGGGTTCTTTTTTTTTTCGGTCATGCCGTTCTACGATAACAATGATCACAGCGTTAAATCGCCAGAGTGAACTTTCGTATCAACCCCGGATGTAAAAATAGGCGCTAGAGTAGGTAGTGCTGTTGAAGACGAGCCAGACGTCGATGACGAACTTGTTCCACAACTGTGTGCATTGGTGGCAGTAGGACCGATGCCGTTGACGCTAGACTAGAGCTTCGGGGGTGGACAGGCGTCGGTGTGAAGTCAAATAGATCCTGAAGGATGCGTCAAAAAGAGCTGGTGCTACCAGCCTTGGATGTTTGTTGCCTCTTCTCCGAGACTAAAAGCTCGTTAGGCCTTCGCTACAGCCATTTGTCGTTATTCAAGTGACGCGACCAAGCTAGATGCGGTGTTGCCAAGGGCGGGGCCACTTGCGTCCGCGGAGAGTTCCAGAACACTGTCGGTCCACGGGCCTGGTGGCCGTTCCAACGGGGGGCTGAGAAGTGAACAAATGCCTGTCGTACAAGTGGCCAAAATCGAGAGCTTTGGATGACTGGCATTCGCGAGGGCGGTAGAAGTGGGCGATGGCAGTGCTCTTCGTTTAAAAGGCTTTGAATCCTGCCTTGTGCTGCTTGGACAGCCATATTTTCTAGTAGCACCAGAACCGAGAGGCCGCCATACGAGAGGGCGGTCTCGACCAAATTTCTCCGGGTCCTTGCACCGTCTCCTGCATCCTTGCAAGACTGGGGCTGAAAGCTGATTAAGCTTGCGCCAGCGAGGCAGACGCAGTGCTACCGTGTACCCCCAGATTTAGGACTCAGGTAACTCGCGAATTCTCGGCTTGGTAGTTGTGCAACGAAGCCTCGTCATGGCTTGGAGGGCCTTGCAGCCGAAAAAAAAAATTAGAGCCTCATTTTCCTTCTTCGTCAGAACCACACCGACGCCGCTGGCCGTTCCTGTGGTCGTCGGGTGCAAAATACTCGTTGGGCTCTCCCTGAATCGAGAGTTCATCCGAGTCGCGCACCATAGGATGGTGCTCCATCTCATGGATTGAATCCGCGGGCATCTCGTACACTTCCCTTCCGACGACTTCTTGAGGCTGTGCCGGGGGAGTGCCCACACTAGAGGGGTTGTGGTAACGCGTGCCTTGCGAACTCCGCCCGCTTCCCAGGCCACTCTCGACGCTGCCGAAAGGGATGATGTCGCTCGGCCTCCGGCTGTGGGCGACGGGCTGGTATTGCCTGTCGAGGTTTCGGCGACGCCATCTCCAGAGAACCAAGATCAGTGTGATGGCAGCGATTATGGTGGTCAATATGGAGAGGTAGCGCCCTCCTTGGGCTTCGCGACACATCCATTTGTACTCGGGGTGGTCGCCCTCGATGATGGTTTTGTTGGCAGCACCGGTGCAGATCCAGGTTTCCGGGGTGTAGTAGGTGCCGTTGCTTCCCAGATTCTGCTCGACGCTCTGCTTGGATTCCCAGTAGTCGTAGTTGGAGTAGGCGGCGGCGGCGGCTCCGCGCAAGACGGCGGCGAGTGCGACGAAAGCCGCAATGCGATGGATGGGGAGCTTCCACTCTCGGTGCTGCAGCTGGTTAGCACGGGACGGGGCGATTTGGGAAGGCCACCGCTCACCTTTTCCTTTCCGGACCAGTTCCACTTCAAGGGCATGTCGTCGCGGATGAGGGACATGACGAACAGCACACAGGCGTCCAGCAGTCCAATGGCGCCCGACGCGGCTATCAGGTAGGAACTGCCGCGCTTCAAGTCGTCGCCGTACTGCGAGACCTGGTCATGGGTGACGGCGAGGATGTGGGCCATGAGGCCGGTGGTCGCGGGCAAGAGGATGCCGTTCACGAGGATGCATGCGGACAGCAGCGAGAGGTAGCATTTGCGACGGAAGCGCACGATCTTGGAGCGGTGCGGTTGCGGCTGCGGCTGCGGCTGCGGCGAGAACGGCAGGCGGGTGCTGCTGGACCGCTGGCTGGGGCTGACCATGGCGCCTGCTCAGACTGACGACGCGGCATACATCTGCTTCAGCACAGAACGATGGGATGGCTGAAGAGGCGTGCAGGATCAGTGAAATAGCGAGCGGCGGGCACGAGTGACGGGCGGGTGCGGCGCGGGTGGAGACTTGCAATATAGCGGGACATGGACGGCCCCAGCCCCCCTACATGGCATCGTCAGGTCTGCGGCTCGCGCTGGGCTGCGCCATTCACGGCGTGCGGTCAAGCGCCAGGCCGGTCCAGCGTCTCGGCCCCCACGGCCCATCGCTGCCATCGCTGCCGACGCCGACGCCGCGCGACCTACGTAGTACCTACGTCCTGCAAGGCCCGGCACGCGTCGCGCCCTCCATGTCCGGCCAAGGCGCTCCTGTTTGCTGCAGCTATTTGCGGCACTCCCGCCATGTACGCTGTTCAGCTCCGCAACCAACCGCAGCACATCGTGGGGGCGGGTGGCCACCGAGCGTTTCAAGTGCTTTTGCCTATATTTAGATCCCCGCCCGCCCGCCCCGTTGCGCCCTTCGCTACTCCACACCCGCCGTCGCCCGCGCGTCGAGCAAGCAGCCGCCGAAATACCCCGCCAGCTCGCCCACGTCCTCCAGCTCGCCGACGTAGCCAACATACTGGTCCGGCCGGACCGCCACCACGCAGCCTCTCTCGCCGTCCACTCCGTACTTCTCGTACGCGTGGTCGTGGCCCTCGTGGTAGCTCTCGTCGTCGACGTACACCTTCGTATAGTCCCAGCCCTTCTTCTCGTCGAATGGATGCAACAGGCTGGGGAAGTCCCGTAGCAGCTCCGTCTCCCGGCGCGGTGCGCTGTGCACCGTCAGAATCTCCACCACCGAGTCGATCTTCTGGCCCGCCGGCGTGACGCGATGCAGCCACGAGCCCGGCGCATCCAGAGCCGCGCAAAACTTGTCGATGCGCTCCTTCTGCCCGCCAGACAGCACGTTGCCCGCGAAGAGGATGATGCGGAAACGGCCGTCTGCCGGGAGGCGCTCGGCCAGGTGCCACGGCCGCGTGTCTGACTGGTTCAGCACCTTGAAGCTGGGGAACCGCTTGCCCATTGGCACATTGGTTGCCAGATGCTGCTTGCCGACCACCTGCTTGGTGCTCGCCTGGCTCGCCGGTACGTCAGTGCCGTCGCCCTGCTTCACTGCGCTACCAGCTTTGGCCACGAGCATCGAGGCCCCGTAGTCGACGCTGAGGCCGCTGGTGAACATGTGCGCTGTGCGGAACGTCTCTTTGAACTCGTCCATGCTGATCCCCTCGGTGTCCAGAATGTCCTTTGCTGGCCGGCCACTGAAGAGACGAGAGAACTTGTGGTCAAAGCTGATCAGGTCCTGGGCGATGCGGCGGCGCTCAGACTGGTAGGTCTTGAGGATGGTGCGCGGTGAGCGACCCTTGACAACAGAGGCGATTTTCCAACCTAGGTTGTAGGCATCCGCCATGGAGACGTTCATGCCTTGGCCTGCCTTGGGGCTGTGCGTATGGACAGCATCCCCTGCAAGAAAGACGCGTTGGTGGAGGTCGAAGTTCTTGCCAACTCGCTGTCCAATCTGATAGCCGGTCCACCTGGTAGTCGTCTTTTAGCATGAGCCTCGCATCACGTGCCGCTTTTGTTTCCTGCTTACCATTCACAGTAGTCGTAAGTCAGCTTGTATGGGCTGATGATCCTTTGTGCCGCCCTGATGATAAGCTCGGGGGTGATTTTTGACCTGTCCGCCCTCCCGCTTGCGTCAGGAACAACTTCCTTGAGCTGGATGTATAGGCGAACGAGGCCCCTCTCCCGAGGAATCACCATGAGACTCCCATCATTGGCGCTGTGGATAATGCAACGGTTCCTGATGTCCGCTGTTTCGAGTCAGACGGATCCCTGAATTGCTAAGTCAACGGCACTTACGAAAGTCGGTGATGGGGACAACATCTGTTCCGGCATCGTAATTAGCATCCGTCGTCAGAGGACACCCACTGATTCTGGCATCACCTTACCAAGAACGCCCCAGATGTAGTCAGTTGCTTCTCCTTCCAGCTCAAAGCCCAACTGCCTCCTGGTCCAGCTGTGTGCGCCGTCACAACCAACCATGTACTTGGCCCTCAATATCTCGGACGTGCCCTCCCTTCCCGAACTTTTCCGCAACAAGTCGTCCGTGTCATCTGGGGACAAGTTGCTCCTGAACAGCCCATCTGAAGCCTTGACGTCGTCAGAAGCCAATGATTGTGCAGGCGTAGCCTCCTCGTTAGACAAGTGACGCAGCTTGACCACGAGTGGATGAGCCGAGTCATCATCAACCAGTGATTCGTTGATCTCCAAGGATTCGGGAAGAACACCACGCTCGACCTCGATGTTTGAGTGCTCCTTCATGTGGTCCAAGAAGAAGCGCTCGATGCGGCCCTGGTGCAGCACACACTCGGTGAAGCGGGAGATGCCCGGCGGCGTATCCGGCACCCTATCAGAGCGTCGGATAATGCCCTTCTCGTCCGGGTTCCACATGCATACCTGCGTAAGCTCTCGTCAGCTCTCCTCGGCCATCTACAGCTTCCCGGCGGCTGGAGCTGCCGCACCTCCAGCATGTGGTTGGCTTCGCGCCAGGCCCGGTGTGCGAAGCCGAAGCTGTCGAACATCTCAAGGCTACGGCATTGCAGGCCGTCAGCCTGACCGGCGAAAATCTTGGTACCCCGCTTGTCAATGATGCGGGCATCGATGCCGCAACGCGCCATCCAAGCGGCCGTCACGAGGCCAGCGGGGCCGGCGCCCACGATGAGACTACAAATAGAGTGTTAGAAAGGCTGTGGCGAGGTGATTAGAGCAGCAATGGGCGTACACATCGCATCTTGTCTCTGAGATCGTTGGTGCAGGCATTGCCGCGGCCTTGGTCAACGGTGATGCTTATGGGGAGAGTGTGTGGAGTGTCTTCCAAGCAAGAGGTGTGAAGGGGGTGTGTCGGAAAGCTGAAGGGGTCACGGCGGCGGGGCATCTAAATAGAATGCGAATATGCACGGCCAAAGGTTCCATGTTCGCGGGCAGTGCGGCGGGCATGTGGTTCGGTACTCGCGGAAGGTGGGAGGCAAGCTAGTATTGCGGGGAAGATAGATGTGGGGGCTTCGGAGCAGCTTAGTTCATCCTGACAAAGCCAGTTCTGCCAGTTCTGTTTGGCCGCTTCTCGCGATGGAGTTGCTCTTAGAGCAGCCCAGTTGTTGTTCGTTTGCCGACGTTCGATTGGCTGAATGCTCCCAGACTGCTGCACATCGGAGCTGAGCCCAGCATACCGGTACCTCGAGCGCCTCAGCCTTCTCCCTGCTCGGCCCATGCATACCGCCAATGACACATCATCTGACCGAGAGGACGGAGGAAGTCGTAGTTCTGTTCTGCCAATTATGAAACGATCTGGCGTGACCACATTACATATATATAGGAAAACCGGAGAGACTCTCGGGGTATCCTGCACATCCAGCAATATTGCTGGTTCAAGTCTCGCACCAAAACTCCAAACCCATGCTTCTTGTAAGACCCTGACAGCCATGACGGGGCAATGCCAAGTTTCCGACCCCAACTGATCGACGATAGTACGTAGGCCTACACCTGGATCAAATCCGGCACTGGCGGTCCGACGCCCCTGAGCAACACGATGGTGTTGCCTGTCTGACAGGAAGCGCCGACCTTGTCACTAAAGTCCAACAACTTCCCGCTTTCGACGTGGAAGACGCGCAGCTTGTTCTCTTCCCCGTCTCCTCTGTTGTTGACGTTCTCCACCTGCAACGCTTTCGCCGCCATGTCCAGCACTCGGCCGACACTCCATTCGGTGTTGTAGAAGAAAGCGCCCGTGGGGTGTTTGGCGGTCGTCGTATCGGCCGACGCTTCCACATGCAAGTACACCCGCTTCTCCGGCGGAAGCTTGGCGTCCCCCTTGGCCGTCTTCTTGAGATTGTTGATCGCCGCCGCGCGAGCCGCCGGTGAGTTGCTGCTTCGGCTGAGCAGCGGCTTCGACCTCGACGTGTCTGCAGCCGCTGCCTTCTTGCTCATGCCCCACGCCCTGAGTTTCTCCAGCGCCGCAAGCCCGCGGTCCTTTTGCGACGCGGGTTTGGCGCCCAGGGGCGTCAGCTTCGCGCAGTCATGCTCCTCCCGCATGCGGTGCTTCAAACAGTATTGCCGGTTGCAGTCGGGACAGTGCACTCCAGGGTTGAGCGAGGTGTTGACGAGGGTCTTGCAAACGGGCGACGAGCATTGTTGTTCGTGTGTGAGGATGTTGGGCTTCGGCGTCGAGGAAGTCGATGATGGAGTGGACGAGGCTTCACGGCGTGCGCGCGCCCATGCACCAGCCTTGGTGCACTTGTGCGCGGTCTCTGTGCGGTGATCGAGGCAGTACGTGCTGCAACCGGAGGGTCAGCTTGCGGACGGAAAGAGACTGCACATAAGGTATCCGAACATACCCCCTGCAGCTCTCGCAGCGGAATGGAAGGAAGTCAAGCTGGTGGCAGAAGGCGAACTGGCAGTGGGCGCCAATAGCCTCCACGTCGCCGACAGACATACTGGTATAGCTCTCCGGCTCCGAATCGTGCGAAGAAGAAGACGGGTTTGCCATGTTGAGTGTACGAGCGCACGCGATTTATACGGTGGTGTAGTCAAGTGAAGGTGCCAGTGCTTGCTGGAGGTCAGGCTGCTGCGCGGTGCGTAATCATGGGGGACTTGGAAGATGCCAGAACGGGGCGGTACCAGCCAAGCGTTAAACCCGGGCCCAGAGAGCCGACTCCGATCGCCGCCCGTAAGGCTGAACACGTGCGACAGCCCCCAAACTAGCTCCAGGCGGTAGCACTCGGAAGATGCTTCAAGATTATCTGAACCGGTTGCCCTCAAGTGTACCGGATTCGCAATTGCTCAATCATGTTTCGTGTACGACCGTCGCCGGCAGATCTCAATATCAAGGTGCACTCAGCCGTTCCACTTTGCACCCTTGTTTTGCCCTGCTCACATCAACCCAACGGCTGAAGGCCGCTGGCGCAACAAGACCCTGTCGCATGTCCGAGCCGCCAAAACCACCGCTTCCAACGTGTCATTCTTGAACGTCAATTCCGTCATTCGGACAAACAGCTTGCAAATCATTGCGACGCCCAACCCAGGAACTGTGCCCGTTCCAGTGGTAGCCTCTCCGACTCCCAGGCCAGCCAATCACTCCGCGTGGTGGGCAAGAGTCCCATCTTATTGACCTTCCAGATCCCAAGCGCAAGGGCTAAGCAATTCGTGGCGACAAAGATGAGCTTGACGCCAAGCAGGCGCGACGACGTGCCGGGAGTCTCGAAGTTGGCAAAGGTGCGGTTGATGTTGATGATGGCGTTGACTGGATTTTTGAACAGCATGAAGACCATCATTATAGAGAAGATCTGGAGCGAGTTCCCCGACATGTACATGCCTGAAAGCCACAGTTAGCCTCGATCGGATGCAGAGGACCTCAAAGACTGCGCACCGACGGCACTCATGGGCAGTTGCTTGGCCGGGGCAATGGCAAGCTCCCAGGCCTTCTTCAGCTTCAGCGTGTCCATCTCCTCGGTGGAGGGCGGCTTGCGGGCGGCGGTCTGGGCAACCTTGGTGTTCTTGCCCTGCTGTTGCCGCTGCGGCGCCGTGTAGCCGGGCGGATCGGGGACGCTGGCCTTGGCGGGCTGCGCGGCGGGCGCAGAGCCGAGTTCGATGGCCCATCGGGGCGGCGGGGGCGGCGCGGCGTGGGCGACGGACATGGCGGCGATGGACTGGGCGTGGCGCGGGCGTGGAGCGGGCGTGGAGCGGGCGTGGTGGTGCAAATGGTGGTGTTCGGGCAGGCTGCGGAGGAGCTGCGGGCGGCGCCGGGGCCTCCGGGGCGGAAGCTGGCGCAGGCGGCCCCTTCTCGCACAGGACCATCATCATCTCGCAGCCATCGCGCCCTCTCCGACTCCTCCGCTCGACTCTCGCTCGATCCCCAGCCAGCGCACCCGTTGCCACACAAGGAATGGCCCCCGTGGTCACGCATCTTCTCCGATAACCAGACACACGTGGACGCAGCACAGTCCCCCGGCCCTCGAACCGGATTGGAGGGGGAAAGGGACAAGCTTGGAGGGGAGCACATGCATGTAGAGCCACGCCTCTGGGCACCACCGCAGCTATGAGTTCAGGTGGGCAGGATGCGAAGCTCTTCGCCCGGGTACGTCTCCCCCTCGACACCAGCATCGCACCGCACCCCCCGCGACAGCACCCCGCGACGCGCTCCTCGGCCTGCGCGTAGCCTCAGCCGTGCCCAGCGCCCGCCCCCACCATGTTTCCCGCCGCGCTCATGTTCATGCCTGCCTTTCCCTACGACGGCCCTCACTTACACTACCTGCGTTCTCCACAGGGCAAGGTTGCCGAATTGCGCCTCGAGCTGCAGAGCGGCGGCAAGAAGGACAAGAACCATTCGGCCAAGAAGATTGCACTGAAGAAGATTGTCGCCAACATGACCATGAGCAACAACGACATGGTCGCTCTTTTCCCGGATATCGTCAACTGCATGAACATCCCAAGCCTCGAGATCAAGAAGATGTCAGTCACACACGGAAGCCTAGGATAGAGGTGGTGCTGACAGAAAGGCGCAGGTGCTTCTTGTACCTGGTCAACTATGCGCGCATCAAGCCTGAGGTTGCATTGAAGGCATTGCCCATCATCGTCAATGTGAGCGCTTTCGGCCCTGTGGCTTCGGGATGACAAGCTGAACCCTGTGGCAGGATATGGAAGACAGCAATCCTCTTGTACGCGCGCTAGCTTTGCGGACCATTTCCTATCTCCACGTCCGGGAATTCGTCGAGGCTACGTTGAACCCGCTGAAGCAACTGCTCAAGGACGGTGATCCATACGTGCGGAAGACGGCTGCTTTTTGCGTTGCCAAACTTTACGACCACGACAAACATCTCGTCGAGCATTCAGACCTGATCGACAGGCTGAATGGCATGTTGAGAGACGAAAACCCTACTGTCATTTCCAGCGCGCTGGCGTCTCTCATGGATATCTGGGAACGAAGCGAGAGCATAAAGCTCACAATCGACTATGCCAGCGCCTCCAAGATTGTGCAGATTCTGCCCGACTGCTCCGAGTGAGTACACCGCTGGAACACTGAAAACAAGTTGCTAACCGGACGTAGATGGGGCCAAACCTACATTCTTGAAGCAATGATGAATTACGTTCCAATGGACACCGCGGAAGCCGCACTCCTGGCCGAAAGAATTGCGCCAAGATTATCGCACTCAAACTCCGCTGTTGTTCTCACATGCATAAGAGTCATCCTCTATCTGATGAACTACATATCCGATCAGAGGGTCATCACTTCTCTCTGTAATAAGCTTTCGCCGCCCCTCGTTACTCTTCTCTCCAAGGGGCCGGAAATCCAATACCTTGCCCTCCGTAACGCACTTCTTATCTTGCAGCGCCGTCCTGAGGTCCTCCGCAACGACATCCGCGTGTTCTTCTGCAAATATAATGATCCGATTTACGTCAAGGTGACAAAGCTGGAACTAATCTTCATGCTTGCCACGGAGCGCAACATCAAGGAAGTGTTGACCGAGTTGAGGGAGTGAGCATAGATTAACCTCTGCTACTAAGGTCGAGCTAACGGTCTCCTAGGTACGCCACTGAAATCGATGTCGACTTCGTGCGCAAGTCTGTGCGAGCAATCGGAAAACTGGCTATCAAGATCGAGCCTGCAGCAAGGCTGTGCATTAATACGCTGTTGGAGCTGGTTGCAACAAAGGTGTCCTACATCGTCCAGGAAGCTACCGTCGTTATTAGAAACATCTTCCGGAAATACCCCAACCAATATGAATCCATCATCTCGACATTGTGCGAGAACCTAGATTCTCTGGACGAGCCCGAAGCCAAGGCAGCCATGATCTGGGTCATCGGGCAGTACGCGGATCGCATCGACAACTCGGACGTCCTGCTCGACGATTTCCTCTACACGTTCGCCGAGGAACCTCACGAAGTGCAGTTAGCATTGCTCACTGCCACCGTAAAGCTATTCATCCAACGTCCCACCAAGGGGCAAGAGCTCGTACCCAAGGTCCTGCGCTGGGCTACAGAAGAGACCGATAACCCAGATCTTCGCGACCGTGGCTATATGTACTGGCGGCTGCTCTCGTCCGACCCGGCTACAGCCAGGAAGGTTGTCATGGGCGACAAACCTCCCATCACGGCCGAATCGGAGAAACTCGATCCGGCAACACTGGAGGAAATGTGTCTGAACGTGGGCACGCTCGCCACCGTCTACCTCAAGCCTGTCAATCAAGTCTTCCGCTCCGCCCGCCCGAGAAAATTGCAGGACTCCCCCGCTCTGCAGCGCCACACGCTGCCTACCGTTCAAGCAGCCGCTGATGCCGCCAAGGTACGCAGCCAGACTGTGCCTACCGCAATCGACACTGCCGCCGCCGCTGCAATGGAAGCGAATGGCAACATGGCGAGCGCAGTCGACGCTGCAGATCTATACTTCGCAGGCGTAGGCAGCCAGCAGATGGGCGCCCTGAGCATCGCAAACGGCAGCGGTTTTGGCGGAAACAGCCCCGTCGCCGGTTCCCAGAGCAACATGTACGTCGTCAACCAGAACCAACCGCAGCAGGTGTATCAGCCAGCTGTCGGGTCTGGCAATGGCGATTTATTGCTCCTATAGGCGTGTGGGATGCGCCCGTAGCGGGCTCAAGGCAGTGGCCGAGCATGAAGCCAACAGGAGGGGTTTCCCTTTTCTTTTTTTTTTCTTCGTGTTGGCTAGGACTTGTAGGATAATTGGACAGGAGTTCTTTCTGGACCGAAATGTGCCTCACTGGGTGGCGGTCGGAGGATGTGAGTTAGGAAGGTGGCTCAACCACCGACCGCTGGTGCCTGATGGATGAAGACTTGGCGTCTAGGCCGAAGGGGGTCGACGCAGCAAAGAGAGGCACTAGGCAGGAGTCCATTCCCCCTCACTTTTTCTCCTTCAAATGAAATGATATTGAATCTTCGGATGGTTTAGTTATTTTTTGTGTAAATACCGATATTACAGCCTCTTCTACCTACCCGTTGCACCTGCCATCTCCACGAGCGACAGGAGTCTGTCCTTCACAGACAAGAGAGGAACAACGGAGCTGAAGGGTCATGCCGTGACAACTCCATTTGAAGGGTATCTTAGTATTTGGAAGCAATGAGAACAAAAAGTCAGGGATATAGGGGGTATGTGCGAAGCCGTAAACAAGACATGATCCTTTCCCATCCAACCTCGTCCTACCCAATAGATCCAAAAAGCATCTCGTGACGCTACCAGCCTATTTTTTGCTTACTTCAACCGTGTGACTCAACGAAAGAAACAGAATTTCCCTTAACCAATCACATGTCCTACCAGACCCTTGCTCTGCGGCAAGCCTGAAACTCCTCTCTCCATCTGCTGCTAAAAACAAAGATGGACTGCGATGAAAAGGAGATCCGAAAGAGAAAGCACAATCCAACGTGGCTCTCACCGTAGCCGTATGACAATAAATCGCCTGGCTTAAGGTATTACACGATCGCACGAATAAGAAAATGAGAACATGTGTTGAAATTGGACACCAAGGAGGAACGGGAAAAGGAAAGGGATTTAAAAAAAATAAAATAAAAAAAGGGGGAGAGAGAAGGGCAGGGAAGCAGAGAGTTTGCTGTCAGCTACTCATCCCTTCGGTAACGATGGTGTTGGGGGTAGGAAACAGAAGATCTTCTGGACCTTCGTCCAGCACCTCGTGCTTCATTGATAACCCTTTGGCCCCTCTCCCATCCAGATTCCCCGAGTGCAGTAGTCGGTTGATAGGTCATATCCGGTAAGCGTCTGTTCTCGTGCCTCAGCTCTCCCATACCGGCACGGGGATTGTAGAAGTCACTGGCCGGTGGGGCACCTGGATTGAGTCTTTCGTATGTGTAGGCACTGTAATTTCCTTCTACCATGCGCTCACGATAGTCTCGCTCGCGACGCGTGGCCAGACGAGCCTCGGCGCGACGGATGTCGGCCTCCGTGTCAGCAATCTGGGAGGCAAGCATGGCGTCAGATTCTACGCGTTCGCGCGCCATCTGCTGTCTTTCGAAAGCATGGAGACGTTCACGCTCTGATGCCTCCCGGTCTATAGATGTATCGGCGCCGATGATCGAACTTGCTGTGGCGTTGGCAGATGAGTTGGAATGTGAGGTAGATGAAGAGTCAAAAGAGACGCCAGTGCGGTAGCGTTGGCCGTGACCGTGACCACCCGTGGTGTTGTGGCGACGAAGCGGGTTGTCGACGAAAGACTGAGGCCGACGCTCACGGTTTGTGGCATGAGTGTTGCTGGTAGTCGCCTCTCCAGTGCGCCGCAATTCGGCCAGGCGACGACGCCCCTCTTCGAGCTGTGTTTCCCAATCCTCATCGCTGGAACTGTCAGCTGGAGCAACAGCGTCGACTGAAGGGTCATGGGGTTCTGGTTGGCGGTTGGCGTGGTCTTGCTCCACGCGGCGACGACCTTCTTCCAAGCGGGCTTCCCAGTCGTCTGCGTTGCGGTTTTGCTCGTTCATTCTGCGGCTCTCTTCGCGGCGTTCCTCTCGGTTTCTGTGGTATTGAGCCCAGTATTCGTCCGCTTGTCGCTCCCGGCGTAACTGTTCACGCCCCGTAGCACGCTCCCGCTCGATGCGAGCTTGCCGTTCGTCTTCGGTCTCTCCGTGTTGAGTGTGCCCACTATCAACGCGGAGATTGTTAAGCGAAGCGGATAGTCTTTCAGCAAACTCGCGGTCGCTCGCAGTTTGGGTAGCGTCCCGGTTGCTATCTTGAGGCCTGCTGTTTGACGAATACGAGGCGGCAGTAGTAGACTTGTGACCAGAACTGATAGAAGGCTGCGTGACGATTGGTGGTGGCCTACGAGGCCGCCTGCGGCTGGGTTCTTCAGGGGAAGGTGGGTCAGCAGAGGCCGGGGGCGTCGAAGGGCGTGGCGGCCCAGGTGGTCCCATTGGGGTGTCAGCCTGGATCAGGGGGCTTGCGAGTGGGAGGTCAGCATATGTGTGAGGGCTGAGTAAGTGGACCTCTTCTCTTCCCCGTGAGTCCGGGTGCCGTGTTGCCCTCGCGGTGGTCGCATAGGCCAGGGATGGCTTTGAGGGAATCGTTGCACTGTGGCTTCTACGATGCGAATACTGATACGCTGGGCTTAGATTCTGCTCCTGGGTAGCCGACAGAGGCGACGACGGGGCGGGCGAGTAGCTCCTGATGCTGGACGAGGATGTTGCTGCGGATACGGCGGAGCTGCCGTGATAACGCTTGGTCGTGGTCGTGGTCTTTGACTTCTCTCTCGACTGCTTCTCCTTCTCCCTCTCCTTCTCCTTCTTTGGGCCGATGTTGAAGACAATTTGACCAAGAGAGCCAGTCTTGCGATGTTTGGGTGAAGGGTGCGGGGCGAAGCCCGCTGAGGTTGGTGTGACCTCGACGAAGGTAGCGCCGTTGACTGGTGTGGATGGAAAGCTTTCGGTGGCAGGGGAGGGAGACTCGTCGGCGTAGCGGATGTGAGGGGAGTGACGAGAATGGCCGGCTCCCTGCATGGTTCGTTCCTCATAGGTGACCTGGCGACAAGTCCTTCCGGAGCCGGCGAGCTGACAACGGCTCTTGACGTGATCGAACGTTTCCTTCCTGCCGTCGGGCTGGAGGTAAGTGCGCTGTTCGACTACGCACATGGCTTCAACCACCGTCGACCGGGTCGGCGAGGGGCGGGGAGAAGAAGGCTTTATCGTGTCTTGTTCCGGCTGAGGCGGCTTTGTCTGGAAGAGTTGCTTGGTGTAGGAAGTAGCTAGAAGTGTCGTGGATACAGGAACAGGAAGGCGACAGGATGGACGGGTATGCAAGCCAGATCCAGGGCGGAGACAAGCTACAGAAGCTCAGGAACAAAGGGTCATTTAGGCCTAGCGCGTGAACGGTGGGTTTGAGGAGGTAGGCAGTGGGCAGGTGACTTTGCCCAAGCAAGACGGGTACAGCTGATATGAAGACGGTGCACGAGTACGGAGGTCTCGGAGACTCGGACAGCGGAAGGCAGAGAATGCGACCTCGGGAGTCACCTTGGAGCGAGTGCAGCAGGGCTGATGCAGCGGACGAGTGAGGAGCAGACGGAGAGCAGGCAGGCGTGACTGGGCGACGTTTTAACTAGCGTGTAGAGCTTCGCTGCCTGGCCAGCGGCCGCTGGCGCGCTCGACGTCTGCACTTTTTACATTACACAGACTTGCACCGCCAGGCCCGGCGCGCATCATCGGCCGCGGTCGCCATCGGTCTGGGGTCGCGCGTGGTGCTGCGCCTCGCACCCAGTCAGCGCCAGGGAGGGGCGCCCTGCACCCCGGTTGCACCGTACCTGAGATGCGCATGGCGCCAGGCAGCGGGCGAGCCAGGCGCAAGAGCGGCCGGCCAGGCGCGGCGGCGGCGTCGAGGTGCGGGAGCTGGGGGTGAGCGATGGAGTGCGGACCGGCCCTGCAGCGGGTGACATGCGCAGCAGGCGGCGGTCGGGCAGCTGAGCGGTGCGTGTTTTGGTGGAGGCGCGGCGGCGATCGCGTCACTCCGGCCGCCGTCGCGTCTGCACCCGCGCGCGGGCGCTACGGGACGATGCACCTTCTGCAGTGCCCTGGCAGCACCCAGCACCCAGCACCTGCTTTTCTGCCTTGCCGCCGATACCTGGGCCCATCCACCCATCCACCTCACCACCACCGCTCGCCGCAGGTGCCGTGCGCGAACCCAACGAGAGAACCCAGCGTCACCACCGCCAGCCCGGGCCCCCGCATCGGGCAAGAACGCAGCACGCGACAGCGAGCACAACGAGCACGGCGAGCACAGCCACCAGCCACAGCTCGCCGACTATTATTACCTGTGACGGCCCCCAAAACGCCCATCATCCGCCAACCTTGTCCCGTTTCGTCGGACCTCGTCTTCCTTCCACTCGCCGCTCCCTCCCGTCCCCGCACCGAGGCACCGAGACCGGCCTCCACGCCGACTGCATGCTTAACTCCGGCATTGCCTTCGACGGCCAAGCCAGAGCCAAAGCCAAAGCCAGCCGAAATCTCTGCATCCTCGTGCGGTGCGCCTCGTTGCCTTGTTCGGCCTTTCCCAGCGCCGAACCATCACTTCTTGCTAACTTTGCGGCCTCCCTCCGGCCAGACGCTTTACTTCGACGGAGCCGTGCCTGCAGACCGGCCCCCCGCCCGTCGTAGCCCAGCCGCCTATCTTGCCCCCGTGTAAGATCTGCCAACCAGCAGTTTTCTTGATTGGACGAGCGAGTATACAACCGCCGTCGGCTGCTCTCGCCATGATCCCCAGCATCCCTTCTGCTAGATTACCAACCCGGAAGAGCTGGCAGGTCAGCCGTTCCACCGGCTTCGAACAAGGCAGAGCACCGGTTGCCTGGCCTCTGCCACCACCACCAACAGCAGTGGGAACATCCGACCAAGGAGCTGGCTCTGCCTTGATTCCATGCTCTGCCCCCACCTGACTCCGGCTCAGCAGCCAGTGGACGGTTGCCTTTCAGCAACGTCATTCAAGTCGAGCGCCATCAATAGTGCCCGAACAGAGCCTTTGTGCCACATCGGTCAGGCCTGCGGGCTTGGCTTCCGCGTCTGAGTCTTCACAATCCTGAGACTCCTCATGTGCCAACCACTCAGAAAGAAGCAGCCAATCGGCAAATCACGCGACCCTCCCATATGCCAGTCTAATCCCGCCGTAGCACCACCATCATGCGCACCCACCCCTTCTTCATACTCTTTCCGCAAATCTTGAGTGACACACACACACGCTTTCGTTTTCTCTCCACCGAAGTGTCCCTTCTCCTCACCCGCCCTAGCGCTCCTTGTCCTTGCTACTCTGTAGACCCTGAACCTTACCACCCACCCTCTTGGGGCCGCGCGGCAACGCCCGTTTGCCGCGCTCACTCACGCGCCGATGTCACTAGCCAAGGATAAGCACAGCCCAGGTCCATCACTTGGTAACCGTATATTTGCTCCGCGGGTGGCGAGCACGCTGCCTGCTACCTCGCGGATCGACACGCCGCGTACTAAGATTCTTGCACTCTGCACTTTTGGTGCAACATGCACGCACACCCTGACTGAGGAGCATACGAAGCAGTTGTTTGGACTCCAGTAATTTCCGTCTCGTCTCCGTCCCACCATCATGGGGTCGGTCGGGGCTGCCGCTTACACAGCGGAGGAAGGCACGCCAGCCGTTGCATGCATTATTGCCCACCTGTATTAATCAGTCGGGCCCGATCGGCGCAGAGGTCGTCATGACGGCCCGCGTGCTGCTGTCACCCCCGGTCTGGGCCGTCAATCAGGCAAACGCAAACGCGCATCTGTCGGAGCATGGCCTGTTCGGTCGACCAGCGCCTCTATTATGCGCGTGGGAGAGAAAGTGGGCGAACACTCCAGACCCCGTCCCAGCGCAGGACTGTCGTGGGAGTCGCAAGGGTAGTGAAATGAACCGCACCCACCTCTTTGCGCAGCCTTAATGGTGGGGCACGCGCCTTAGCAAGAGCACAGGCCGCACAAATCCTGCAGGATCGTGCGGTGCTGCAGCTCCAGCCACATTTTGTGCAAAAGAAAACAAAACGCCACAAGTCAGTAGTAGTTCTGCTGAGGCTGTGCCTACCGGAGGTGAGAGGGCGGGACATGTAGGGCTCAGACGGACAATAATGCATTGGAAATCGGAGCTATGTCCTAGCTAGCCCGTCTTGGAATGCAATCGTCCACTCTGTCAGTCCTGACATGTCCCGACTCTCTTTGCCTGCCATCAATACGATCACACCAAGCACACAACTTATGGCTACTGTTCAGAATGTATATTGCCAGACTTTGGCGTATTTTTGTAATACCGCGACGCCTAAAAAAGACCCTCATGAACCGAATCCTACCAACGCCTTCGCTCACGATGCTCTGAGAAGTAAAACAGAACAAATGGAAAATACCCAATGCCCGGTCCACGGGGATAAGCAGGAAGCAGCAATGGCCAGCGGTAGTCAAAGAACCCAACCAGGGCACCAAGGACCAGCTAGTCAGCAAGGCACTTTGGAAGGCTGCATGCCGGAACCATGCCTGGTGAAATCCTTCAGGCAACAGAGACACATTCGCCCTGAAATGACGTGCCCATCAACCCATCGACGTAGCTCGGCCCGTTTAATCCCTCATACAACGCCACCCTCGCTCCTCTTGCCATCGGCCTCCACCTCGCTGCCTTGCATCCGTCACCGCCGCTGTAGCTCAGTGCCCGGTGCTCGTGGTTGACTCCCCTCCAGCGGCAGCGCTCGACGCTCCATGAGTCGGGTTGGGGTAGTAATAGGCACAGACAGCAATGATGAGGTAGGCGATGAAACACAGGAACCCTTCCAAATAGTTGCTCTTACCATCGCGCAGGAAACTTCCAACGACCAGGATAGCAAGAATAAGGACGATGGCCTGGAAGGGTTCAAACGCCAGACTCATGTCCTTACCGAGACCCCAACCGATGAAGACAACGATGGGAGTGTTCAGCATGACCGTCTGGACGCAGGCTCCAAGAACGTGAGCAAGCGCAAAATTCATCTGGTTGTCGTAGGCCTCGTCAATGGCCGTCAGGTGCTCCGCCGCCTTCTCAACAACAGGAATGAGGATGAGACCGACGAAGGCATCCTTTACATGCCGCACCTCGACAATGTAGTGGATCTGGTCGACCAGAAGGTACGCAATGCAGCTAACACAGCCAATGGCGATGGTAAGGGCGATGAAGCATTCGGTCAACGTGAGCTTCTCCTTGGCAAGATCCTCGTGGCGATCCTCGTCTTTCAGCTCGTCGTGTTCGAAGACCTCGTCGTAAAGCCCGTGATGCGAATGCGTCTGGAACCATACATAGCTAAATCAAAGGGTGAGTAACGTTATAGATGGTTTGCGGATATGCAACTTACACCACGTAGGAGATCAGAAGAATGATGGCCGTCGCACGGCTAATCTTGAGGCCATCCAATTCAAAGTCCCCGGTACCGGCATACTCGGAGTTCTGGAGCGTGCTGATGTAAGCCGAAGGCAGGATCAACGCCACTGTCACTAGTTAGTTTCGTGCTCGTGACAGTTCATACGGCTTGCGGACTTACTTCCAGCAACCAGCATCAATCCGCTTCCGACCTCACTGACAGCCTCGTGGAATTCTTGCTCCTCGCGCCTGAAACCACCGACGAAGAAGCAGCCGCCAATACACAGCAACAGATTGGCCAGGACTGATCCGAGAATGGCGGCCTGGATGATCTGGACAGGGTTAAAGGTTTCGGTTACGGGCTTCGTGATCAGAATGGCGAACAAGATGATTTCGACAAGGGAGCCCAGCGTGGTCTCGATGACGATGCCGATAACCTTGGGGATTTTTCGAGCGAGTTCCTCTCCACCAAAGCCGATCAGGTTGGCGGCTGGCACCATGGCAATGTAGTTCAGGATGAAGATGGCAAGGCTCCAGTAGTCCGAATGCGCATGACGCTTGAGGAATCCCTAGCAGACACGTGCAGCGTTAGCATGGTAAGTCTTCGCTTGGCTTTTCGTCATTGGGACTCACGATGATGATAGCAACAGGCACGACCGGCCACAGGATGTTGGCGTACTTGGACCACGGGGCGGAGCTGCGGAAACAGATGCGGAAAAAATGCATGGGGTGGATGCCGCTACGGCCACTCTCGCCATCGGGGTGGATTCCAGTGGTAACACGGTGGCCGTTGTGGTTGAACAGAGGGAGCCTGTGCTTGCCGCCAGGCTTGGGTCTCGTCGTGCCGCCGCGATCCACAGCCGTGGATTCGGACGCGTCACGCGGCTTCTCGCTCATACGGGTGCGGCGGGCCATGGTGTATGCGTGAAGATCCCTCTCAGAGGAACGGGTTGGGTTTGCAGAAAGTCTTTACAGGAGCGAGGAGTGGGCTGGGTTATAAAGCCGCTGTGGCTGGGCGTCGGCGTCGGCGTCGGCGTCGGTTTCGGCGTAAGAGGGAAGAGAGCAGCTTCACCGCCTGGATGCGCTGGCGGCGAGCTGGCAGAGAGGCGGTTGGTGCGTCTAAGGATGCGGCAATTGGAGAGTCTGGCGAGAGAGAAGCCGAGGGCAGAGGGGCGGGCTTCCAGAACTTAAGGAGCTGGCGGATGGTTCTGGTTGGGGGCTGGCCTGAAGCAAGATTGATGGGGGCTTGCATGGCGCGCAGGCAGGAAAGTGCGCGCGGATCAGCAGCAGGCCTGTTGTTACTCCACTCCGGGGTTGGCAACCAGCCGCCGACTCGCACCTTCGACAGCGCCACGACGCTGCCACGCAGCGTTCGCCGCGCCGTCAAGCAATTCTGGAATCCTGGGCGGCGAGCTTGATTGCGAGCTTGAGTGCGAGCTTGAGTGTCTCGCGCGCGCACAAGACGGCGCGCAGCAAAGTCACCTGCTCCCAACCGCGCCTAACGTCATGCCAGATGTCGCCGGCCGGGCAGACGAAGCACGGAACAGGCTCCGTCGCGGGCGAATGAGCCGAGGGCGCGCAGCTGCAGCGCTTCGCTGGCCGGTGCCGAAGCCTGACAGGAATGCCAACAGAGCAGATCTGCCCAGCGCGGCCCTCTCCGCCCACCCGTTGGTTGAGGCCTGGGTAGCGCGCGGCTCTAATAATCTCGGCTCCACATATCTCTGCGAACACTGGTGTCGTGGCAGTGCAGCCCGTGCGCCCGCGTTTCACCCAACGCGCGCGCCAACGACTGGTCGGAATCTCACCAGCCGCATCTACTCCACTCCTCGGGCTCTCTGTTTCAGCACCCCGTGCCAGCGTACCTGTTCTGCAGGGCCCAAAATGTCCGGATCTCCAGAGACAGACGATGTGTTGTCAACGGGAGGCGCGGTCCGAGCTGATCGCTCCCCACAGTCAGTCTATACTTAGTGCCCCAGGGTCCAGCCATCTACCCTTGTCACCCTCCTTCCCTCTCGCCTCATTGTTTGCCTACAACGCATTCGCTCCGCCCTGGCGCCAACCAGAGCACTTCTGCATCGACCTGACGATACTTGATTCGGCGACAACACTGGAAGCTATGACTGTCGCTACGGCGGTGACTAAGGAAAACTAATCGAGTGGGTATAAAGAAAACGACCGAATTCTCCTAGATGGAATCTCCCGTGGCATGAGAGCGTGCCTTGACTGTAATGTGCCCTTCTCTCTTCCTAGACAGACCCAACTCCCCTACATAAAAAAAAAATTCAAGAGCCTAGCCTTTCCCCCATGTTCTTTTTTTTTCGTTTTTTACAATGGCCTAGATGCCTCCCTCTGTACATGCTCTTGCGGCGCTCAACCAATGACGAACGAAGAGTCAGAATCGAAGAATGAAACGAAAAATAAAGTGACGGCCCTCTTCGAAGCCATGCATGATATCATAAAACCTCTTCGATGCAAATGGACGTAACAAGGAGAAGGTCAGTGAAAGTCCGCTTTACTCATCTCGTCAGTAGGTGCAGCCCGGCGCCAACATCTCGATGCACTTCTGCAGCAGATTGCTCGCTTCGTGTAGAAGTTCCCATCTTGTCCTCTTGAACATGTCGCGCAGAAGTATGAGCATACCCAGGCACGCATTCCTGTCTTGAACCTTCACCAGAGCGTCTGGTGCCCGAACTCCGCCCACTCTGCGCAGGAAGCCTTGCATGTCTCGGACCATATCCTCGCGGCTGTCCAGCTGGTACACGGGCTCAATGGGGCCGTCCAGAGCATATCCGTAAGACCAAACGATGAGAGTTGCAAAGTAAAGAGCCCAAGGTCGATTGAGCAGAGAGTCGTCGCGCGCCGAGTAGGTGAACCCTGCGGCTTGCTCTGCACTTTGTGAGCCCTGGCCGACCGGTCCACCGGTGCGGATTTTGCCGCTACCGTTTTCGTGCGGAAGCAAAACTTGGGAGAGGAAGCGTAGTGCGTAGAACGTGGCATCGCGTGCGCGTGCCGTTGGGGCCCATAACTCTTTCATCCGACGCTGTGCACCGGCGTAGTCCTGTGGTGTAATGCTGCGCCCCAGTAGGCGAGGGGCGCCTGCATAGATTTGGCAGTCTACAATGTCGACGTGCATAGCCATGTGCGCCAGGTGATGCAGGACCGTCCTGGATTCGAAGACGTTGTCATCAACCAGGCCGTTGCTGTAGGCAAAGGCGGTCGGATTGGTCAGTTCGCCGTTTTTAGACAGCGACGCGTCGAAATCTTGCTTCCAAAAGTCGAAAGCGCGCGTAAGGCTGCCGCGCCACTTGTCTCGTCCACCCAAAGCCGATGATGCTCCAAGGGAGCTCACCTGGAGATCGCGTTGGTTCATATGCCAGCTGACACTGAGGAGACCAGCCATGAGGATTGTCCGACCGAATGAATTGGTGCGTACCGCCGATCCGCTCAACGTCTTTTTGAGGCCGTCGAGGAACGTCGTCGGCTTAACGCCATTGCTGGCCAGACTCGCCTCCACCCGGCCAACTTCTTGGGCGCTCGTTGCCGACCAGAGCGCCTCGTCACACGGCAGCGGTAGCCGCATCTCATGTGCAACCATTACTGCCGAGTGACCGAACATGGTTGCGTGTATCGAATCGATCACAAAGGCCGCAAATGCGGCCCGCCGTGTTGCTTCGTTAGATATCCAATGCCGCCACCATTCTTCTTGTGCATTAGTCGTGGATGAAACAGATCCATTGCGGCCGTCCTTGACGCTAGGCGGAGAGTCCAGCGCTGATCGGCCAATCAGCGAACTACCTCTCCGCATAAGCGTAAGGGTGGTAGCGTGATGTATGTGCGCACGCTCGTGCAGCGGACGCGTAGAGTACATCTTCTCGAAACATTCGAGAAGAATAAGTGCCTGAAACACCCACAATTTTGCAGGAGGTCGGAAATCCGCATCCATGAAGAGTTCCCATCGCAAGTGCCACGCAAGGAAATTTGCAAGCTCTGCACATGTAGTTGTCAGCTCCTGCCCGAAGCTCTTCTCCAGGCAAGACGCGCCCAGGGACATCATCGCGACCAGCAGTAGTGGCGGGCAGTTTGCAGCGCTGAACGTCGGTCGGTGCAAGATTGGGAGCTGTGTGTGGAAGTGGACCCAATAAGAACCAATGTAGGTCTGCATCATGTTCAAGCTGAGCACATGAGTGTTTTCGTCTTTGTTCCCCTCCAGGAATTCTTCTTTCTGCCTCTTGACGGGTGCGTGGCTGCTCTCGTTGAAGCGGTTCTCGATAAGGTCAAGGATCTGCTGACGTTTCTCTTCTGATAGTGCCGATTCAGGCAAGCTGGTGTCGAGGATACTGCTGACAGACATTGGCTGATGGGGCGGCGCAGGCTGATTGAAATACCCGCTCGCTGTGGTGTCATATCCAAAGTAAGGAGCCTGGAGGCCGAAAGTAGTAGAACCTGGTACGCTGGGCATATTGTTTGCCGGATATCCCACAGGCGAGTGGCCAGTTGCAAGGTTCGATTCGTTAAAAAGCCAGGCTGTGAAGTCGTCTGCCATTGCAAAAGGCGATCGGCTGTACCCTTCACCCCCAAACACGGGCATGGAGTAACTGTTGGGCGTCATGTTCTCTAGAATCTGACCTTCACTTACGGCAGTCATTCGCTCTCCGTGTCCAGTGGCCTCGACGCCCTGCATGGACATGGAGGAAGTCATGGAATAGTTTCGGGACGACCCTTGCGAACCTTGATTCGTTGCAGGAAATCCCGAAGGTGGCAGCGAGCTGAAGTTTGAAGGAACACCCTGCTGGTTCTGTCCTTGATAGGTCACGGGGGATTGAGACAGCTGACTGGTTAGGGGCGCAGGGGAATTGTACGCCTGTGAAGTACCTGCAGCCGAGGTGTATGGTGAGTTCATGCCGAGATTCTGCACTCCATTGCCGACTGAGCTTTGTGAGCGTAGAGGAGGCGCACTAAAACCTTGGGCTGAGGACCGAGGCGAGTACTGCGGCCCGGAATTGCTAGCCGTATCAAAACTCGAGGACCGTTGGGGGGCGCTAAATGTGGACGATCTCCTGTGTTGATCTGGCATCTGCTGCGACACGCTGTTAGAGCGCCAGTCATCGCCGCCCATAGCACGGTCGGATGCTCCCCCATTCCCATGGTGCTGCACTGCTGCACCGAGGGGCGGCGACATTGCGGATCCAGCAGGTGTTGCGCCGCCCAAAGCCGATGCTGGTGACTGCGCCATGCCACCTATAGAGTTAGGCTGCCTTTTGTGTCAGTGCGATCCGGGAAGCCAGTCTCGGGGCCGCCTACCACCGGGGAAGCCTGTGAATTCCCTAGTTTCCCGTTCTTGTTTGCCATTGCATTTGTCACAATTGGGTTGAGGTTATGCATAAATGTGTCCTTTCTCAGCAGCTGGGAGCCTCGAGCAGTATGTCTTTCCTTGTGCCGGGCGCACAGATCTTGTCTCACAAAGGACCGCTGGCAGTCGGGGAAGTCGCAATGGTAGATTTGCTTCGGGTTGTCTTCCTCGTGTCAGTTGCTCCGTTGCCGACGAAACAAGGGCGCAGCTTACGGTTTAACTGGTGGCGGTACAGGTGTTCGGCGCGAGAATAGCTCTTGCCGCAGCCCTCATGGGGGCATTCAAACTTCTTGTCCAAGCCTTTGCGACTGCGCCTTCTCTTCCTCGAGGAGCCCGGCGGCGCGTCGCCATCATCCACCGGATTGTCCTGGTCGTCCAAAAGCTCGTCGTCGCGGGTGCGTCGCCTGCCTCGGTTTTCGTCCGAGGTGGGACTCGTTATCTCGTGCTCCTGCGGCTCCATCCTGGGGGCCGACTGGTGCGCAGGTCGCGAGATCGGGGCGCCGAGCGGGTTGCGAAAGTCTAACGAGGTCCCTGCCTGCGCGGGTAGAATCTCGGCCGTCATAGCTCGCGCGACGTCTGGCTGCGCATGTGGTGATTGAGCAGGCGCGCCGAGGCCTCAGCCTCACCCGTTGATAGCCGCGCTCCGGGTGGCTTCGAATGGCAGGGAGTCCAGCGGTGTTGTTTCATGTACAGCTGCGCGCGGAGGCCGTGGGAGACTGCACCGGGTGGTACAGAAAGCGTGTTCTGAGGGGAGCGAGCGGCTGTGATAGGTATCTGATAGCGCGCGGCGTCTGGCGGGCGGAGGCGTGCGCACAGCTGAGGGCGGCGACGGGCGGCGACGGGCGCTTGGGGCTAGCGCGCGCTGACGTCTCGGCGAATGCTCGAGCGGCCGCTGAGCGCTCAGGCGTCGGACGCGGATATGGTGGTCGAGTGTGGTGCTAGTGCTGCCAAAGCGTCGGGCGGCGCACTGGACGGGAGAGGCTCGATGAGTGGAAGGGGCCGCTGGCGACGATCCGCGCCGGCTGTACGGATTACGGGCGTCCACCGCAGCGGGGTCTGCTTCGCATGCAGCGCCGCCGTTCGCTGAAGGTGCGATCTGCGCTTCGACAGAAGCCTGCGGGCAACCAACGTGGGGAAGATGGGGCTCCAGGGACGGCCAGCGCGCGGTTCAGCGGCCTTTTGGCACCCTCCCACCCCCGAGCCTGTGCCTGCGCCGCCACCAGGGTCACGCTGCTGGCGAGAAGCATGGATTTCCGCCCCATCCGCCGATAAATGCGTAGCACCACCAGACGAGCGCACCCCAACGGCCTTCGCGGTCGCCGACACCACGACATCGATCCTGCACTCCATCCCGCATCCACCATGCCCGAGCGTCGTGGGCGATGCGAGCACACAGCACCGACGGCTCCACGGCCCAACCCGCAGCTAGTGGACGTGTGGACCCATGGGGGAACAGATGCTCGGCCTCCCGCCGTTCTTCAGCTGGCACCGTCTTCTTCACCTCGCCGCCCAGAGCACTGGCAACCTGGCCTCGCCGGAGGCAACACGACGAGGTCCACCGCGTGCCCGGGTGCACGAATGCTCGCCTCACCTTGCGGCTTGTTGCGGCTCAACTTGCTTCTTCGCCGGATTAATGCTTGCAACGCGGGCTGGGAGGAGCACGCGGGGCTGGAGATCAATGTCTTGTCCTTGCTTTTCGCTGTGTATGTTTTTGCCCTATCGAGTCTGAGGCGCCGCGCAGCATTATGTACAATCCAGGCCAAGCCCCCCCGAATGTTCTCATGTCGACATTGCAGCTGCACGCACGCGCTGACGATTGGGTGAGTGCTCGGAGGCGGCCAGCCGTACTCCGGGAACGCTTATAGGCCTGGGTTGGGGAGTGGTGGCGTTACAGGGACACAACGGAAGCGCGTACTCCAAAGCTTACCTGCACGGAGACGGGGGCAGAGACAGCCGCATGCGCTGACAACGGCCGGGACCGTAAGCAGGGGCGGAGATGGGTCGGCCGCTGGGCTCCATGTAGATCCGAGCAACGTGCGCCGGAACGACACGGGCTATGACATAAGATGCGCTCTCCCTACTGCCTTTGCCCCAGCCAAGGGTAGATGAGCCATGGAACTCGACTCACCTTCTACATCTCCACCACAGGATGGCCGATACTGCCCCGCAACCATCGAGCCTGGGTGCGCGCTTGAAGGGCGCGCTGAAGCCGAAGAAATCGCGCAACCGCCTGGTCAAGAAGCCGCCCTCCGAGTCGGTCAGCGCTGAAATCGTCAGGAGGAACAACGAGACCATCTCCAGAAGCACAAGCACCTTGCTTGGTCAAGACGCACTCAAGCCGCAGTCACAGAAGCCGCAGTCGCAGGCGCCGCACTCTACGGCCCCGGACACCGCGCTGATAGACAGGCACACCGGAGAACGTCGCGACATTACCGCGTTGATCCACGGCCTGCAGGACTCTTTCGAGCCGGGCCAGGACGACATACCCGAAGAGTTCGACGAGAACCGCCCACCCGGCGAGCCTCTGATCGCCAGCCTGCCGCCCAGATTGTGGCACAAAATTGCAGATGAGTACCTGTCGCCCGCCGACGCTGCAAGCTTGGCATTTACGAACAAGACCTTGGCCAATATTCTGGGCCCTGCTCCATGGGAAGCGCTGAGGTTGCCAGAAAACCACCTGAACAGAATTCAATTCCTGGCCCCTATGGACCGCCATCTTCCCGCCCACCTTTTATGCTTTCCGTGCGCAACCTACCACGTCCGGATACACCGTGGCGAAGAAGAACCCAAGCCTCCACACGTGCTGAACCCATTGTTCATTTGCCCTCATGCTCAAAATCCACTTGTGCCGCCTCCTCGCACGCGGCTCACGCCTAACCGCAACCTTCCGTTCACCTTCGTCCAGCTCACGACGAGGGCGGCGCGATACGGCCTCGAATACGGCATTCCGGTGGAGAACATGTTTCGGCGCTGGAAAGACACCGCCAGTGGCTGGTCCCATCATACGCGCTACTATGTCGTTAAAAACCACCTCTTTCTTCGCGTCATCAGCTCCGCTTTTGCACCAGCTGGGCTGCCCCTGAGTGGACAGCGACACCTACTCTACTCGCGAGAGGACTATTCGCCTTACTTCTCGGTATGTGCGCATTGGCGGGACGGCGAGCTGATGAACTTGTGCAAGTGCGCGCTCAGCCACATCCCGAAGCCGCGTCAGGGGAACGGGCCAGAGCAGCAGCTCGCACGACGCATCGACTCACGCATTAAGCACGTTCCGACTGCCACCCAAGTCGTCAGCCAGTGCACCGAGTGCAAGTCCATCCGCCGCTGCACCCAGTGCCCAACCGAGTATCTGATCGAGCTCAAGCTGGCCGAGGATAAGAGCGACCCATTGCAGAAGTTCAAGCAGTCCATCTCCGTGACTCGGTGGAGCGATCTGGGCAATGGAACCACACCGGCCTCACCCGAGTGGGCGGCAGTGAACGGAGAGGCGGAGTTCGATTCATTCAAGGCTATTGGGAAGCGTGCGGTTTCGGCCATCTTTGAGTCACAGGATAGCGATTTCATACCTTATCAAGCAGTCAAGTCGCTTAATCCGAAAGGCATCAAAGCAGGCGAAGAGGGGCATAGCTGGTATTAGAGCCGGGATTCATGGCGGAGTTGACCCTCTTTGCGGAGTTCTGGCCACGCTCGTCCAGCTTGCTCGTCAAGAGATACAGTCTTCTCGCTCACAATCGAGATGAGACGACGGACGTCGGGTCATCGCTGATGGTGGATTTTGAAGTTTAAGCAGGATTCGATACTTTCGAAATGGTCGTAGTGCATTCGGAACGCGGAGCTCTCCAACACTATAAGCAAGACGACCATGAGGTCTACTTCGCTTTCGGATTGTGAAATATGGATAGAATTAGCATCTTCGAGGCTGCCTGTGCCTTTTAGTCGAACACGTTACCTGCAAACCTTGCACGGTTACTGTAGAGACGCGGAGTCTCTCATTTATATTATACCCTTGATGGTTTCACAGATAGGCGAATTGCATATTTATATTCGGTGTTCACCTCTGACTCCTCTTGTGTTAGTAGTCTCTTGACTTTTATGTGCCCTTGGGTGTCGACTTTTACAGCCTGAGAGCCTTCCGCAGACTTTGGCCGAACTGTTCGCCATCCACGGCTCTCCCGATCAACACCACCTTTCCGCCTTGATTTGCAGAGTCGCCAGAGGTTTGCTGCCCGCTTGATGGATTGTCTCTAGCGTCCAAAATTTCAAAAACTTCCCTCACACCCTGGACAAGTTTCAATGAGCCGTCGAGCATCGGCACGCGCCCCTTTGTTCTGTGGATCTCGAACTTGAGCGACGGCGCTCCTCCTGGCAGTCTCTCTTCCCAAAGTAGGGACTGAAGCCAGCTATCCAAAGCTTCGAGGCCATTCTGATCTAATGGAGGGATAGGTATAGTTATCGTTGTAATTGTCTGTTATCCAGGTTGTCAGCTCGGTTCAGAAGTCAAACACGAGCAACATACAGGATCCAGATGGCTATGACCCTTAGCAGCGAAATCCAGCTGCGCAGCATCCACGGCATCATAGGCGTGCAGATCGAGTAGCACTCCTTCCAGTTGGGGCACCTTGCTGTGGTCGGTGACATGGATCTGGGCGAGCGCATTGATGGCAGCGATGCGCCGTTGCACGCTCTCAAGCTCCTCAGGTGTGACGAGATCGGCTTTGTTAATGACAACCACGTCTGCGTGCGAGATCTGCAGATGGGCAGTGGTTAGCTCGGGGCCTTTGTGGTCGTGATCCTCTTCGTTATGCGCAGTCGTTTCGGGCGGCGGTTCGTCCAAGCTCTTCAGAATGTTCTTTGCGTCGACCAGCGTGACGATGCCATCCAGGTAGATGGTGCTTCCCAGGCCTTCGTCTACCCAGAAGAGCGGTGCAATGTTGCCCGGGTCGGCCAGGCCGGTTGTCTCGAGCAGGATATAGTCAAAGACGCCACGCTTTTCCATCAGAGACTCGATGGCCTGGACACCGGTATCCTTGACGGTACAGCATAGACAGCCATTAGCCAGGTCTAGCCACTCTTCGACCTGCCCACCGTCTTTGCTGACGGTGAGCGATTTCTCAATGTCGGCAGCTACTCAGGCAGTCAACCAGGTTGGCTTCGTGTATTGAGCAGGCTGACAAGCAGGTGCCTTACAGTTACCAAACTCTGGGCGCACTGTTAGCATGATCCATCAGACTCTCGCGCGAAAAGGGGAGTACACGCCGTTCAGGATGACAGCAATCCTCTTCCCATGGCGCTCGTTGAGGATGTAATTGAGCAGCGTGGTTTTCCCAGCACCCAAGTAGCCTACAGAGACGCAAAGTCAGCCGCAACAAAGCATTCAGGTATAGCACGAGCAAGACGGAGCGGACCGGTGACGATTGTGATGGGGACCTTGACGAGGGACAAATCGTCCACGCCGGCGGGGAGGGGCTGGCTGGCGTCGGCCTGGCTGGCGTCGACAAGCAGTGGCGGGGCTTCCTCGTCGTCGAAGTCCATGGCGGCGAGGATCCAAGAGCGATGGTGACGGCGGGTGGCTGCTGGGTCGGTGGGACATGCAGTGTTTTGAGCAGCCAGCCTTATCGATAAGCGCGCCAGCTGCAGCCGAAGGCCGCGATTCCGACCGAATGCCGCAAGCTGGGGCGTGTCGTGGCGCAACGGGAATGCGCAGGGCGGGCACGCGCAATGAGCAGGCGGAGCAACGGTCGATCTGCAGTGACCCCGGGCGCCTCCATTCTTTTGAAACCGGCAGTATCTCCATCTCGCATCCAGCGCCGATCCCTCCCTCCCCGTGCCCTGAATAGCAGCACATCGGCGCGCCTGAGAGCCTGTCCCGCCCTTCCTCCTAAAACCCAAGCTCCTGCTCCCAACGCTGTCGCTACCGTGTCAACACCACCCCCAGACCTCTCTGCACCCGCGCCTGGACAACCCTGAAGTTGCCCCAAGCCCTCCAGCACTTGAGCCCAGTCCCTGTTGCCCGCGCGGTTGTCATCGCCGTGCTGCCCAGCATGCCTTCTCCTATGGTCAATGCCACGCTGCAAGCAGCAGCGCTGTCGTCAATCTCGAACATCCTCGCGCAGGTCATCGACGCCTATCGGAGCGGTGTATGTCCCCCGTTGTCTATCCAAGCCTTCCCCAGACAGGTGCCGTGATTGCTAACGGACCCCGCGTCATCATTGACAGCGCCCGATCGCCTTCAACCCCATTGAATTCCTCCGCTTCGTCGTCCTGACCTTGATCACCGCCCCACCCAACTACCTGTGGCAGCAATTCCTCGAACGTACCTTCCCGGCATATCCTGGCCCCGCCGGCCTCTCCCATGCCCACCGCTCGCCGCGCGTATCCAACGACGGCGATGTCGAGAAGCGCGGAGAGGAGGGTCTGCTGCACGTCGAAGAGGAGAAGCCGAAGCTCAACCTCAAACATACCATCACGAAATGGTTCGTTGACTGCATCACCATGGGCGCCATCATGAACACCGTCGCCTTCCTGGTCATCATGGGTCTCATGAAGGGGCAGTCGAGCGCGCAGATTGGGGGTAATATCAGGACGGTGAGTGGGCCCCCGCCGTTGGAGATCTAGATTTAAGTGCTGATCTCATTGATCGTCAGGAGACGATCCCGATCATCGTTGCCGGCTACAAGATCTGGCCCATCGCCTCCATCATCAGCTTCAGTTTCATTCCCGTCGAGAGGCGTATCGTTTTCCTGAGCGCCGTTGGCCTCTGCTGGGGCATTTACATGAGCCTCGTCGCCGCCAGGGTTTAACGTAGATCACGAGCTCATGTAAACAAAACTAGACACATTGTATTCGATTGGGATTCAAGATGTTTCCCCCATTCCTTTCTCTTTCTGGGGCGTTTTGGGATTGCCGATTGGCGTTATTGGACAGTGTTACTGCCCGCACTTGCAGTTGAGGGCATTTGGGCATCAATCATGCCACGGGGAGATGTATATCCGCAAGATAACCTGCTGGGAGAGGGGGGAAGCGGGAACCCAGTTCGCGCCTGAAGGGCCACAGTTACGATTCATTTCTTGGATCTGAATACTCGTGCAAACAGTCACTCACCGGGAGTGAGGACTAAGGACATCTCATTGTAGCCTCACTGTAGATTAAAAAAAAAAAAAAAGAAGAGGGGGAAATGAAGGGGCAGGGCGACTCAGTCATTCGTGTCCCCATGTAACCCAAATCCAATACCCGTATCTCAAGTTGTCGCATTGATTCGTGCCCCGGTAATGCACTTCTTACATTCTAGTTCAAAGCCTGGTCTAACGGGCGGTATTGCGGCGGATCGATGGTCATCAATCTTTCGGGGGCGTATTCAGTGCAGGGTTTTATGTTCTCATACGTGCGCGGCATCCGGACGTGGATAGCTTCGGATTCATATCAGACAGCTCAGGCACATGACTTGACCAACTTTTGCGACACAAATTGGAGGCTGGTAGTATACTTGTTGGATAAAAGGAATTACACCCCGAGGAAAATATCCTCTGGGCTACAGCACAAAATGCACTCTCAGTCCCGAGCCGTATTCGAGTACTAAAACCCGCACTCAGTAGAACCTCTTCAAACGCAACAAGCGCGGCGGTGTCATCTCGCGAGTGCTGTGACGAAGGGAAGAAGGTTGGAATCGATGCATCAGTAGGGGGACTCTATCTCCTAACGATGATTCAACAGGCTTCTTACAAGATCAGGTGCGAGAACTTGTAGGATCGGGGAGCTGAAGGTTCCCGGGCATGGTTCAGTAGCTGCTCCATTGGTATTGTTGATAGCGCTGCGCTTCTGCGCGGCTGCATTAAAGTCGATGCGAGCCGCCAGGAGCTGGCCACGACCGGACCGCCTGCTGAGCGAACGCGTGGTTTCGTCGAGGCGAGCAAGTGAGGCTGACGCAACAGGACAGTGGGATTCTTAGCGCAGAGGACGAGACTCACGATGACGCGGAGGGAGTGGTGGCCGAGGTCAGGAATAAGGCCGCGAGGTGCCGACTGAGCAGCGCAATAGTGGGCGGCCTGACGATAGCTGGCTTGAGGCTTTTGTGATTGCACGTGAAACTGTGACGCGGTGGAGGGCCGGACCACATTGGTGGCGGAGCGCCGAGGAGCCCGCACCAGGGCGCAGCCTCGCGCGCAGCCTCGCGCACTGCGGCACTGCGGCACCGCAGCACCGGCTCTGTCATGTCAGGCCATGGATGGCACCACAGCACGACACAGCCAGGTCCTCTGTAGTTCCCATGCCAGGCACCGGGCGCCCGTGAGGCCCGACACGCGACCCCTGCGCTTTCTCCACACGCCGCTTGTCCGTTTCCGCTCTAGCTTCCGACAGACCCCGCGCGTGCTGATAGCCGCCAGCCCGCCAGCCCGCCAGCCCGCCAGCCCGCCCACCCTCGACGCCTGCTGCTTGCTGCTTGCTGCTTGCTGCTGCGGCGCCACCAAAACCCGCCGCTGTCCCGTCTCTCCGCTCCTGCTACCTCGTCCTCGCCCTCGCTCTCCTGCAACTCTGTTCTGTGCGTGCGCCCCCGCCTCCATCGCCCGTAACCCAGCCCGCAGAGGTACGTCACAACAGCTGATCGCTCCACAACGTCTCCGCTCCCCCAGCACCACTCACGCGAGCCCACCTTCCCCTCGTCCGCTCCATATGTCTGCCGCCTGCCGCCTGCCACCTGCCACCTGCCACCTGCCACCTGCCGCCCCCCATTGCCCGACACCACTCTGCTCTCTGCCTGCCTGCTGCCCTGGCTGACATTCCCCTTCGTCCAGCTCCCTGCAACTCGCACCTCTCGCCATCAGGCCACGCATGACCAGTGTTACACCCGCTTCTCTTCACAATGCTGGCTCATAGCATCAATCGAGGCGTTTCCAAGCGCCCTCTGCCGCGTGTCCAGCTCCCATCCGTTCTCGCGCGCAGCGTCAGCAACTGGGGCCGCCGCGGCTGGCCGCGATGGAGGGACGAGGCCGACGAGGAGTGGAGGCAGTTCCAACTTAAGATGGATGCCTTCCACAAGCAGATCGAGGCTGATCCCTACGAGGCCATTTTCGGTCGTTCTAACGAGATACTTCGCGGCATTCGCCGCTCTCCGCCCGCCGACCCTTCCCCAACCAAGGCGGTCCCCATCTCCACCGAATCCGAGACGAAGCCCACTGCGAACCACCAACCCGCGGTTGAGCTGTCGTACGATCCTATCACCGGCCGAATGGCCCCAAAGTACGGCGCTCCTGAGAGCCCAGCTGTTGAAGATCCGTCGATACATTACTCTCAAAGCCATCACGATCCCCGTGACGACTCTTTGTCCGCCTACGACAAGAAGCCGAGCAGCACACCAGCACAGTCGAGCGACTGGCTTGCTCAGGAGCGCCTCAATCAAACTCGGGCCAATACAGCCGAACAGGATCAGTTGCGGGAAAGTTTAGCCAAGTATGACAACGACCTACGTGAGCAGCCTCAGAGGCCGCCAGCACCACCATCCGAATGGCTCGTCCAGGAAGATCACCACAAGAGCACTCCTCGCAAACTGAATCTTCCGGCAGATGACATCGATCTGCTAACTGCTACCGATGTAAGAGCTCGTATGGGCATTCGCAAGAACCCCAACCACGAGACTGCTGAGCAGAAGCAAACGAGGCGTGTTCAACTGGAACGTGACTTCAATTCGATCCAAGCACAAGATCCAACACCTCGAGTTCAAGAAACCTTGTACAAAGTTCAAGAAGCCTGGGAGATTTTTGATAGGCGCAGGCGTCTTGCAGACGAATACGCTAAGGCTGAGAAGGCGGTGAAGACATCCGAACAGGAGCTATCAGACATTCTGGAAACATCTCTATCCTGTGCTGCAAGGAAGACCCCGGACGACGGATACTCGCACGTCCCAACTGGTCTGCAGACATCTTTCGAAAGAGAGAAAGCTTCCGGTCGTGACCTCGCTACTGATATCCAAACCAGAGCCAAGCCGGTGCAATATGACGACGGTTACTCTCGTACGCCAATGGGCTTGCAGACATCTTTTGAGATGGAACAAGCCGCTGGACGTTCCCTTTCTGAGGACATCCAGGCAAGGACGGAGCCCCGGAATCACGTCGTCGACGACGGCTATTCCAGAGAACCCATGGGTCTCGAGACGTCTTTTGAGAGAGAGAAGGCTTTAGGTCACTCGCTTGCCGATGAGATCCACGCCAAGACAGACCCGAAGCAGTATATCGCTGATGACGGTTACTCGAGGGAACCTACTGGTCTGGAGACTTCATACCAGCGGGAATTGGACTCTGGCCGAAGTCTGGAACAAGAAATCCAGGCTCGGGACGATGCTTGCCTCACTTCACCGGACGATGGGTACTCGCATGAACCCACCGGCCTCCAGTCTTCGTTCGCTCACGAGCTTGAAGCTGTGAGGAATGGGGTGAAACAATCACTTGAAGAGGAGCTCAGCAAGATGTCTCTGGGCGCAGCCTCATATTCGGACGTGTGCTCTCCGAAGGCGCCAGACAGCTCGATTGGCTCAGCCACAGCGCCCCCGAGGTCAGTCGAACAACGAAGAAAGCAAGGAGCAGCTCCGGACGAGCTCAAAGATTGGTATGGATATTCGCTGAAACCGCTAGGACTACAGACGTCGTATGAGCGAGAGATCGAGGCCTGCCAGAATGGCCAACGTAAATCTCTAGAAGAGGAGCTCCAGGAACAGGCTTTAGGTGTGGCGCACGGTGCTTCGGAGTTTGATGGACAAGGATTCTCCCGGAAACCGACCGGTCTTGAGACGTCGTTCCAGCGAGAACTGGACGCATGTGCGAATGGTAAGAGAAAGTCCCTTGGGGAGGAATTGGCTCTTCCGGTCGACGGTGGTGCTGTTGAGACGATGAGCACGAAAGAGGAAGCCGCCAAACTCGAGGCAGCACGAGAGCAACGTCTGCATGACATTGCTCTTGTTCGTGAAGTGCGCGAGATCTACGAAAAGTACTATGGCAAAATCACTACTACTCACCGCCAAGCAGAGGGTGCTTCAGTTGCACCTGAAACTTTTGAAGTTTCGAGCACCGAGGACACAGGGCGTATAGACGAAGCAGTGCACAAGAGCCTCTCTTCCTACGACGAGAAGCACCCGGGCTCTTACAACTTCACGCCTGACAACCTCGAGACCGAACTCTCCACCCGGGGCCCCGCTTCCTCACAACCCTCTGAAAGTCAGACGCCAGGAGCCTCCGCAATCAAACCGCCATGTGGCACTTCTGCTGCGGATGCCAGTGGTGAGAATCTTGTTGCGGATGCCAACCAAAATGAGACGGACCCCGCCGTCACAATCTCTGCAAAGCCGCGTGTCTACAAACTTCTCGCCTTTGATCCTTCGACAAGATCGCTCACTACTTCCCAAACATCTTCTACGGTCTACAGTCCCGGTGAACACCCGATCCCTCTTAGTGTCGCGCTCTCAAACCTGTCTCAACCAGCCAGGTTCATCCCGCAACTCACCTCTCTCCAAAAAGATGGTTACGAACCTGTCGCCTCGGCCGCAAACCTTCTGATCTTGCGGCTTCGCGATGACAAGTTGAAGGAGACTCACAAGCGTGCTCCTCGTCCTAACCCGGTTGACGGTACCACGATTCCCCTTCCACCTACTCCTACAATGTCCCCCACCGGCTACATCAACCTGGACCCTGTGATGGAGAATCCGGCCGCCGCCAGAAAATCCTCGTCGCGCCACAAGGATGACAAGAAGGTGCGCAAGACTGAGCCGGTCTTTTCAGGTGAGCGCCGCAAGGAAGGCATGAAGGGGCAGAGCGTCAGGACTGTCTTGACCACTTTTATCTGGGCCACTGCTGCATGTTACGTTGCCGGCGTTGCCGGTGAAGTAGCCAAGGGGTACTAGAACCACACTGGCTGTATCCTCCACGTTGGTGTTTCAGGGACCCCTGGGTATTCGGCACAGAAATTCGAAACCTGAGATCTGCATTGCTGGGTACATATCAACGGGTGGAAACGCATTGCTGGGCTGGGCAAGAATTGTACTCATTAAGACACCAGATACCCTCTCGATCCTGTTTTTCTTGACTTACTCTCACGACCTCACGACGGAAGCGAAGGGCATGTACCAGACTTCTCTCAATAATTCCCCTCCTGTTCAACTAGCTTCCAATGGCATCGCAACTTCTCTCGTGCATGTCCGACCTTAAAGTTGTGATATGCCTGCCTGTAGTGCAGGTATTGCGTGATTTAGTGTAATTGACCAATGGCGCTATACACTGTCACCTGATTTTCTCTAATTCTACCGCCCTGGCAGGTTCGACTTTCCATTTCTAGCCTTTAGCTCTGCTCCACTGGGTGAAGTTTGTCACAGTTTAACATTCCACGCGGCGAGGATGCCAGAGGTAAAGAATCGTAATGGTATCACTATTCCACAAGAAACCCAATGCCGGGTTTGCCCTTCCCATCCAAGCCCTGTTCCCAAATAGTCATTATGATAGACGTGAAAGTAATCAAGGAGACCCATAAGCGCGTCGTAAAACCCGAAAAGTATCATACATCATGAACCTGAACCCCCATTACCTCATAACTCCAACTCTCTAAAGCCTTTACTATGCCTTGTTGCTGAATCGACGGCTCGAGAATGCATGCGATTGCGGTGCAAATGCGCGAGAAACCCATCTATCTCCTCAGCCTACTCCCCACGCTACTTGCTTTGCTGCTCACCCAACTGCCACTGCTGCTGACCCAGCTCGGTGTGCCGAAGGTCGGCAGCCAGCTGAATCTGCCACTGCGTCCGAATTTCGTCTTCGGGCCGTTGCTGCTGGACCTTCCACGCCACTTGAGCCGGCCCTCGGCAATCATGTGTATGATGTTGATGACACCGAATGCGCTTGAGCCGATGGCACGGAACAAGGCCACCGCGGCGACGCTCCATAGGATAAACTTGAGATAGAAGTTCGAGCCAACCTCTCCAACAGGGTAGGCTTCCGAGACCGCCATGGCCAGGATGGCATTGCAGATCATCCACACAACGACCATGTATGTACGCACGGCGCGGTAGTAGTCTTCCTGTGCCTGGCTCTCGCTAAGACCTGGTGAGGGCACCTCGATACGGTCGCGGAGGTTTCGAAGCGCCTCGTCGTAGCCAGAATCGATGTCGAGCTGTTCCGAGGGCATCTCCAACTCGACCGTATTACCACTTCCTTTGGCTTGGCCGAGGTCGCGGTTTTGGACGTTGTCACCCTTCGTGCCCCACGTAACATCGTGCGCGTTACAGAAAGCGTAGACTTGAAGCGTGCAAATGTACGCGGGGAGAAGTGCGAAGTACTGGCCCGACGAGGTGATCATATGCCAGGGATCCAAATACAAGAATGACATGAGGAAATACAGGCCGATCGTACTGGCTGTGCTGACAATCATGTTGGTGAATATGTTGTTGCCAAGCTCGAACTTCGTGTCCGGATCGCGGAGCTGGTCGACGACGATGTAGACTGATGCGAACGTCACATACATCATGATGACACCGTACACGATCATAGAGAAGAGGAACATCTTCTTCGCTCCCTGAGGACGATTTCCCATGGAAAGAATGAACTGCATGCAGATCAAAAGAGTGCAGGAATACCGCAGGATCTGGAAAATTACGTGACCCATGTTGTGACCGAAGGGGTCTAACTTGGGATCACTGAGAGAACCGGCGATGAAGTAGAAAGTCAAGTAAAAGTTGGCCTACACCAAGAATCAGTAAACGAACATATATCACGTAAACTATTGGCTCGCTTACCAAAGAAAAGTAAGTGAACAGTAAGCTGACGAACTGATAGACGAATTCGATGTGTAGCAGAATCTTCCGCCACAAAGTGTGGTCTGTCGCCCAGATCTGTCTGAAGTGGAGGAGTGAGTATACGGCAGCGAAGAAAGCTCCGTTCAACCACCTGCGGCGCTGAGAGATGAACTCGGGTACGCTATCTATTCGGCTGTTAGCACCTGCAATCGAGCCGGCATGCAGAAAAACTTGCCTGGAACATCGGTCTCTCCCGTTGCACTCTTGACGTATTTTAAGACCCATCTTTCGCTCCGCTTGGCAACCAGCTCCCAACAAAGAATACGATCTTCGGCCAGGTACATGTTGGCCGTGAACACGTCCGCATCTTGGCCGTGGAGCGTCTCTCCCTTGAAGTACTGACTCAGAGGGCCATGTCCAGTCTCGTCGTTTTGCAGGGCGTGGTAACGATAGGCACTCAAAGCACCCGGCAAGACGGTGATATAGCCAAAGACCGATTCTAGTGGCTTATCCAGGATGTTGGACATCTTGTACTCAAAGTTCTGAGAAGCGACCAGCGGGTTCAGAAGACCCAGCCATCCCTTGCCCTTGCCAGCTTTGATCTCACCGGCAGCACCCGCAACGCTCGAGTCCGTGTCGAACGCCTTCCAAAGGTAGTACAACGCTTTGGAGCCGGGCTTGGTGCCAACGTCGAGAAGGATGCAGATGTTGGGGTTCAGGGCGCGACCAAAAGCGTTGAAGAACCATCGGTGAGAGTTGAGCTTCTTCGCATTCTTCTCCTTCAGACAGAAGACGATCTGGCAGGGAACGATTCCCTTCTCGGCACCTTTGAACCTGAGGTCAGAGTCGAGGGATACCTGCGTGGTGTATTCGTAGACGTGCGCCGTGACTTCCTTGTCATTGACGGTGTTCTTGGCAATGCCTTCCTGGTAGCAGCCCATGGCGGCCAGAGCGTCGAGGACTCGAGGGTGCACCTTTTGGCGACCGTCTGCAATGATGCAGACGACAATCTTCTGCCATCCGTCCTTCCCCCAGGTTCTACTCTTTGCGCGCGAGCAGAAATGAGAGATGTTGCGCATAACACCATGCATAGTACGAGTAAAGTCGATCTCGTTCTCGTTGTACATGGTCACGGCGATGAACAGCTCTGTCTCGCGTTCAGTCGCGCCAAAATTTTGACGTAATTTGTAGCCTTTGTCGACGAAGTCATCGGGGTCGCACGTCACAGCAGTGTATCGCATGTGCGTGAATTCGCTTCCATCCTTGCGAGGGAGGAAGCTGTAAAGGGTCGTGGGGATCTTGCACTCGAGGATTAGCTCGCCATTGACAAGGCGAACTTCTCGCTTTTCAACGCGTTGTTGACGGGCGCCGCGTCTCTGTTGTTTGCCAGGGCTTGGGGCTGGACCCATGTGCTTTTCGTCATAGAACTCGTCAGTAAAAGTGGAGTGGCTGTTGAACGAGTCCATCGTGTGAAGCTCGGGCCTTGAGCCCATGTCACCGTCAGCGCCGAAGATTTCATCGTCCTCGATGGCGATGGTGGCTTCACTATGCTTCGAGTCGCTAGAAATGGGGCGGCCGCCAGCAAAGAGAGGTTGGGGTGGAAGCGGGCGTTTCGGGCTGCCGCCATAGCGAGAAGACGGGGTGCCGGGGCGTGGGGTGCCATTCAGGTCAAGTGGCTCATATGCAGCGCTGGATGCAGGGGGGCGGATGGAAGGGGTCCAGGGCCTCGTTGGCGATCCGGCGCGGTTGGTCGGAGTGGCAGTGCGGTAAGGCATGTAGGCGCTGTCGAGGTCGGGCGGGGGCATGTGCGGAGCAGTGTCCAGGATGGATGGCGCTCTTGAGAGAGGCAGCGATGTGGTGGAAGGGTAGGTGGAGGGGTCGTAGGAGGACTGCGGAGCCGGCCTGTCAGGTTGTTCTTGTGAGCCTTGTGTGTTGGCGGCAGGCTTGCGCTTGACGTTCAGCTTGATCGTCTTCTTGATCTTGTCGGTGCCGCGCTTGAAGGCAGAGGACTCTGGAGCAAGGTCGGACTGCGGCGGTTGCGAAGCGGACAGGGACTGCTCGGCCTCGCGCAAAAAGTCCGCCATGGGATCTTCGGCATGCTGGGTTGGAGTGGCACCCGGCGGAGGGCGAGAAACAAAGTTCAAGCCAGGTCCCCGGGGCTGGGAGGACTGTGCTCCCGAGACAGGACTGGCGGGCTCCAGTGACGGTAGCGCTGCTGGAGGACTGGGGGGTACTAACGGGCTGTAGTCGTTGGGGTCGCCATGGGTCAAAAGGCGCATGGAAGAAGCGCTGGCGTTGTAGCGGTCGGGCGACGGCGGGTAGTCGTCGTCATAGTAGCCATACTCAGGCGGGGCAGCGTAGGCAGGAAGACGGCCATTTGGGGTGCGAGGGCGGTCCATGGGAACTCGCGGGCCCGGCAGCGGGCGAGTAAGTCGGAAAGCGATGTGCGGCAGATGTGGGGGATCGCTGGCGGCGGCTCGGCGGGGCTCGAGGCAGCTGGTCTAGAGGCGCGACGCGACGAGCAGAAACGACCGACGGAAAGGCGGCAGGTAGTGGCGAAGGGAGAGCGCGGTAGAGCGGGCAGGCGGCGGGAAAAGTGGGAGTGGAAAATGCTGGAGGCTGCGGTGCGGGCGCAGTGTGCTGGCGGGAGGCTGGGAACGCCAGGGCGCTCGGGCTGTTTGGTGGTGTTGCCCGGGCGACAGTGCGTCATTTGGCCCCTAGTACGCGCCTGCCCGACGCGACGCGGCTCAGGCACCGACAGCTGTCAGCCACTCGCGCCGACCGCTCAGGCGGATACCGCAAATGCTCCCTCCGCACATCCTCGCTTACGTCATTCGATACTGCACTCCAGTTCTTTTGGCCGACCACCGCGGAGACAAGTCCCCACCGTCGAAGGCAGACAAGCTTTGATCGCTCAATGCTTGTTTCTACACTGACTCCGTCTGTCCGGCTCCCTGGCCCAGGGGCAGCGGCAGCGAACTTTTTGGTACACGTCACCCTGCTCGTCTCCACCACCCGTCAGAATCCAGTTTATCGTGGAGGCTGCTCAGCGTAAAGGAAAACGTGGGAGAGCGGTCCGTCACATCAGAGGTCGGATTGGTGAGAGGTGGCTCGCTGACGTGTAGCTTGGTTCATGAATCATACGCTGGTGGAAAGGTACATACACTGGGCTACAGCGCGCGTGATGTCTCGACTCCCTTAATGACAGCAAGGTCCGCAAGCCTTTCTTCAAGCTGTCTTATGAGATCCCGTTTTCTCTCTGGGTACGCAATAGATGTTGGCGAGGTTGAGTGATTGAAGACACCCGCTAGCCCCATCGAACATACAACAAACCGAGTCAATGCCGTCCGACTACCTGAACTTCCCGTGCGCCCTGGTCATGGGAGGCGGAGGCGGCATTTACAAGGCCTTCTTTCGAGTACCTGATCGACAAAGGGAAGGAATAAAGTCGTTATCGCGGGCCGCACCAAGTCCAACCTCGCATCCACAACCGAGAAAATCGGTGCAGCGGCCTGCTACGTCCTGGGTACCAGCGCGACCTCGACACTCTCCTCGTTGACCCAGATGATCACCACAGAACACCCCGAAGCCGACTGCCTGGTCAACAACGCGGGCGTACAGCGGCCGCTGCAGGTGCTCACACACGACGCAGCCGACTTTGTTGAGTAGGCGGACACGGAAATCGACACAAACATCCGCGGGCCGATGCACCTTGCGCTACCTAGGTAGGCTTGTTGCCCCACTTCCGGTCCAGGCCGCACCGTGCCGTCATCAACGTGTCGAGCGTGCTTGGCTTCGTTCCAATCAGCATCATCAACCCACCAGTCTACAATAATAATAGCGCCAAGGCCTGACTGCATTTCTAGTCGATAAACTTGCGCACACAATTGAGGGACGGGAAGATCAAGGTCGTCGGGATTGCGCCGCCAAAGGTTGCGACGGCCCTGCACCGTGAGCGAGACGATCCGGATGATACCAAGAAGAACAAGGATCCAAATGCGCTGAGCGTCGAGCAGTCCATGGAAGAAGTCGCCTGGAAGCCGGAGAGGGGGACGAGACGATCGGGCTGGGATAGGAGTTGAGGCGTTGGAGAGGTGGCTTGGCGCAGTCGGCCATCAACATGCGAAGTCTGCGGGCGGGACATAGAAGGCGTTTAGCTAGCATACGGAAGTCCACTATGCAATAACGGGCCATGCAGAGCTGAGAGGGTGGATGTCGCGGGGGAAGCGGCAACAGCATCCCAACAAGGCTAGCTCCGACGCGTCGCGCTTTCCGGGGTCGGCCGCGCTTGGAATGTTTACACCTGCAGGTCACGTCCCCGCTACCGCCCGCCCTTCACGACGACAACCATCCATCTCCACCCTGCCGTGCGCCCTCTGCACAGCCATGTCTCGACGCGCCGCTGCACCCACTCTTTCCTACATGGTTGACGAATCTGCCTCCGAGGACGAATTCGCCAAGGATTCCGTTGCCCACAACATGGCCTCTGAGTCCCTCATAGAGAACACCGCTCCGCCAAAGAGGCGAGCGGTCCGTCGCCCCAAGACTGCTGCACCCGCCAAGGGAACCGCGACCAAGCCTCAAAGAACAAGCCGGCGGACGAGTGGCGCATCCGTCGGTGCCGCCAAGGCGAAGATCCCAAAGAAAGCGCCACCGAAGAGAAAGGCTCTGGCCGAAAGATCCGAGCCGAATGCGACCGACACAGAGGAGGTTGATGATTTCGAGGAGCTGGGGGACGTCGCGCCGCCTGCGGCAAGCAAAGGCAGAGGTCGCGTTGGACAGCCCGAGCCGAGCCTGGCTGCGCCAGAGCCGACGAAGAAATCCAAGGCCGCGCCGAAGGGACGAGCCCGGCAAACGAAGAAGGAATCATCGCCAGATCCTCCGACGATGATTGTCCCTGAGACGCAGGGTGACCCAGATTCAATGGACATTGAACCCTCGATTGAGGACATCCCAGAACTGCCCGAGACCCAGCCGCTGCCGAGACAAAACAATCGCGCCAGATCCGTCTCCAAGCAACGCGCAACGGCGTCGTTCAGGCGAGGAGGCAGCATCGTGTCCGAAACAGAAAGACCGAGCAACGATCCAGCGCTGCGCAGGAAGCTTGGCGACCTGACCAAGAAGTTCGAAAATTTGGACGTCAAGTATCAGAACTTGCGCGATGTCGGTGTGCGCGACGCCGGGGTAAACTTCGAGAATCTCAAGAGGAGCACAGATGATAGGGCACGAGGTGAGACGCCAGCGTGCAACCTTGACGAACCGGAAATGTTGATTATGCCGCAGCCCAGGACGAGCTCATTACATCGCTCAAGAAAGAATTGGCCACCCAACGCGCCCTGGCAGCGGAGTCGAAATCCTTGAAGCGTCAAGTGGCAGAGGTCAACGCAACCAACAATCAACTTGCGTCGGAGAACAAAGTTTTACACACTCACCTTTCCGAGTCGCAGACTGAAGTCAAGACGCTTACCGCGAAGTTGGCTGCCTCAAGGACTTCTTCAACTAATCCCGAGCCTAAGGTTCCCGGAAGCGCGGTCAAGGCTCAGAGAACGATCATCGCCGGCAGCTCGGAGGCAACAAAGGATGCTCAGATGAGGCAGTTGAAGGAGGATCTCTACAGCGACCTTACTGGACTGATCATTAGAGGGGTGAGGCGGGGAGAAGACGAAGACATTTACGACTGCATTCAAACGGGTCGCAATGGCAGTAAGTCGTCCAAACATGCACACTGCGACTGTCCGTTGACAACTGTAAAGCGCTGCACTTTCATCTTGCTGTCGCCTTGGATGATAAACCATCCGGCCAGAGCTACGAAGAGGCCGAATTCGCCTATACGCCATTGCTCGACGAGAGCAGGGATCGCGACCTTCTGGATGTTCTGCCAGACTATCTGACCGAAGAGATCTGTTTCCCGCGTAGTAGTGCCGCTAAATTCTATGCAAAGGTGGTCGATTGCATGACCAAAAGGATCGTCATCGAGGACTAGAGGGAACCACGTTAGAAAAGCGAAGGAAAGGATTATATGGCTGGGTCTTGGCGTAATCAGCGCTGCAATATACCTCTGGGTTCGTTTGGCCGGACTTGTGTCTGGTACACCACTGTTGTTCTGGGACTAATGGATCATTCGGTTGCGCGTGTTCGGTGCGGACTATAATCTTGCCACCAATGCATTATTAGCGACTTTTTCCTGCTCCATTCGGAGTGGAGGGGATAATTGACCGATCATGGCATACTCGAGATGGCAATCCGCATCCGCATACGATGCGGAGGAGCACCGAATATGGGTGAGCAACGACGGTACAAAGGGGCACAAAGGACATTGCCCTTCTTCACCCATATTAATATTAGAACGCATCAAGACCCGTTCTGTGCTCAAGCCTTCTTGCGACGACGCTAGTGGTCAACGTGGATTTCGGACGTGAATGTAGGGTTTACAAGTTGTGCAACGATGATCGGTCGTCGATTACGATCACTCAAGCAAGCAGTCTGATGCCTTGCGGAAGCGGAACTACTTGTAGCCCACTATATCGACTCTTCTCTTTGTTCACCTGCACAGCCAAGTGCGCCAGCATTATTGACTCGCGCAGGCAAAAACTAGTGGCGCTGTGCAAAGAATATGCCGCCGCATCTGGACGTCCCTCGTTGCAACCGGGCACTCTAAGCTTCGTGTGGCACGCAGATCCGACGTTCGAAGTTGTCAACGGACGGACCAATTGCAAGATGGAGCCACAATCGGAAAGTGTGCAGCGAGGTGGCTGACGAAAGCGGAGGGCTGGTTCTGCTTCTGCTGGGCCTAGCAGCTCCTAAGGCGGGATGGAAGGGATTTGTCGGCTCCTCGATGGCGTGGGCGAGGGCTAGGTGCCATGACGGTGAAGAGATTATATTGCAAATATGCTGTTATTCGCTTGATCAGCCCGCCTCTCTTTGTCCTCGGATGCCACTGTATTTCCTGTCTCTTGCCAGCAGACATGATGGCCAATTTGGCGAGGCGAAAAGGGCGGCTGTGCTCCCTTGTACCGTCTCGGCATACATGCTGGCAGCAGCAACGTTCCCTAGATCTCGCGATACCTTGCTTCTCGGGCGCAAAGTGTTCTCTTGGGCGTCACACCGCCAGTTCAAGCTCAGGATGAACAGTAAAAGGTAAACAGCGATAGAGAAGGGCTGTCGGCACCCCTGCTACCCGCGACCCGAGCGCCCTTCACCAACCCATGTCTTCGATTTGCGACGTTCAAAGTTATGGAGCAACCTGCCAATAGCAAGCGGTATCGTGAGTGCCAGTAGCGGTCAAAGCCACGGCCTGCAGGGAAGCACTGATGCCGAGCTATGGTAGACTATGGGTGCTGGCGCCCCCATCCAAACGATCGTGGCTTTTCGGACCGGCGTTTGGGCCGAGGGCGCGGCGCGGCGGGCTTACCGCTGAAGTGGGCTGGCGGCAGCCTTGGACCATGACCTTTGCCTTTCATCAGGAACGCAGCGGCAGATGGGGAGACAAGACTTGAATGGCGATGTCATGGTCTCTGCTCCCTTTGCGCTGCCCGTCGGGAACCGCGCCCGAAGCAAACAGGAATTGGCCAATCTTTGCAAAGGACCCTTCCACCTTTTCAATCGCAGTGTTCATACAGACACTCGATCCATCTCCCGTTATCTCAGACGCAAGACAAGCCTGATCACAGACAACAGCCCTTCAGCATCACATACTGACGAAGACGGCAAAGAGCTGGCGGTCTGCGACCCTGGGTGCCGCCAGTCCCTGTCATTATTGCCTTCGACAACTTCCAACGTAGCGACAAGACCTTGGCTCGCCCTCTGACCAGCCAGATTGCGCCGTCGGCTCGCGGTCCGCCGGCTTGGTAAGGCCGCGCGTAGCACCGCAGGGCGAGTCCAACAACAGACTGTTATCTTTTTTTTTCTCTTGGGTTCTCGACTGCTCCCACCAATCCGACAAGGCTCAGCAGGAGGAAGAGTCACCGCCGTGTCTACTCATGCGCCGAAGGCTGAATTGAACCAGGGAGTCGGCCGAGGGTTGGAATAGCTGCCAAGAACCTGGAGCTTGATCAAAGGGCTGAGTATGGCATGGCCTCGCCTGCATCCGTTCTACCTAACGTCTTCGACGGTGAAATGAGATTTACGGTGAAATGAGATATCCAATCAGATGGTCACATTGATTCGCTTGTTATACCTCTTGTTGACGCCCGAAGAAATTCCACGACTGCCGTTGCGAATTCTCGTTGGATATCCCATTTCACCGTAAATCTCATTTCACCGTCGAACACGTTATCGTGAAGGACACGAACGGCTGGCCAATAGCGAGAGAGAAATCCGGGGAAGGTGTGGCATAAGTTGGTGGCCCGTGAGCCTGGCAATCACGACATTTGGATGCCTGCAGGATGGATTTCAAACGAGTTCGATTTTGCGCAAGTGGTTGAGAGGCGACTGTCATCTGGAAATTGCTGCAACCAGCCACTGCTGCGCCTATATATCTTAGTCCAATAACGCGGCGACTCCAAGGAGGGAGGGTTGATCATTGACATGTACTTCATCATCCACGCTTTACCAGTCAAGCAATCGATTCGACGCACTAAAAGCTGTGAGCCTACTGCGTGGGCCCCGATGTTTGTTTCGTCCGACACGACACAAGGTGCAAAATATCTGAGTCCTGCCCGTCCCAAGTGTAGGCAGTTGACAGGTAACTCTCGGCTGATTCACGGTCACGAAGAGGCCTAAATCGTACGAAGCTGAGTACAGTTATGATCGCCTGTCGTTTCCGAACTGTACGGAAAGATTGAATGAGTCAGACGACAAATCTAGCTGTGTAAATCGATTACAAATGCATGTTAGATTGCGTGTCTTCACGCCCTGCTCCTGAGTGGCAAGTGCGTTGTCGTCGCTGGGATCACTGAGGTCACCCATATCCGCGGTAAGTACCGAGATTCACGCAAGCAGAAGGGGACGGATATTGGCAGTCAAGCGTCATCTTCAGGACCTAGACCCTTCGGACTCGGCGACACCTTGTGTGGGGAATAAACCTTCATTGGCTCTGTGCCTATTTTGCTGTCCTTGGTATCCGAACCACAAAACAACCCTGTTCGCCTTTTTGTGCCCCCTCTATCATTTCCTTCCCAAAGCCATTTACTGGCCGGGGCGGCGGTCACCGAAGCGGCGGGGGCGCTCCGCAACCTGCTGTTGAGCAACGGGAACAACGTTGACGGGGATGGAGTCGAACTGCGCGATATTGTTAAACGGCTGATCCGATTATAAACGTGCATCTGGATGAGACTTACGCCCATGCTCTTGAGGAGGTCCTTGGTCTCCTGGTCGACGTCGAGCTGGCCGCTCTCCGAGTTCTGGGTGAAGTCCAGAGCGGAAACCTCAGGAACGTATTGATCCTTGCGCTCACGCTCCTCTTCCTGCAGCTTGAAGGAGATGCCGCGGACAGGACCGCGCTGGATACGCTTCATCAAGTGGGTGGTGTAGCCGGCAATCTGTGGGCGCGCATGTCAGGACAGGTTTTTGAATTCGGCGGCACTAATGCGGACCTTGTTGCGGAGGCGCTTCGAGGCGATGATGGCGATTTCATCGCAAATCCTCTGTGGATAAAGGTCAGCGCTGGCACAACTCTCCACGTTCTGTACCGGCGTACCTTGTTGGTCTCGAAGTCGAGGGTGAGCTTGGGGTAGTACCGCTCAATAATGACCTTGGCGGACTTCTTGACGGTCTTGGTGCGAACGCGACCCATGGTGGCTGTCGAGCGGTGCTGATACGGAAAGAAAAGCTGGTCCGGTGCGGCTGCAGGTCGTCGTTGTCGGAGTCGAGAACACGAAGTGTAGCCCGAAAAGAGGTCGTGCTGGCTGTGCGTCGGTTAAAGTACACAAGCGAGCTTTGTGGTCACGTGTCGTCTACGAATGGATGCCCACCACCCTTCAGTGTTCCATAGTTACAAACTCGTTGAATTATTGGCCAACTTGGCACTAGGGAAATCATTTGGCGGTAAGCCGTTCTACCACCAATAGTATAGCGAGGAAGAGTGGACCATCCATGGGTTGGTTGGTGCAGAATTACTTAGCCCACGAATAAATCCCTGGTGCCAAAGTTGGCCAATTCAACGAGTTTGTACGGTACTCAACCCGACGCACAAAGTTACCGTGTCATGACCAACACTATTAGAATTGATACATGATCAGTGCTTGTTTTCAAAGGAGCCTATCAACGAGCTACGCAAACCAAACCACCCCTCCCGCATCGTGCATATCATACAGAACAACTGCTCTACTAATCTGCACCTCTCCGCGGAGCATCCACCTGGCCGCCTGCGCTACTCATACCATTCAAAATGCCGAGAATCTGCCTGCTTTGCTCCTGCACGCTGCCGTCATTCGTGTCCAGGTCTGCGGCCCTTGTATCGAGCTCTTCAATCCTGGGAGCTGGTTTCGCTTCCAACTCCTCCTTTGACTTCAGAGATCCCTGCTTGATTCGCACATCCTCCGGGATGGCAGAGTTCACGGCGAGCTTGATGTGACCGGTAGAGTCGATGTATGCGCGCTCTGGTGACACCCAGACCTTATGACCTCCGTGCTCCTCGAATCTAATGAACTGATACTCATCGGTCCTAATCGAGCCGGATTGCGAAACTCTGAGGTCCGCAACAACACCACCAACACCAGCCCTGGCCTGCGAACTCACTTTCTGGGCTGTTTGGCGACCGGACAACAGTCGAGCTTCAATTGGCTCTCTTGACTCCAGTGGGCCGAGAATGGGGTGGTTTTGCAGGAAGGCTGCGCTGCGGAGATACGAAAGACCAGCGGATGGGTGGGTAGTCGGCGGTCCCTTCATAGTGGTATTATTCCCGAACCTTTTGAGCAAATCGGCAGCAAATTTTTCTGGCGGTTGTATCGTGTCTGCGTGGACGCCCGGGAGATCGAAGAAGTCTCTGATTAAGCGGCTCAATTCTGAAGACAAGGTGGTGTCTTCACGCAGAACCTTGACCATCTTCTCGAACTCTCCGTCAGATACCTTGAACGTCCCCTGAACGGACGGACGACGCATCGGAGTAGTAGAAGCACGTTCCATTGCAACATAGGCCGCCTCCCCGAGAGCCTTCTTCGCCACGTACTCTCTTAAGTGTTTTCTGAACTCCTCCTTGCGCCGGCGAGGAACGGTCTCGAGGTAAGATTTGAACTCGCCCTCAGACATCCCTGCCAGATAAGGTCCTTTGGATTTCCATTTGCTATGGCCATTGTTCCGTGCCTCCTCGGTGAGCTGGGTGTTGTCAAAGCGTTCGTGGAAGGCGCTGATCGCCGTCTCTTGCTTGTCCGATGCAGACATGCGGGTGTCTGGGCTTAGGGTGAGGGGGATGTTCATTTCTTGCCATTTTTCCAAGGTGCGAACGTGGTCGCCGGCACTCTCGAAATCGGTGAACAAGTTGATGGTGTCGACTTCGTACACCCGCATTGTTGGCGCCGAGGAACGGGTCGTTTCGCGAAGCGGCAATGGTCGCTTCAAGCCCCAATCGCCACGATGCAGGCTCGAGGGGGGCGTCGCAATGGCTTGACGGGTTGGAAACGGCTGCGTTGCGGTTTCAGAGACACTCGTGAAGTCGGATGAGGTGCCAGGCGTAGTGCTGGCCCCAGGAATCGGCGGCGGCAGCGAGAAAAGGCGAGAGCTGCGCAGCAGTTGCGCTGCAGGGGATGAAAGCTTCCGCGACATGGTGGAATCGACCAGCTGCGAAGTGCCGCACGAGCAGCTGGTGGGAATTGCAGAAGACGCGATAGGTGATTGTCCTCCGCGGCGATGAGATCTTCGAAATGCCGCGAGACGTTTTGCCGAGCCGCCGATCTCGTTTCCCGTGCCTTAGGCACCACTGCTCCAGGCTGTTCACATCAACAGAGAAGGCAAAACATGGCATGCAATGCTTGCACAAGGTCCTACTGCGCGCATCACACCATTCGCTTGCAACCATTCGTTACTATCCCGACCAACATGCTGCAAATTACATTCACTCGTGATATATGTCTCCTCAACGTAAAGAATAGCCTCGCCCGGGCCCCTTGCGCGCCTGCTTTCGAGCCGCGAGGACATGATGAGCGTGGTCGAAGCCTCTTCCTTCCTGTCCTGTTCTTCGTCCTGCTGCCGGTACGGAGCAAGCGGTACAATTGCACTTTCAATCCCCAAAGGCCCGGGGCGTACGGATTCCCCAGGCCGGAGTGCTGATGCTTGCCGGATCGCCGGCTCGTGCCTCTAGCCTTGTCCTACGCGGTAGGAATAGCAGCTGGCGGTACCAAGGTGGCGCATCAAGTAGGCGGGCCTGCTATGAGGTGGAACGGCGGGTGCTTTGCGTCGGGTCCTGGAGCTGTATGGAATAGACCAAACGGCCACGGCTGTTCATAGTATCCAGTCTCCGTCCTCGTCTCGCTCAATGCCGTTTTTCATATTCATCCGTGGTTCGTAGCCTTCGATAGAGAGGTGCCCTGTTGAGCCTGGGGCGCTTGGTTGAGAGATGACCCTGTTCTCGTGGACGTTATCCTTTACTAAGCCTGCTGATCTTGCAGACATGCTCTGTTCGCCTCTCTCCAGGGCCAGGTCCGCCATGGCCGTATGCAGACCCTGGGCTTCGTCGGCAGACCTTGCCCAGGCAGCGGGCTGTGCGGCGCCCAACGACAGGCCAGACATGACGGAATTCAGGTCGGGAGGCGATCTTGGACCGGGCCTGTCGGCCATGAGTTCGAGCTGGGGGACAACGGCTGCCCTCCGGAGCCAAGCGGGCTCCTCGTTCAGCTGAACCTTGACGAACAAGGCACGTCGGGCGCAGTCATCGCAGCACCAGAGCTCGAACTTCTCGCGCGGCACGACCTGGAGCTGGCGGCCCTTCACTATGAACTTGTTCTTGCCGGCATTAGCATCGACTTTGGGCCGGTTCGGACAGAGCACGTAGCCGCACTTGTCGGCGCACTTGCGCTCCTCCAGCAAGGAGTCGTAGTCTGAGGGCTGGAAGTTTGCTATCAGGGCCTTGAACATGGACGCGTCATCGGGCGACGGGCTCATGGGGTCCGCGTCCGGAGAGGACGGGAAGTCGATCAGCTGCACGATGGCATCGAGGATCTGGGCCTCGACGTCCTTCTGCTGCTGGATCAGGTGGGCATGGTAGAGGGCTATCTCGCGGTTTCGCTTGTCGCGCGCGGCCTGCGGCTCTTGCTGCTCTGCTTGACTCGGCTGCCGGGGTGGCGCGCTGGCTGCAGGCGGCGGCTTCCCAGCCTGAGGCGCGCTGATCTTCTTGAGGATCGACTTGGGCAGGGCGCTGCCGTCGAATTTCGGCGGCGCCATGAGCGGGCAAGCAGGGCGAAGGTCTTGATGATCGTGATAGCTGGGGCGGAGCTGGTGCTGGTGCGCTGGCTGCTGAAACTTGGCCCCGAACGCGCCGGTGGCTCGCGCGTGGCGGCTCCGGCTTGGGCCTCATTCAGGGCCACTGCCTGCCCGGACGCCGCAGCATTGTCACCCACACCACGCCTCCTCTCTCCGTACGCCGTCCCAGACACCTGCTCCGCGCGCTGGCATGCTCTGAACACCCCGCCTCAGCAAGCCCCTTGCAAGTACGCTCCTCTCTCTCCTCCTCCGCCGCGCTCGCGGCCCAGCTTGTCCGCTGACGCAATGCCCCGCCAGCAAACCGTCTCCACACCCGCAGCCGCAGCCGCAGCCGCCGTCCCGTCACAGAGCCCGACCGCCGCGCCTGCGTCTGCGACAACACCACACCCCTCCCAAGCCTAAACGGCCTCCATTCCCCCGAACCCACCTGAGCGCTTTGCCCAGCGCCCCCGGCCGGTCCGCCGTCGCCATGGCTGCCGCCCCGTTCAAGGTCAAGGCCCTTTACGACTACAATTCCGGCCACGAGGATGACCTGGCCTTTCCTGAGGCGGCCATCATCACGGTCACGGCCGAGGAGGATGCGGACTGGTATGTTGGCGAATACAATGATCCCAATGGCACCAAAAGGGAGGGTCTCTTTCCCAAGAACTTTGTCGAGCGCTACGAGCCTGCGCCTCCTCCGCGCCCCAACCGTGCATCGCGCCCTCCCCCGCCGCCATCCGCTCCGGCTCCTCTGGAGAAGCCGTCTATGGACGACGATACCCCCGAGCAGCCTGAGCAGCCCGAGCCCGAGCATGAGCCCCTTGTAGCTCAGGCTCCAGCGCAACCTGAAGCGCCACGAGAAGAGCGTCCGGTGCCTCCGCAATCCCCCCCACCTGTGGCCGTTCCCAAGTCTCCCGAGCAGCCTGAGCTTCCTAAGATGGCGAAGCCGGCCCCTCCCCCTGCTGCACCTGTTGCAGGCAGCAAGTCGCCGCCCCCGCCTGTTGCGGAGAAGCCCCAGTCCTTCAAGGATCGTATTGCAGCCTTCAACAGGGGCTCTGCTGCACCCATTGCTCCCATAAAGCCCAGCGGTGCGCCCGCTGGCTTCATCAAGAAGCCTTTTGTCGCGCCGCCTCCGAGTCGCAATGCGTACGTACCTCCACCCCGTGAGCCGGCGCCTCAAAAGGTGTACAAACGCGAGGAGGATCCGGATATTTCTGAGCGCCAGGCACAAGATCAGGATATGGCCGAAAAGGCTGGGCTAGCTAGTTCAAGTGCTCCCGCTGAAGACGAAGAGGATGCTCCTAAGCCCCAGAGCCTGAAGGAAAGGATTGCGCTTTTGCAAAAGCAACAGATGGAACAAGCAGCGCGGCAGGCGGAAGCTTCGCACAAAGAGAAACCCAAGCGTCCGCCCAAGAAGCGTATCGAGTCGCACGAAAAGGATGTTCAGTCCGAAACAACAGAGGGCGGCGAGCCTGATGATGCCCAAGCGCAGGCGAAAAGGCGCCACTCGCACCACCCCAAGTCCCCTGAAGCCCGTCTGCAGGAGCGTGAGCCATTCAGTGATGGCAATGAGGCCGACCAGTCTGCTGCCGGCGAGACTACTGAAGATGCTGAAGGATCCTCCACGACCGTTGAGGAGGACGAGGAACAAGCTCGCGCCAAGGCTGTCCCCAGAGCGCACGCCGCGCCTACTCACGAGCCTGAGGTTGGAGATGAAGAAGATGCTACTGAAGAGGATGAGGTAGATGACGAAATGGACGAAGAGGCCAGAAGGAAGATGGAGCTTCGAGAGCGAATGGCGAAGCTGAGTGGTGGCATGGGCATGGCCGGCATGTTCGGGATGCCCATGCCTGGGATGAAGCCACCAGTCAAGAAGACTACGTCTGGCTCGGAACGCAGGTCCATCGATAGCCACCGTGATTCCGAGCAGTCGCCGCCTCCCCCAGCCCAACGTGTCCCGATGATGCCCATTCCTGGCATGGCCATGCCGCAAGTGCGCAGCCCGGAATCCGAAGACACTGAGATGGCAGTTGAGAAGGAGCATGAGCCAACGCACCCGATTACTGGAGGATATGAACCCGAAGAGATGCCAGACGTAGAGGATATGAAAGCCGATGAGCCGGTGAAGGATCAGTCACAGGAAAAGGATGCTTCTTCGTCTGTGCCGCAAGGTCAGTATCAACTTCGACGACGAGCTGTTGGCGCCACGCATCACCCTAAGAAGGCCTCAATATCATCCAAGTTTTCTAGCTCCTTGACGAAGTGGACGCCTGCAATTTCAGGCGGTACACTTGGGCACAGACTTGTATTTGAGGTCGTCAGTAGGTTGCGCTGGAACCAAATCTCTTTCCTAATTGTGATCTGAACCGTACAGACTGACTTTACTGCCCAGATCGGCCAGTTCCGCCGCCTCCAAGTGCCGAGCGGCCAGCACCCCCGCCGGTACCCGCAGAGTGTATGTAAATGTAAAATCTACGCCAGTCCTTACGCTAATGTTCGCAGCTCGTCCCGTTCCAGCTCCGCCGTCGCCCGAAAGGCCAGAGTCACGAGACTCAGAGTCCGACGATGAGCTGCCAGCTCGAGGGGCCCCGCCGCCAATTCCTCAGTCGCCTCCTCAGCACCGCGGCGATGAACCTCACTCGCCCTCAGTTACTTCTAGGCCATCAACCTCCTCAGAGAAGAGGGCAAGCCGGCCTATTCCGCCGATTCCTGGTGTTTCCAGCCCCGTCATGTCCCCAACAGCTGTTTCCAGAGTCCCACCACCACCACCACCCGCGGCTGCCCCTCCTTCGAGGGGCTCCGCCAAGGAAGCCTTCTCTCCTCATCTGGGGTCTCGGGAAGACATGGAAGGCGAAACTGAATATGAAGGCGACTACGACACGGACATCGCCTCCGGAGCAACGCATAAAGATGCTCTGAAGGCGCATGTAAGAGACCAAAGCTATGACGAGAGCACTCTGCCGGGCTCTCCGATAACGGGTCCTATTCCAGTGGGAGCGCCGCGTGCTGTTCCTCCGCCTCCCCCGCAGCAGCCACCGCCTTCCAGACAGTCCCTCGATGCTCCCAGAGGCGTTCCTCCGCCTCCGCCACGCGAGTCAATGGATGCACCTCGAACCATGCCACCACCGCTACCAAGGGAGTCCATTGATGCCCCCAGAGCCATGCCACCTCCGCCACCAAGAGAGTCCATTGATGCCCCACGAGGTGTACCGCCACCTCTCCCTCGTGAATCTCTGGATGCTCCACGGGTTGCACCACCGCCTCCTCCTTCTCAACCCATGTCTCCTGCAGACGACAATGATGAGTACGAGCCGTATCGTTTCAACGCTCAGGCAGCCCGTGCTGCCCCGCCGCCTCCCTCTGGCCTTCCACGGGCCGCAGAACCTGTGGAACTTGTATCGGAGGAGGATGACGAGGAAATTTATCAAAGTCCTCCCCCACGAAGGATGAGCAAAAGGACAAGCCAGCATCCAGCAATTCCCTCGCATCAGGAAGCAGAGGATACGTACGAGACCCCAATGTCCCCGCCGCGCAGCTCGATGCAAACTACGAGAAAGTCCCTGGACGTCGATCGGACCCTTGGTTCACGTCGGTCCATGGATCAATCTCGTCCTTCCATCGACCACGGTCATATTGCCAACGATGTCGATCTGGGCCAGGGAAGCCAGTGGTGGACACAGCCAAACATGCCGCCCCCGATTTTCCAGAACCGCAAAGATGTATTGTTCGAGATTGAAGAGTCCACCACTGCCAAGCGCGGCGGCAGGACTATTGTGCAAAAGGATGTCTATGTCTTGTTCCAAGACTACTCACAAACCGTTGTTACTGCTCGATTCGATGCGCGAGAGGCGACCAATGTGGCACTCGAACAAAGACACGAACCTCCACCTCAAAAACTGAGACAGGATCAGCTCGAGAATGCTTACGAACAGTTCGGTCGGCGTATCTCGGAAGATGCAAACGCAAAACAGCACGCGACAATTGGCGACGGCTCCCCCCAGGTCCTCATCCTTGAGCTCCTCAAGCCTTTGTCATCTGCGCTCTATCCGGTCGGTACTCGTGCTTACGGCGCGTTGGTATATGCGAACCTAGCCAATGCGTCGGTCCAACAGAACGACGAGATTCGCCCTGGAGACATAATTTCGCTTCGCAATGCCAAGTTTGAAGGTAAGCATGGCGCTATACACGCCAAATACAAGATGGAGGTCGGGAAGCCGGACCATGTGGGAGTGGTCGTGGAGTGGGATGGTACGAAGAAGAAGATCAAAGCGCTAGAGCAGGGTCGCGAAAGTAAGAAGGTCAAGGTGGAGAGCTTCCGCATGGGCGATCTCAGGAGCGGCGAAGTAAGGGTTTGGAGAGTCATGGGTAGAGACTGGGTTGGCTGGGACGTTTCTACCTAATGTGACGGCAAACATTCAAGGGGCGGGTACTACTGAGCGACGTTCTTCTGCACTTACGGTCTTGGTCAATTCAGTGAGCACCAGCCAGGTTTGTAGTAATAATCTGTCGTTAAGATGCCACCAGCCTTCGTTGGTCCTGCAGCATTTGGAATAGTCCTACTCGGGTAGTCATTCAGACATTCTGTACAATTGTGGTCTTTCCCGTTATATCGTATGTGGATGGCTTCATAGGGACGCCAAAGCGTGTCGATAGAATGCTGGCGGGTCACGATCTCGGGTCTTCTCGAAGGTGGCTGCCGCTGTGTGACTTTGAACCCCTCATTCACCTTTTCCGTCCCATGTGTCAAAGCATGCCTTAAGAGTTGCAGTGTACGCCGCGCGAAGTGGCTTCTAAGGTCCATTTCTCTTTACAGCGCTGCATTGAGATGGGAGATGAAGCGAGCACAGAGCCATTATCACGGTATTGGCAAAGCAATCGAGATGTTCCGCGACCCTTAATCAGAGTTGGGCTAGCGGTTGTCATATATTAGTCGGAGCTCGTGAGGTAACAGGGCTGGAGTCTAAGGCGATAGAGCACGATGACTACGACACGACTAATACAAGAACTAAAATCTTCCTTTAAATATCCCACCCTAAGAGAAGCCTGTGGCGGTACTTAGCTTAGTCGTTCCCCCCCATCATCTTAATTCATCCCATCTTTTTGGCTCTCAACATGGTTCTTAACCTCGCATCGACAGTTCGCGCTATAGATTGTTTCGATCTTTCTACCGCTCAAATCGCCTACTAAGAATTTTTCCCTTCCACTTCTATGGGACCGTATGTCTAGGAATGCATCGACTCCCAGGCACAACTTGCACTTTAGTAGACGACTGATCGAATTGATCTGGCAGCAACAAAACTATGGGTTCTTACACATACTCTACGGCTTCTAGCGCTTACTATGGCGGGAGCTCCCTGTTAATAAACATCATCATCCATTGCACCAACCCCGTCGGCCAACCAGGCAACTGCAACGACTATCTTGCTAGCACCAGCTTTATAAGTAGGCGTCAAATTTGCTGCCAGCTGCTATCAGTCTTGGGCAACGAGCGGAGACGCCATCTCCTCGTTCAACGGCGTCGGTTACCCACGGAATGGCAGCTCCGTCACCTTCGCCCTCCGCGATGCCCCGGCTGTAGTGCCTGCGATGCCTGCGCCATCACGCAATATTAGTAGACTATCCACGGTGTTCATATTTGACGCTCCCACTAAACTTGGCTCATCTAGCAGCTCTATAAACAATACAGGGTCCACGCCAGTCACCTTAGTGGCGCCATCGAGCACGAGTGCCATGACCACAGCTGTTGCGAGCACTGCTTCAAGGGTGGCGCCCGAGATGAGTTGCGCGGCGGCACTTCCCAACTTTGCCGTGGCAATTGGGCTATTCTCAATATTCGAAATTGCTCTATCGTTTGTGGGTTAAGATCAAGCATTGCTTGAGAGGATCTAGAGGAAACCCGATATGAGGCTCGGGAGTAAAATGACTACGATTTTCACATTCATCAACGCATTCGGAGCAGGTATGCTGATTTAACAATAATGACAATACCGGACATCCCCTTGACGACAAATATCTGTCTGCGTTTCAATAGCTACTTTGAGATAGGGGTCAAACTATCGATCTCTCAATGACTCTCGTGAGTTGCAAAACGATCCGACCAGCGCTCTGCTTACCTGGGTAGTCGGACACTATCTACCTGTTTTCGCACAAGTCCAAGGCTTATATCTAGGTCCGGAGAAGCGATTTGAATTCTTGTGCAATGAGGGCATTGGTTTTCGCAAGACACGCAAGAGTAAACCTTCTGTAGCCCAGTGTGCCGATGAAGAGGTTGTATTGCGTATGTAGTCTAGCATCACAGCAACGCAAACGGATTCATGCGGTTTTGACAATTCAACATGATATGCACGATGGAACGCTCGATTGCCCAGGACGCTGTAAACCACCTCTTTGTCAGGCTTGAATCCCAGAGTTACATACAAAGACCAACCACCCCTCGATTCAAGATTATCATCCAACTCAAGTCTACATGTTGCAGAGGCGGTAAGAATCACACCAGGAAATATGGACAGCGCTCAGAGTGTTCTAAGAGCACTTCTGATGCTCTAGTAGAAGATTCCGAGGTCGACGACCTCCTCATCAGCCGCGGCCTGGGTGTTGTCGGTCTCGTCCACGGTAGAGCTGGATCCACTCGCGCCGTTTTGGGCGATGATGAGCTCCCCGCCAGCGGTGACGTCGGCCTCGCCCTCGGTGAGGTATCCGGAAACAGCCAGAGACTTGACGCGTGCCTTGAGGGTGGCCGGGTCATTGAGGCTGGGGTCGGCGGCAAGGAGGTAGGCGAGCAGACCGCTGATGTGGGGGGTGGCCATGCTCGTACCGCTGGCGACGGCGTAGGCGGTGTCGCTGTTGTAGTAAGACGAGTAGGTAGTAACGCCCGGAGCATAGACGTCAACGGTGGGGCCGGAGTTCGAGAAGTAAGCAACCTCGTCGAGGATGTTAGAGGCGCCAACGGAGATGATGTTGCTGACATCGCCTCCGAGAGAACCAGGAGTGTAGTTCGAGGCATCTTCGCCATTGTTGCCAGCCGCAACCGCAATGTGAACGCCGGAGTCGGACAGGGCAACAAGAGCGCTCTCGACTGCAGTAGAGCGACCTTCGAAGCCAAGAGACAGTGATGCGACGGAGGCAACGAAATCACTCTCGCCCGAGCGAGATTCGTGCTGGGAAGCGACGTAGTCCAAACCGCTGATCAGACCGGAGGAAGTTCCACTACCGGTCGAGTCGAGCACCTTGACACCAATAAGGTTGGCATTGCTAGCAATACCAACAGTGTTACCCGCAGAGGTTCCGGAAACATGAGTACCTTCTCAAAGTCAGTACGACAGATGGCAGACTTGCAGAAGGGTGCTTAACTCACCATGTCCGTTGTCGTCAGTGTTGGACGAAAAGGCACTCCAGCCAGCGGTGGCACGGCTGCCGAATTGAGTATGGGTGGTACGAATGCCGGTATCAACCTTGACTAGTCAGTTTCGTTGGGTGCTTGGTGGGACGGGATTTGGCGTACGATGTAAATGTCAACGCCGGAGCCGAGAGTGGTATCCGAGTAGGTGTACGTATACGAGGTAGAAGAGGGGCTGGCTGTGTTCTCGATACTCTCGGTTTGAGAGATCCGCTGCAGACCCCAAGGAGCACTGGAACGAGTGGCCTTGATGGTGGCCTGCAGAGCCGAGTCCACAATGGAGACTTCAGCAATGCCGCCGAGTTTCTCGGCCTGTTCGGCGGAGAAAGAGCCAGAAAAACCCTGGGCATAAGTCAGCCGGATGAACCATAGCATAGAATGTTGTGGTGCGAACTTTGAAAAAGCTGTTGTTGTAGGTGCTCGTCACGGCCTCGTCCTCGACCGTCAAGTCGAGCTGGGACAGAACAGCGGCGACATCAGCAGACTTGGAGAGAATGATGTCGTAGGTAGCGGTGTCTCGTCTGAGCGAGGCTGGGGCAGCATAGACGCCCAGCGATGCGGCCAAGGTAAGAAGAGCGGAGGACTTCATATTGACAAGTAGTGGTGGCTTTCAAAGTTGGGCTCTGGCTAGGCTTAGGAGACGATGGGGATGCCGGCGGTGCAGGTTGAGCTTTCAGGCTGTCAGGAGCATCTTATATAGGCGCAAAGACGGTACCATGGATGCCGCAAGGTCTGCGGTATCCAGCGTCATCCACATATCGGGTCATTCGCCGAGGGCACAGGAACAAGCGAGAGGTGAGTGGATATGCTCGCCAAAGCAGGAGCGCGCATGATTGCTGCATACAGTAGTGGGTGCCTGTAGGTCGAGGGTGTACAGCAAGTCTAAGGCACCCTGCAGGCGACTGCGAGCCTTGCCGGATCGGGGGTGCTTGACGGCTCCAACATCGGATGGCAGCAGGCGTGTATAGGCACAAAGCGACTTCTTCCCCTCCCTCCCGCGGCCGGAACTCCTTTCAGGCATGTCTTGCTGCGTGCATCCATGTCCTTATCGCCGGCCGTCTTTCCGGGCGATGGCGGCGACGGGAGTGCGTGGGCCTGGGCGTGATCTCGCGGCTGGAAGCTTGGCAACCGTCCTGACACTGATTGGGCGCGAGGAGGTCAGCCGGGCGGGCCAAGCAAAGTCGCTGTGGAGCGGTACTGTAGCAGGGTGCATGAGAGCCGGGGCGTGGCCGGAGGGCTGGTCTCGGCAGAGGACCGCCCGCGCCAAGTCCCCGAGCGACAACGTGCGCGGAGGCCGAAAGGGCAGGTCGTAAGGTGGTGTTGTATTAAGCTCATGAGAGCGGCGTCGCCATCAACGGCGGGCGTTGCGGCACCGGCGCTGGATGCAGATTCACGGCGGCTGGATTGGTGGAGCTCGGTATATTGGTGGACACGCGGCCACGGGCGCGAGTCAGCCGCTGACGGTGTTTCCTGGGGCAGCGCGCAAGGATGGTGATAAGCAACACCAAGCCAGCTCTTTCCCCCGCTTGTCACGCGAGGCTTGGTCACTAACCACCGCCCGTCAGGCGCCGCAGCCGTGTGCGATCGTGCAATAGCGCGCCGCTCTGGTGCAACAGGACTGCCGCCGACTTCTAGCGGCTTTTCTGCATGCGTGCCGAGAAGAGGAGATGTCGGGCAGGCCAGCGGGGATTGCCCACACCACGCCGTCATGTACAGGTGCCCGTTGGGGCGCGCCGAATGCTGGCCTCTCCGGATTTTCCGATCAACCAGGGCTCCGGCAGGCAACGCGCCTGTGTCTGGCGGGCAGAGAGCGATGCTGCGACGCAATACCAGCTGGATTAACGCCAAGGATGCCCCTCTGGCAGACCTGGTGGGCCCGGAATCTGCAGGCCGCTATCAATAGGATTGCATGCCCTGTTGGCGGGCATCAGTAGGCATGGCTTCGCAAAATCGAGGGCAAAGACCGCTGTTCCCTGTTCTCTTAATATACATAAGCAGCGGTCAGGCCTTGACGCCTTATCGACTAGATATGACCATTGTAGATGTCCTGGGCGCCAAGGAGGGCGGGGATTTGTTGCGCTGTCTGTTGTGCTACGCCAAGGCAGGGGAGCGATAACGCCACAGGCACCGACTGCGTTTGTGCAAGTCAGTCGGTTCGAACTTCTGCATCACTTGCCGGCCTGTGGCTCGCGTAGAAGAACTGGATCAAAGACTGGGTCAATGGCGAAAATACGAACGCGGAAGAGGAAGCTGACAAGTATGCCGACGTAGATGCAGGTCCCATCATGAGCAGAGGCGAGCCTCGTCCAGAGATGGGCAGATGGAGCAGAAAGGGCATCGGGACCGACAGAACAGATTATGCGAGGAGGGGCCGAAACGCGGGAGCGATGAGGGTGGAACGGAACAGATGAGTCGATCTGACGTCGGGATTGCACAGAGCCTCAAGCGAAATACTGTGTAATAATAAGTAGTGGCCGCATGGAATGGCCCGCTAAGTAGGTAAAGCCGCCGACAGCCGACGGCCGACTGCCGACTGCCGACTGTGCGGCGCGCGTTCCGCCACAGCTTCCCCGCGCCCGTCGTCATCCCCCACGCCGACATGTGATCGTGACCCTTTCTGCTGGTTTGCTTCACCTTTGTTTCTCTTGCCGCTTACATCTCTTCGACCAAGCATGCCGTCCAACATGTCGTCCACAGCCCGGCTCGTCAACTCTGCCGCCAGAGCCCGCCCTCTCGCCCAACAGCCGACCCCGCAGGCCCGCCGCCTGTTCAGCTCCAGTCGCATTCGATCCAGGGAGGTTCGCGACGCCTACATCCTCAGCGGCTCGCGCACTCCCACCGGTGTGGTAACAACGCCTCCGTCCTGCTCTCGTCTGCCTGCGCTCATCGCACCAGTTCAATGGCGCCTTCACTACCGTCCCCGCGCCCCGGCTGGGCGCCGTCGCCATCGAGTCCGCCCTCGCCAAGTCGACCGTGCCGGTTGACAAGATCAAGTCCGTCTACATGGGCCATGTGCTGCAGGGCGCCGCCGGCCAGGCCCCCGCCCGTCAGGCCAGCATCTTCGCCAGCCTGCCGCCATCCGTCGAAGCCACCACTATCAACAAGGTGTGCGCCTCGGGCCTGAAGGCTGTGACCATTGCCGCCCAGGACATCCAGCTGGGTGACGCCGAGGCCATTGTCGCCGGCGGCATGGAGAACATGTCCCGTGTACCCTACTATCTGGCCCGCGCCAGTCAACAGCCACCTTTCGGCGAGCAGAAACTGCAGGACGGCCTCATCACTGACGGTCTGTGGGATGTCTACAACCAGATCCACATGGGCAACTGCGCCGAGAACACTGCCAAGAAATACCAGATCTCGCGTGAGGAGCAGGACGACTTCGCCATTCTGTCCTACAAGCGTGCCCAAGAGGCGTGGGCTGCCGGCCTGTTCAAAGACGAGGTTGTGCCTGTGACAGTACAATCCAGGAAAGGCGACACGGTGGTTGAGGAGGACGAGGGGTACAACCGCCTGAAGCTTGACAAGGTCAAAACGCTGAAGCCCGCCTTCGTCCGCGATGGCACAGGCTCCATCACTGCCGCCAACAGTTCGTCCTTCAACGACGGTGCCAGCGCCCTCGTTCTGGGCAGTAGAGATGTTGCCAAGGCCCATGGCTCCGATTCGCGAGTTTTGGCTCGTATTGTCTCTTATGCGGATGCTGCTCTTGACCCTATCGATTTTCCCATCGCTCCGGCCAAGGTTGTTCCCATTGTCCTAGAAAAGGCCGGTCTATCCAAATCCGACATTTCCATCTGGGAATTTAACGAGGCGTTCGCCGCTGTCATCAGGGCCAACGCTAAAATTCTGGGCCTCGGATCCGACAATGTGAACCCCAGAGGCGGCGCCATTGCGTTGGGACATGCATTGGGGAGCTCTGGAAGCAGAATTTTGGTGACCCTGTTGCATCAACTGGAAATTGGACAGTATGGATGCGCGGCAATCTGCAACGGCGGCGGTGCTGCTAGCGGAATCATAGTGCAGAGAATAGGTCATGGTGATCTGTGAGTTTTACGCGGTGTAGCGATATTTGGAAATGCCAACATATTGGCTTGTATGTACATACATGAGGGGAATTCCCCGGACGATTGAATTCCCACTTATGGACCTTAGGCGAACTGCCACAAAAGAACCGTTCGGCAGCATGACGGTTGAAATGTGCTCGTATGAACTTCTTACAAAATCAAGACGACGTGATATTTCAAATCATGAGTGTTACGAGGAAGCTGCACTGTAGTGTTGGGCTGAAATCAGCAGCCCTGGCCACTGGTGGCACCGTGGGTTACCAGAAAGAACGAAAAAGGCAACCATATCCGAACTATCAAGAGTGATATCGCACACGTACGTAGGTAATCGAAATCTACGTGAGGTTGCTCTACAGCTTTTCTATGTGCACTTCGATAGTTGCTTCAAATACCTGCGCAAGGAGGATATGATCTTCTGTGATGCACCAAAGTTGCAATTCGAGACTTGATAGCCAGATGATGATGCTTTGTATGTCCGTTACTCGTGCTATTTTTTTTTTTAATGCCAGCGGCATGTCGTCTATACATGTCATGTACCCCGTCTATCGCCGTTGGGAAGCAGGTTGCAGGGCTGCCTACACGGATGTCGAGACCATCCTGATTCTACCCTCTAGTCTAGGTGCGATGGCCTATACATTGCAATTAGTTCACGTATGATGTGTTTCAATGGTCGCATCAGTCGACTCACCTTGGTCCAATTGATGGTGAACTCTCCCTCCCCGAGAGGATCGCCACAGCGTGGCTGACCTTCCAGTCCAGCCAAGCGCCACCATTTACGCATGACCTTTCTCATGATCACACTCTTCCTCTCCAGCTCCTCCACCGCGGCATTAGCACGCTTGGGCTCCGCTTCATCCTCCGAGTCTGTATCAGACTCGTTAAGTGGCGTCTCCGCACCTTCTGGACGGTGCCCATGCGGCGTGAGTCTGCCACTCCGGTTGTTCTGAACGACCTCCAGTGCGCTGGCAACCTTTCCCTTTGGCTCGACATGCGGTTGGACATTCTGCAGGTTGTTCTGCACCCTTTCCCAGTGCCTTCCCATGCTGGGACCCCACTGCTTCCACTTGCCAAGGACTTTCAAAGACATGAAGTACTGGCGCAACATCATCGAGATGAGAATGCCGTTCTCCTCCGAAACTATCTCCTTCGCTGACCCACCCTCGTCCTCGATCCTGAGTGCCTGTCAGTATGTATCATGCAATCAATCCCAGTGGAGATGACTTACAGCAGAGAGTCGTAACCGTCGCGGCCACGGGCCATGTATCCACGGGTCACCATGACGTACTCCTTCTCCAAGTCGACCGGATCGCCTCCGATCTTGGTCCAGTTAACGCGGGAACCTTCGGGCTGTTGAGGGTCGAATTCGAACTCAATATTCGATACCTGCGGAAAACGGCCCTCGAGCGCAGGGTACTTGGACACGGCATTCTCGAGAGCTTCGACGACCGCCTTGCCAGTGACCTTGATCACAACAATAGGATCCTCGAATGGGAAACAGTTCATGATGTCCTTTACTCTGAGTAGGCCCGGGGGATAGATCTGGTCTCCCCTGATGGTACCGGACGCCATCAAGGCGCAATCTCCATTGTAGGTGAAACGCATAAGATCGCAGACAAAGTTCCCCATATTCGACTCTTTGGTGCGGACGGTGGTGAAGCGCGCATCCAATGGGGAAACAGTGTAGCCGATAGGCTTGTCAAGCTTCGCCTTGAGCTTGGCAGTGAGGCTTTGAATGAGCTTTACGGATTCAGGGTCCTGGGGGATCTGGGAGACGACATCACGACGAATGATATTGAAGTCCCACTTGTTGCTTCCATCTTGCTTCCTCCAAGCTTCAATGTAGCTTAACTGCTTGAAATCACTACCGGAGCGGAGGACGTGGCAGCCGTTGATCAGGCTGTGGTTCTATAGGTGCACAGTCAGCGTCCCGTGCCAAGGGAAAGAGACTATACGGAGATCGTCACGGCCAGTGAGGACTGGACGCAGAAAAACACAAGAGCTGCAAGGAGAGCGTGTGCCGGAAGGGCGCCGCGGCAGAGTCAAAACGGGGCACTCACATAATAGTGGTCATGGCCACCCAGCACGATATCAACCAATCCCTCCGGAAGCTTCTCGGCAAGTTTGTTGTCATTCGGCTCGCGTTGGTGGGAAATGACAATGACAATCTCAGCACCCTGCTCGCGCAAGCTTGGCACCAGCTCCTTGGCCGTCTCCGAGGCCGACTTGTATATGATGTCTGGGGGCAGCGAGTTGATGGTGTCCAGCCACTCACGCTCGGCCAAGCCAATTATGCCAATCTTGATGCCGTTAGAAGAGGTCATCATGGTCGTCTTCGGGGCGTTTCCCAGCGATTCGTTCTCGCCGAGAGCCGGGTCGAGCACATTTGCCAGGAGCCATGGGAAATTGCACTGGCCAGTGAGATGGCGGTACTGGCGCACGCCAAAGTCGAGGTCGTGGTTCTGGCAGCAGGGATATGGCGTCAGCTTGTGTGTTTGAAATATGGAGACGCAACTGGCAGCACTCACGCCAACGCACGCACAGTCGGTGCCTATGCCATTGAGCACTGGGACCATATGGCTGCCTGGTCTCGGTCAGCGGAGGGCTTCCGGGCACGGGATGAAGCTGGAATGGACCTTTGGTGACGCTGCTCTCCAGGCTGGGGTTGAAGGCATCGCCGGAGAAGAAGGTCAGCAGCTCTGACTGGCCGGCGAAGCTGGGGTCGCTGCGATAGTGGTTGCAGAGGGTCTTGAAGCGGGCGTATCCTCCGACAGGCTCGGCGCTAGAGGGCTCGACGTGGTAGACATCGTTGTAGTGGAGGATGCGGAGGTCGGGTGGAGCGTCGTGGGGACCGCTAGAGTAGGTGACGACGTCGTCGATGGTGGGGTTGTCAACGGACATGGTGGTGCAATCGAGAAGGGCGGAGGGAGCGGGCAGGCAGAGAAAGAAGAACAGGAGAGCGAGCGGCCGGCCAGCAGACAAAGGAGAGCTGCGACATGCAGGGCTCACCGCAGCTGCAGGTGTAGGGTACGAGGCGCACACGGGCTTGGCCGGACGCTGCAGCCCACCGACAGGGGCGCGGCGGAATCAGATGCGGTGTGATTGGCGGGCGGGCGGCCAGCATCGGGCGGAGCAGCAGGGCGGCCATGGCCCACGACCCGGGGTGGTTGTTCCATAGGAGGGGCGCGCGGTGATGGGAGCGGGCGAGACGGAGGGGCCACGAGAGCGATCGGCCTGCAGCCACTCACAGCTGCGCCATTTGAGCTGTCCCACCCCATGCGCCTATTCACGCGTGATCGGCCGGCCAAAAGGGCGCTCTGCTATTAAGCATCCATTGACGGGTACCAACGGTATTGTGAAACTTAAAAAAGATGCTCTAAATTCAGCGCTGCTACTACTGCCATGTGCCAAGACAAATCGACTCCGGAAAGCGTAGAAGTATTTATTAATCCCCCCTGTTTTAAGCTACCCCCTACCGTACGGCCAAGTCCCTGGTCAAAGCGTCGATTACCTAGGTACGCTTGCACGGTTATTTACTCGTAATAATCTGTACGTCCGCGGGGAACAGGGACAGGACAGAACCCGCCCCGCCCGATCCCCAGGCACCGCGCACCGCGCACCTCCGCTCCACGCACTGACGCGCCCACACACGCCCACACACGCCCACACGTTCTGATGTTCATTGCATTATTCTCGTACGCCTCTATCCGTAGCCCGTCTCCAAACGCCGCTCCGCTACCGCGCGACTCAGATACACAAGACCCGTTCACGGCCCGCTGTCCGACACAATGCCCGGGAACCCGTTCCACGTCTGCCTGCGATTGGGCTCGCTGTCGACGCTCAGCGAACTCAGCGCCTCCAGCCCTTGCAGGCCCTCCATGTCGAAGATGCCTTCGGTCGTCGCCGTCGAGATGCCCGTTGTCGCCGTCGCCGGCCCGCCGAGCATCATGTTTGCATGGCACAGGTTGAGCAGCCCGCCCATCGAGTCCGAGCACGTCGGAGCCGCATAGTCGGCCGTCCAGTCGTCGGCAGCAAACGGATAGCTGGCCACGTCTCCCAGCATGCCCAAGTCCTCGAGCGTGTCGCGTGCGTCGAAGTCCTGGCCCACGCCCACCAGCCCGTGGGCCTTCTTGAACAGCTCCAGCCACTCGGCGTTGTCTGCTGCCGTCTGCTCCCATCCGTCGTCGGCGTCGTACAGGATCCGCCGTGCCTCGCGCTGCAGCATCGCGTCCGTCGGGCACATGCCCTGCGACAGCTGCTGCTTGGCGTACCTGCCCAGCCGCACCGTCAGGATCTCCCAGCACGTTGCGTTGATTGTGCCTTGCTCAACCCGCATGCCGTGCTCCTGCGGGGTGCTGAGGCTCGAGTCCGACGTTGCGTTGCCCCGTAGGCCCGGCACCGGCGGTCCATCCCTGTCTGCGTGGAAGAAGCCGCCCACGGCTGCTTGGTCCCACCGGTTCGGCGGAGCCATTGTCGGGTGGTGGGTCGTGTGCCACGCCAGAGACGCTGGTTGCGACGCCGAGAACGGGTTGGGGCTCTTGGCCTCGTTCGCGATGAGGTACGGCGGCATCGCGTTGGTGATGAGCAGCGCAACCTGAGGATCGAAACCCCGACACCCCTTCCAGTCTTTCATCTGCGCCCCGTTGCGGAACTCTTTGGCCAAGTGGTCCGCCCGGTCCTGCCTGTGCCTGTGCGTTAGCATGGCGAATGTCCGGCCGCCCCATGGGTCAACGTACCAAGTCTCGAAAGTCATCCGACAGAAGCCGCAGCGGCTCTTGATGTACTGCGTCTCGCTCTTCCAGCTCTCCATCGTCTCTGTCATCTTGCAGTTGTGCATCAGCCGCATGTGCTGTCTCAAATGGTCCTTCCGGTAGAAGGTCCGTTGCTCCGGGCTCCGTTCCTCGCACGCCGACCAATTGTGTGTTTCGAGATGCTCCTTGCTGGGCTCGATGTCGTCACAGAACACGCACTTTTTCTGGCCTGAGGCTGAGCAAGTGATGACCGGCCCCAGCGGAGCGCATATCCACTTCTCCAGACTCAAATGAAGCGATTTCTCGTGCCTGGCCCAGTCATACTTGCTCTTGAACGCGTCAGTACAGAAGGTACACTGGAACAGCTTTGTCTTTTTGTCCTTCTCTGACGCTTGCTTTTTGATGTCGGGCCGGCGCCGGCGACGCCTCTCCTTGCGAACCCCGTTCACTGACCCAAAGGACCCGAACGAGCCAAACGAATTGCCCGAGTTGCGCGAGTTGCGCGACGTATACGACCACACGGACCCGAGCGACTCGGCCTGGCTAGATAAGCCTGAGTTGACGGATGCGATTTCCATGCTGTTCGTCGACGGAGCCCTGCGCGAAAGGTGGCCGGAGCTGCCAGTCGACGCATGGCGGCTGGTGTGCCCGCTGCGCGAGCGCTCTTCGTCTGGCGGAGGTGTCGTCGTCCGCACGGCCTTCTGGATGGCCGTCCATGGCGCAGGTTCGTTGTCCGGTGGAGATTCCAGGTATCGCTCCATGGGGTTCTTCTCAGACCACGACTTCTCCAAGGCGATGTCCATGGCCTCGCTTGAATGCATGCTTGGGGATGCTGGTCTCTTGGGCTTGTGCTTCTTGCGCCTGCGTGCGTTGGCAAGCCAGTTGTTGACTTGGCTCTCGGTCAGACCGGTCCGTTGCCGCAAGTCAGCCTTTTCGTCTTCGGTGGGGTAAGGGTGGTCGCTGTGGCTGACGATCCAGTCGGTGAGGATCTTGATTGAGGCCCGCGAGAACCTGATGCCACCCTTCCGAGCGGCACGGTCCTCGTCGGTCTTGATGCCGACCATGGTCTTGGTGCTGGTGAGGGCACCGAACTCCTGGCACACGTCTTCGGACACTTGGTGTAGCGTGTCGATCATGTTACGAGGCTTGCGCTGCTGGGCCGGAATGTCGAAGCTGCACGTTCTGAACAGCGCATTGCAGGGGGAGCACCCGGTCTGGCCTTCGAAAGTCAGGAAGCAGTCGAGGTGTCGCAGGCGGCAGTAGTCGCAAGAATTCTCGGGTTTGTGGTATCGGGAGATGAAGTTGGAAAAGTTCATCGTCCAGTCATTGTTCAGGTCGTTGGTGGCCAAGTAGTCCGTTGGCTGTTGGACCAGTGGTTCGGAGACGTCAACCACCTGACTGGTTGATCTGCCATTGCAGGGACAGCTATCGAACAGTCAGCGATGGGTATATAGGAGCAAACGACGGGGGGTCGGCTGCATCGTCTGGCAAACGCAGTCGCACCAGCCGCACAGGACTGAAGCATCCGGCGGACTTGGGGCGACAACAGGGTGTTTGCAACGGGGGCCCCGTGCAAATGCGTCGGTAGAGATGGATGGGCTGTGCACCCAAACCCCTGTCACTTGGAGGAGGCCAGGATGTCAAGCATGCAGAGGGAATATCTCGGCTCGATTAGAAGTGTCAAGTCATTTTGAGCTTCAGCAATTCGGAAGAGGGCCGAACCAGCCATGGGTCCAACCTCTTGGCACGCAGAAAATGAAAAAAAAAGCGGCATGTCGCGTGCGGACTTACCCATCGTCGTGGGGATGCAAGAGACAGGTGCCGACGAAAGGCGCGGTCGGTTGCGGGTCCAGATTGGTGTGGTCATTGCTGGTGGGAAGATCGGGCATGGCCGCCTCCCCAAAATCGAACAAATCGTCCATGGACTGCGCCCTATTGTCAAAAACCATGACAGGAAGAGGATGCTGAGGTTTGGGGTTGCGGGGAGGTGCGCCCTTTGTTTGGTTCTAGGCCCCACTTCGGCTATCATGTCTGTCGCGCTAGACATGTCGTACGTAGGGCGTGCTGACGGCCTTATTCCCGGCTGTACAGCGCCTATATGTACGTACCGTGCTTACATTATTGTGCCATCAGGATTCCTGCCTCGCAGGCCGGGCTCACGTCCCACCTGCGTCAGCGGAGTGTCCTGCCACCTTAAAACATCTTGAAAGGGAGCAGGGGAGCAGAGGGGCGCGATCCACGACATGGTCAACAAGCCCGCCAATCAGACAGCAGACTCGCGGTCCGGGGCCCAGCCTTACGCACCGCGGACCACATTGATTCCAGCTTTGCTTCTTGCACATGGCAAGGTGTTCGCTGCGATGCCGTTCCTTTCTTTTATGCATACGGACGGCTTGGCGGTTTGGCGTCGCCGCCTGTGCAGGAGCTGGGCTGATGAGGGTGTCAAGACTGTTATTTATCGTCGAGAGCTTACGGAACGCCTTGAGTATTTGAGCATGAATTTTCCTTCTTGGTTTCGCCCTTTGTTCCTTTCGTTTTTGTGCTCTTCTCGGGAACTGCTATAATTGGTCTATATGAAAGCCAGAATTTAGCGGCTGATGATAAAGCCACACACTTTGGGTTCGATAATGGGAGTAGAGCGTTGGCTGTCTCGACCCTGTTAGAACATTTTACAAATCGCCTCGTGTTCTGTTCTGCACCAGCCACATTGATCACGGCATCTAGGCAAACTAATGGCTAACGAACGAGAAGCTGCAGCATCTTGCACACCAAAGAGGACATGATTATTTTCTCCTACGTAAGTCCCACTCCCCTGGCCCGTGCCACGCGCTAGCATTGCTCCGTCCAGATAGCGCTTGGGGAAAATGCAGGGTTACCGCGTGCCGAAAGTACAGGATATAGGTACATGAACGTGAGTGTATGCCGCAAGATGTTGACGACAGGCTGGGCGGGTGCGTCGACTCCGCATGCGTGTTGCATCCATGTACCCTTAGCATCGCTCTGTGAGGGTGTTGGCTTGCTGATCGGCTTGCCCCTTCGCACAGCCGTCAGCGACTTCCCCGCACTTTGCTGTAAAGATCCGCGGCTTGCCGTCAGCCTGATGCTTTGATTTCATTGGACTGCCCCTTCCCTCGGTGCAGCAGCTTAGATTTGAGCGAGCTATATATTGTCGCTGTACTTGCTCACCTGATGCCTAACCATTGTCTTCGAGACAAGACTACAACTTTCATGTCTCCACCGTCTGCCATCCACAACGGCGCCGAGAACAAGCCCACCTTCACCACGCACGAGCCTGGGTTGAGTGCGGCAAAGGCCAGTCACAAGCTGAACGGCCTTGCATTTCCCAAGCCACCCACCTTTGAGGACAGCCATTCTGAGCGCAAATATCTCAAGGAAAGGCTTGCCGCAGCCTTCAGGATTTTTGGCAAGTACGGCTTCGACGAAGGTGTCGCGGGACACATAACCGTGCGGGTGCGTATAGTCTGACCGTCTGTCAATCGAGCACTATCTGACTCCGCCCTAACCTTTGCTCTGCGATAGGACCCAGTCGACCCGCAAACCTTCTGGGTCAACCCATTTGGAGTCGCCTTCTCGCTCATCAAGGCATCTGACCTTATCCAAGTGGACGAGAGCGGCCAGATTATCGATGGCGGCCCGGTCAGGCTCCTCAATACAGCAGCCTTCATGATTCACAGCGCGATCCACCAAGCTCGGCCAGACGTGAACGCCGCTGCTCACAGTCACAGCATCTACGGCCGAAGTTTCTGTGCCCTTGGCAAGCCGCTGGATATCATCACTCAGGATTCCTGCGCCTTCTATCAGGACCACGTCGTTTACGAGTCATTCAACGGCATCGTCCTCGCCGAAGAGGAGGGTAGGAACATTGCTTCATGCCTGGGCAACAAGAAAGCGGCACTGCTTCAAAACCATGGGCTACTGACTGTGGGTCAGACTGTAGAGGAGGCTGTCTTCTGGTAAGCAAAACGCAAGCCCCATACCCTACATATCCTGATCGGCTCCAGGTTTGTGAGTATGGAGAAATGCTGCAAGGCGCAGCTCCTTGCCGATGCTGCTGCCGCGGGTCGGGGAGGCCAGACGATCAAGATCAACGAGGAAGACGCTGCATACACGGCCAAGACGGTGGGGACACCGATGGCAGGATGGTTTAGCGCGAAGCCGCTCTTCGACGTTATCCACAACGAGACGGGAGGGGACTACCTCGGGTGATGACAAGGCTGTGGATGAAGCGTGTCTAAGACTGAAAGTCAGCAGCGAGATGGAAAGCTGCTGCTTCCTAACGATCGTCAACACTTGTCCTTTTTGCTAGGAAGTCGGGAGGCGTCAAAGGAATCCAGCTCTATGGCATTCCTTGTCAATCTTTCATATAACAAGGAAAATGGAGTCGAACGAATGCCCGGCGTGTCAAGTTCTAGCCTTCCCTCAATCACTGCTGGATTACTCTACATCATAAACGCATGTGGACGCCAGCAACATTTTCCGAGGTTCCTTGGATCTGACATCTCTCCTGTCGTTCTTCGTCGTGCACAATTAGGGATACATAACATAATTCATGAGAGGGCTGTCGTTATCATTGCGTAGCAGCGCAACGGGCCACGCTCCCCTAACATCGGTAACACGGGACATCGAAGATCAACGCCATGAGCCGTTCCGTCACCGGAAGTAAGTGCGGTCGTCATGTAGAGAAGGGTATTGTGGTGGCCGAATAATCGGCGGAGTAGGCGCCACCGGAGGGCCCCGCTGCCTTCCCATACCCGCCATGTAACCACCTGGCTCTTTTCGGCGCGCACCCGGCCACTCAAGGGGCGTCATTGGTGCGGGCGGGGCCTCAACTCCGCTCCGGCCCTTTTTCGTGCCCTTTTCGCGTCTCCCGCCCTCGAAGCCTTGGTCGGCATAGCCTGCTTGGGCGAATGGGGGGCGGGCGACAGCTGGGTCTCTCTCGCTGGGCAGATGTAGATCGACAAGACCGTAAAAGTAATCGAGGATTTCGGGATAGCGCAGCACCGAGGCACGCCAGTCAGCATCAACACCGCGTTTCAACTCAGCATGAGCTTCGGCGATCTGGGCCTGCAGCTGATGGAGGGCGGTTGGATGCAGCGGTGGCTGGCCTCCGTATTGAACATATATGGAGTAGAAGGGCAAGGACGACAGATAGGCGGTATGGGCGACCCTTCGGGCGGAACTCAGGCGCTCGAACAGTTGGAGAATGTGGGCTCGGGCATGTGTGATGACCCAATCTCTGCTCGAGTTAGCAGGCTCCAGTGGACGAGCAGCGGCACAGCGGACCTGATCTCGTGGAGACGCGCATCCATGGCACGCGACTCGGCCTGCTTGACGGCGAGCTCGAGGCGCTCAGCCTCGCAAGGGCATTCCTGGCCGCGAGGAGCCGGGCTGCCGCAGATGGCGCAGCTGGGCGTGGCGTCTGAGTCCATGGACGAAGGCCGGCGGGCGTGGAGCAGCGGTCAAGAGCGCGCAGGCGATGGGTGAAGGAGGGCGAGCGGCATGATCGATGGGCGTGACGCCAGGGCGGGGACGGAGGAAGGCGCGGCGGCAGAGCGACGAGGCGGGCTGATTGATTCGTGAGCAGACGATGTGTTGTTCAAGCAGCTGCTGATGCGTGATCGCCCGCCGCGCGCCGCCCCGCGACAGCGCACGCCCGCGCCATCGTGCGGCTCGTCGGTGCAGCTTTAACTCAACCCTCGCCCACCGGAGCCATTGGCCGGGCACCATGCGCTCTGCCTCGGCCACGATGTCTATCTGGGTGGCCATCGGCTCAAGGACATGGCTTTCATTGAGCTCGTTTGTTCTGTGCGACATTCGGCAGCTGCAGGCTTCGTCATGATGGTCGAATGCGACGACGGCTTGAGAAGTAAATTCTTACGCATCCGGCCCCTGGGCTACAATATGCATTCACCTAGGTATGTTGGTCGGCAGCTCAGACGGCCAGGACCCGGAAACCGTCTCCGCAACAAAGGTTGATTGTACGGCGACTGTAGAGCCGGCAATCGAAGGCAAGAACAGTGCGAACGGGCATTGGGCGAGCCACCAGAGGGAGAGGGGTGCATGAGTGAGTGGGGCCAGGCAGTGCTCCTGGCGGGAGGTGGACTGCGGCGGGCACAGCGGCGGGCACAGCGGCGGCGGGCGACGACATTGCTCGCGCCAAGGGCAGCGCACAGTCGAGCGCACCATGGCGAGCAGGCGGCCGCAGGCCCATCGCAGTTTCGCAGTAGTGTCGGCGCGTCAAGTAAACAGCAGGTGGCTGCCTCCGGGCTTGGTGGCTGCTGCGCCTTGTTGGCCCCAGGCCCCAGACCCCAGACCCTGGAGCTTAGGTAAAGGCCAACCTCTTGCGTCACGGCCTCCTAGCCCAGAAATGTCCCAGAAAATATCTCTCATCCCCTCCAATTCTCCACTCCCCTCCCCACCACCGCTCCGCGTCACTCCTCCCCCGCCCCGGACGCCTGCATAGCCATTGCGCGCCCAGCTGCAAGCCCTCCGCGAGCAGTGTGCCTTCCGCCTGCCAACCTCCAATGCCACCGCACGGCCCGCTGAAGCCAAGCTGATTCCCACCGCGACTTCCGTCCGAGCAGACCCCCCAGCTTCCAGCATCATGCCTCGCGCTCCCGCCGTGGTCATCGTTGCAAGGCACGTCCCGTCATCCTGTTGTTCGTGACGCGCCCGGCTAATCCGCCTCAGGCACGGTGCCCGTCTCGATGCCTCCGACAAGACATGGCACCTTACCTCGCCCACGCCTTACGACCCTCCCCTCACCTATGGCGGCTGGACCCAGTCGCGCGCACTCGGCACCCGCATCGCCAGCCTGCTGCAAGCCCGCGAAGATGGCAGCATTGCGTCCCCCGCCTCCCACAGCCGGAGCAACAGCCTGGACGCTGGCCTCGGGCAGCGTGCTTCTCCCAGCCCAGACCACTGCCGGAAGCGGAAGCACAAGGTCGTCGTCCACAGCTCGCCCTTTCTCCGCTGTGTCCAAACTGCCGTTGCAATCAGCGCCGGCATTGCGCAGTACCAGGGCTCGCCGCCAGCCTCGCGCTCCCGCAGCAACTCGCCGCGCCGCCGCGCCTCCTTGCACACCACCACCCTCAACGGCCGCGGCACCGAGCGTTCCCCGGGCCCCAAGGCCATTCCCGAGCCGGAAGACAACCCAACCCGCAATGTCTTGGGCAAGGCGTTACAAAAGAGGGGCATTGAGAAGACGGCGCTGCGTGTCGACGCGTTCCTAGGCGAGTGGCTTTCGCCGGATTACTTCGACATGATCACACCGCCTCCCAATTCGACCATGATGGTTGCGGGTGCCAAGGCGGACCTGCTCCGTCGCGGCGAATACATAGATACCCGCCCCAACTCTTCGCAAGGATCTGGCCATTTTCCCGGCGGCTGGGGCTCTGATAGAGGCGCTGGCGCAGCCAACAATTCAAACCCCACCAACCATTCGCTTTCAGCTTTGGGCAGTTTGGCCCAAGCCCTCCCTCTTCGCGATAGAGCTAGCAGCCAAGGAAGCGCTTCGAGTGCTGCCAGCAGAGTCAGTCGCAGGCGCGACATGGCCATCCCGACCACGACGAAATCCGACGCCGGTGTTTACAGACCTCCCGTGCCTTCGTACGCCGTTTCTCCCGCCGAGCCGATTCCCAGGGGTTATGTCGCACACGCACGAGACGCGTGTGTCGCGGTTGACTATCAGTGGGACAGCATGCGCGAGCCGCAGGAGTGGGGTGATGGAGGCGAATTTGGCGAGGAGTGGAGTGCGATGCACAAGCGCTTTCGACGCGGCCTGAACAGGATGTTTTCGTGGTACAAGGAGCACGGTTCTGCAGGTCACCCTGACGAGGCCGTCGTTGACGCTGCGGAAGAGGAAGAGGAGGAACTCGTCTTGGTTCTCGTCACTCACGGCGCTGGCTGCAACGCCTTGATCGGTGCCTTGACGAATCAGCCAGTCCTTCTTGATGTTGGTATGGCCTCGCTGACCATGGCGATCAAGAAGGAACCCTCGAATCAGCCGCCGTCAGAACCTGTGAGCCGCACGTCTTCGCCCTTGAATGAGCGTCGTAGATCCGGTCTCGAGAACGCACTAGCGGACGAGTATGAAATGGTTATAGTCGCGTCAACGGAACACCTACGCGTTGGTGCTGACCCGGCTCGGCCCGCGCTTCTAGCGGACAACTCTCTTGATCAAATGAGTGACTTCCGCCGTCGCTACGCCGGAAGCTCCACGGACGGCGCCGGAGACACCGGACGGAGAACAAGCAGTTCATTGGGCAGCATCAGGCGCAGCTCAACCCTTCACTCTCTTACCAGGAGTTATACGCCCAGCCCCGGCCGCCATACACCAAGCAGCCCAAGTCTCGCGCCGACAACCGGACTGTGGAGCAAGCCGGCTCCGAAGGAAGAAGCCGTTGCCGAGACGAACAACGGGGTTAGTGTGGACTTCCTGCTGAATTTTGGAGTGAACAACACCGCAAATGCCAAGCAAGAGATTGCAGCTCCAGAGAAGGAAGAGGCTCAGGATGACATTGCACCACTGCCTCCGAATATTGGACGGTCGATGAGTCAGCATGGGCTCTGGGGATCTGTGCCGTCAGGAGCGCGCACAGAGAGGGAGAGGGGACCGAAAAGACGTTGGACCATCAACGAACGGGATGCTTGACATAGAGGACTTGGAGGTTAATGTATCACTATGGGCGGGACGGGCTGTCTTGATAGAGCGTCGGCGTTTGGGGGTTTTGTGGAGTGCTCGCATCCCGGCGGATGCGTGGAAAGGTTGCCTATTGCGTGGAGACTTTAGCAGATGTTTCGGCCGCTTTTCCAGGTAGCACTCCCACGCAAAGAACAGACGAAACAGGCATTCGTGCAAATGTCTTGGCGCGTCGGTGGTCACGTGGACGTGTTGATTGTTAAGCAGCGGCGCTTCACTGCTGACGCAACGGGAATGTGCAGCTCAGACAGGAGCTCCCGGTCACCAGCACCACCCGACCACCCGACCGGCCACACTCCTCTCTTCCAAGCTCCATGGCACCATACCCTGCCGGCTGAACTTCCATCTCGACGCCATGCGATTCCTCGGTGCTGCGCAGCTCCTGTTTGGGCTGTGCCTTCTGGGTGCGCTCAGCGCGGCAGAGCACACATCCAACTGGGCCGTCTTGGTCTCGACATCACGCTTCTGGTTCAACTACCGCCACCTCGCCAATGTACTCTCTCTATACCGTACCGTCAAGCGCCTTGGAATCCCCGATTCGCAGATCATCCTCATGCTTCCCGACGACATGGCCTGCAACCCGCGCAACGCCTTCCCCGGCACCGTCTACAACAATGCAGACCGCGGGCTGGATTTGTACGGTGACAACATAGAGGTCGACTACCGCGGATACGAAGTGACGGTGGAAAGCTTCATCCGCCTCATGACGGACCGTGTTGGCGAGGACATGCCACGGAGCAAGCGCCTCTTGACCGACGACCGAAGCAATATCCTGGTCTACATGACCGGTCATGGTGGCAATGAGTTTCTGAAATTCCAAGACGCCGAGGAGATCAGCGCGTTCGATCTTGCAGACGCTTTTGAGCAGATGTGGGAGAAGAAGCGGTAGGCAATGCCGCTAGATCATTGCGCGAGGTGAAGCTAACGCGAGCTCGCGCAGCTACCATGAGATGCTTTTCATGATTGACACGTGCCAGGCCAACACCATGTACAGCAAATTCTACTCGCCCAACATCATCGCTACCGGTTCGTCCGAGATCGACCAGTCGTCATATTCGCACCACGCAGACAACGACGTCGGCGTGGCCGTTATCGACCGCTACACCTACTACAACCTTGAGTTCCTCGAGTCCCAAGTCAAGGATCCGTCATCCAAGTTGACTCTTGGCGACCTTTTCGACAGCTACGACGAGGCTAAGATTCACAGCCACCCTGGTATTAGATACGATCTCTTCCACGGCGGAGAGAAGGCAGCTCGGGACAGGCTGGTCATGGATTTCTTCGGGAACGTACAAAATGTGGAGGTTGAAGGCGTGGGACGCAACGTATCAAAGCTTGAAGAAGAACTGGAGTATCTGAGTAGGTTGATCGAAGCTGCAAAGCAAGAGGCCAACGAAACCGAAATGGCTGCGGCGTACGGTGCAGGCGTCGACAAGAACGAGGCAGCTGTACAGCCAAAGGCCACGAAGAAGTTCGAAGGGGCAGCTAAGGTCCAGCGAGATGACGGATGGGGCAAACAAATCATCGGACTCTCGGCAGTGTTGGGCATTGCCGGCGTTTGGGCAGCCGGATCATGGCTTGAGTCTTGAGGGGTTTGGGAACTCTTTCCTACAATTCATCTTTTACTTGGTACTGCTACGCTGCGTGACGCTTGCTCAGATGTCCCACACACACACACCCAAGATGCTGGAAAGAAAGGGCTGGGCTGGTGGGGGCTAGGACCGGTCGAGAAAAAGGGCATCCAACCCAGACGGCTCCAGAATATGCAGAACCTCATCCTCAACGCTCGCCTAGGGTTAGTAAAGAGGCCCGGTGGTGGGGCGTATCTGGCACTTGGGATTACCCTAGAGACGGGTCCGAATGCGTCAAGGAGCACCCAGCGCCGTCTTTACAGGTGGTGCACCATGTATCAACATGTGGGAACAGAGAGGTTGGGGGGGCCAGGTCTGCGGACAGTGTAGAAACGATGGCGCACCTGGCTAAGGAGGGCTTCGGAGTCAAGGATCTCAATGGGAACGTTTCATGGGCACGAGGCAGTGTCGAGCGGTGTACGCCGTGGGGAAGCCCAGCTGAACCTGGCTAAATCTCGTTTGGCAGCACTTGGTTTGGAGATGAGGTGGTGGTTTCACGATCTCACAGGCTTTCGTCCCAACGGTGCCATGCCGTGCTTGGGAAATGCTGGAGCTGCCGACACAGGCGCTATGCATAGCACGACTGGTGACGACTGGTACCACTAATCAGACTGCTGCTACCGCTGCTGACTACGCTATCACCAACACTCAGGAGGAAAAAGAGGAAGATCAGAAGAAGAAGGCATCTAATCAAACGACTTCCGGTCGAGGTTGTCATGTAGCTGCTGGTGCAGCCGATCGGCAGAATGAGGTTGACGACGGAGCTAAGGTTAGGGTCGCCGTATGAAGGTCGACTTGATTCCAGGCTCTACAGTATTCAAGACCATCAACTCAGCAGCAGCGCCAGCGAACATGACATTGTAAGGAAGAGCCCCACGGGATATTACGACAATGGTCGGTTCGTTGGCTATCAAGGTGAAACAAGAGCTTCTCGTAAACATGGCAACTGGTCAAGAAGATTTCACCTATAAAGCACTGTCAGTGGCATCAGGCTTTCGCTAGGATCCCTCCGTCCCGGTTCACAACCACAATGCCTGCAGTCCTTCCGGCCAAGACTGCCTCGGTGACCAAGCCATCGGCGTCCCATTTGAAGTCAACCTCACCTCCGCCTCTCAACCTCAATCCCTTGACGCTACCGCCACCCCAACGAGCAGGGATGGCCGGGCCCAGCACCACGGCCTTTGCCTCTCCCGAGAAGGCGGGTAAGTCAACCGCCAACATGCTGAGCATCGCCGCTGCAAGCCCGAAGTTGGCATCGATTTGGAAGGGCGTGTCGTGTGCGCTGTACATGCTGAAGCCATTGCCCGCAAAGTTCCTGGCAATGGCATACCGCAGCTCCGCGTCAGCCTTGTCGGTGTTGTTGAGACGTGCCCAGCATGCGGCGCGCCACACTTTGCCCCAGCCAGCGTCTGCATCTGGGCCTGTACCGTTGCCCCTGGCGGTGAGAGCAGCAGCAACAGCGTCTGTGATGGTGGAATTGCCGTATCCAGACAGGATCGAGGCGACACTGTAGCCGGGGTACCAGCCGACGAGGTGTGACAGGTGGCGATGGGTATCGGTAGGAACATCCAGGCCGGTAACCTCGGTGGGGGCCTTGAACTCTTTGATGCCGCCCCAGGTCTCATCGATGTGAAGGCCGGTGTCGAGCCTGGTGAGGGCAGAGGACGCATTGGACAGGAAAGCTGCATCCGCCTCGATTCCCAGCGAGCCAGCAGCTTCCACATAAGTCAGGACCTGGTGGATGAGCTGCTGGTAATGCGTGCAGCCGAATGTCGTGGGAGGCTGCTCGGGGCTGTTGCACGGGTTCACAACGAGCGTGCCGTCGCCGAACCATTGGTCGTCCTGGAGTTGGGAGAGCCAAAACTCAGCAATGCCGCGAATCAGCGGATATCCCTGCATGGAAAACCACGTGGTGTTGGCGGTGTAGTCAAAGTGATCGTACACATGCTGCATCATCCAGACGCCGGAGATCATGTCTACGAGCTTGTTAGCGACGAGCGAGCGCCAGGCGAGGGGGGAGGTGCCAGACAGTTCGCCCAGCGGAGGTCGCTGTTCATTCCGGTGTGTCCGAACACAGTCGATTCACCGTCCAAGACCCATCCCGGCGCGTTGTACAGAAGCCTGGCCGTCTGAGATCCGCGCGGGACCCACGTGTCTTGTATGTAATCCCACAGGCCAGCCTGGAGCTCACCAAGCCCTGTCTGATCGGCTATCCAGTAGTTCATCTCCAGGTTGATGTCTCCGTGGTAGTCTACAGCCCACGCGCCCTCCAGCGTCTGACTCCACTTCCCTTGCAGGTTCGCCGGCAACACGCCCGGCCTGGCAGAAGAGATCAACATGTGTCTGGCATAGTCGAACAGCAGCAACTCGAGGTATGGATCGCCGAGGCCTGCTTCGGTGGCATTGTAGCGGTCGATGAGCTCGGAAAGCTCGACCCCCACAGAGTTGTTCGTGTCTGGCAGGTCCAGGACGAAAGCGCCCGCGAGGCCGGTGTAGTCGTCGATGTGACGCTGCCGGAGAAGCGCACTGGAGTGGTTCGCGGCTGCTGCAATCACCGCCTCGACCTTGGGTCCTGGATCGGCTCCCTTGAAAGAGAAGCTGCTCTCGGCGTTGCCCGCCTTCTGGTCGTAGTTTGTCTCGGCGGCGATGATGAAGGTCAGGAGAGAGGCGTTTCTCCCAGGGCTCACGGTTAAAGCGCCGTTGCTACATGCGTTGTTGGCGCCTCCAATGAGCTGCGCAACTGCTTCGTACTTCATTCCTTCCGGGGGCCCGACCTGAGTCGAGCCAACCACTCGGACCCTGCCGGCCTCGCAGGTGAAGCTGTTGAGTCCGGCATCCGCTTGCTGGTTCTCGAACGAGACTGTGACTGATGGCAGAGCATCCCGAGCGCGCAGCTCGTAGACACAGACAAAGTCGGGGTAGCTGCAGTAGACGGTGCTGACGAAGGCGTTGCCGTCTTGGTCTTGGAACTCGGTCCGATGGATCCCTTCTCCCAGGTCAAGGGAGCGGTTGTACGCTCCGGAAAACGATGTGACGCCGTCGATCGAAACGCTGAGGTTCCCAAGCACGCGGAAGGACCCGTAGTTGTCGAAATTGCCCAAGAGTTCAGAGACGTCTGCCCGTTTAGCCGGGCCGCGTGGACTTGCTCGGAAAACTCACTTCCTGTTCCGTTCTGCCACACCCAGTCTTGGATCCCGGCCAAATGTACGAACCTCGCCGTCGTAGGGTTGCCGCCAGTGTAGTTCTGCAGTTGCGTAAGTGAGGTTCCATTCGTGGGTGGCGATGCGTACGCTGGCCTCGAACGGACCGCCGGACCAAAGAGAGTCGACGTTCAAGCTGAGCTTCTCCACCCCTCCGTCGCTGAACGGCAATGCTGTCCTCCTTAGCGCGCGAACTGCTTCACGTTGAGAGACTTACCACCCAGTTTTCCATTCCCCACGGGAAATGCTTGCCTGATGATATCTGGGAAAGTCGCTGCGCTCGACGACCACAAGCTTTTCGCCTCGGCCAGTCCCCACGTCAAGCTCGCAATGTAAAATCCAATCATTCTGGACCGACTACAATGTCCGTACACCTGGCCATATACGCACCTAATGTAGAGCTCAGCAACGACACTTAGCCGCGGCTGTAGTGCTACATCATTGTAAATATATCATGTTTTAGGTAGAGGTTATACCGTTTCCGCCACGGAACGTTAGTTTACCCCACCAGCCATGATATTTATCCATAGGCCAGTTCTCGTATCCCCGCTTTTACTAATTATTTACTATATATAACCGCGTAATTTTTTCCACCAATCACTAAAAAAATTAAAAATTAAAAAATTAAAGAGTATAGTTTATTCTTATTAATTATTTATTAATAAATTTATATACTAGAATAATAAATTTCTATAAAGTTTACTTAAAAATTTATTATTAATAACTAACTACTATTTTTTAAATATTTTATTATTTATTATTTATTATATTTTATATATTTACACTATAATTACTTTAACTAGTTATTCTAGATGTTTATAGTAAGTTATTAAAATACCCGGTTTTTTAAAGATAATATTTAAAATATTTATACCCTTAGACCTTACTAAAGTATCTAGTTCTAAAAAACTTTATCTAACTATTTTATTTTAGATATAACTTTTTATTTTAAAAAGCGGTAAAACTAGATATTTCGATAAATATAATATAGAGTAGAGTATTTT